AGCGTGAAATTCTCACTAACGCAGATGTGATCTGCTGTACTTGTGTTGGTGCAGGTGATCCTCGTCTTTCAAAGGGCAAGTTCCGCACTGTCCTGATTGACGAATCAACCCAATCTGCTGAGCCCGAGTGTATGATTCCTCTAGTTCTGGGCTGCAAACAAGTGGTCTTGGTAGGTGATCACCAGCAACTTGGCCCTGTGATCATGAACAAGAAGGCCGCCAAGGCCGGTCTGAACCAGTCTTTGTTCGAGCGTCTCGTGATTTTGGGCTGCTCTCCTATCCGATTGAATGTCCAGTATCGTATGCACCCGTGCCTTTCCGAATTCCCATCCAATATGTTCTATGAAGGCTCGCTGCAGAACGGTATCACCATTGCAGATCGTGTCCGCCGTGACGTTGACTTCCCTTGGCCCATCATTGATGATCCGATGATGTTTTGGTCAAACCTGGGCAACGAAGAAATCTCCGCGTCTGGCACCTCGTATCTTAACCGTACTGAAGCTACCAACGTCGAGAAGATTGTCACTCGCTTCTTCAAGGCAGGTGTTCAGCCTAGGGATATTGGTATCATCACTCCATACGAGGGACAGCGGAGCTACATCGTCAGCTCTATGCAGGCAAACGGTACCTTCAAGAAAGAACATTACAAGGAGATCGAGGTTGCGTCGGTCGACGCATTCCAAGGCAGAGAGAAGGATTATATTATCCTTTCTTGTGTTCGTTCTAATGATCACCAAGGTATTGGTTTCCTGAGCGATCCCCGTCGTCTCAACGTGGCCCTTACTCGTGCTCGATTTGGCCTGGTCATCCTCGGAAACCCCAAGGTCTTGTCTAAGCACCCATTGTGGAATTGCCTTTTGCAGCACTTCAAGGAACGCCACTGTCTTGTGGAGGGGCCGCTTTCCAACCTTCAGGAGTCCTTGATTCAATTCAGCCGGCCCAAGCAAGCATACAGAGGCCCGCAGCGGTTCCAGATGTCTTTCAGTCAGACAAATAATGGCCCAAATAATGCAGTGAATGGTCGCAACGGTGGTCACCGCAACGAGTATCATGACTCGGGGTCTGTGGTGGGCTATATCCCTGACGATGTATCTTCTGTTCATGGCTCGGCACTTGGTGGTGTTGGCCTTCCATCTGGCTACCCCCCTATGTTCCAGAATTTTGGCGAGTCCTGGCCTGCGATCTCTGGCGGTCGTCGAGCGAACGGTGGCCGACCCAAGGGAGCCCCCAGTGTGGCTGGCGAGTCAGTCGCTGCCACTGAGTCCGATGTCACATCCAGCGTCACTGACGGACGGAGCGTTGATCAAGGCGGTGTCAGTCTCACTGGCCTGAGCATTAATGAAATGGGCAAGCAGCCCAGTCTCAGTCAATCTGACCGTTTGAAGCGCTATGTCGAGTCTGGAGGACGCGAGCCTTACAGGGCTGGAGTTCCGGACAACGGCAGCATCTTCGGAGGCAGCTCCGCTAGCATTCGAGTGACTCGCGGCGTGCCGGGCCAAAACACGCACGACGACGATGATGCCCGTAGCGTCTCTACTGCTTTCGCTAGCCAAGTTGGTGGCAACTATGACTGAGTGACTTTTGTGTCCAACATTTCCCAGGGCAACCTTTAACAGGTTCGCCCGTCTTACCACTCGGCGAAGCAATGTCCGTGCATACTATCAGGGTTCTTTCCAGCAGAGTTTGCTCGCCCGTTTCTTTTATGCCGACCAGGACTTTGGATCGGCAACCCCAAGATTGTTCGGATGCTTATCCCCGGGTCCTTTTGACCTGCTACCAGAGCACCGTTCTGTCCGTCGAAGGATTGTTCCCTGGGTCTGAACCCTCACCATTGTCACCGTGGAATTTTACAAGGCGTGACTTTCAGGGATGAAGCCACAGACAATGATCCTCAAGTATCTTCCGGTTGAAGGAATTACTGAAAACTCACCCGTCGATTGTCGATGCCCAGCTCAGATAACCTCGGTAGCAATTACCGTGCAATTCTGTGGATTTACCCCTACCCCTTGGCCATGTGTCATACTTGATATCTTTATATCCTAGATAGTCAGGTATTAGCTTAAACAAACAATGCCAATTATGATTCCACCCTTCTTTCCGTATCGTAAGTAAGAAATAGACAAAAAAACAGTAAGTCAGCTTATCCTCCGAGTTATCTAACGCCTCCGCCTATAAATGGATTATCTCAATCAGCCAGGGTATTCAACATAAACAAAAGAACCAGTTGATTAAACTGATTTGTTCCGTAAAGGTGAGCACACTACATAGGTACATGGAGATTAGTGACAAGATTTCCCATATTTTCGAAGACGCAGATAGTTATACGGCAACGGCGCCAAATACCCAGCACCGATCGATAACATTGCCGCCAGCCAGAAATTTGGATCTCCAAGAGCAACTACCCCACCGGTCAGATGATAGTCAACTGCATTCTCAGCTAGTTCCATGGCCAACATTGAAACCATACTCATGCCCATAGCAGTACGAGCGGCCATCGGCCAGGAAAGCTGGTCAGCCCCCCGGCGGAGCAGAATTGTCTTGAGGATAACTGAAGTCGTGATACCGCATGCCACTAGATGATTATTCTTAGCACGCAAGACCCAATACAATTAGATCCGTTCAAGGAGGCAACCCACTCGACAAGGCCATTGCGCTGCTCATACCCATCTCGGGGTAGTAGGTCTGTAGGATCCATAGCGAGGAGAAATCACCGGTTGTACATCCCACCAAACAGCGGAGGGTATTGATCCCTGCTCGTTTCCAGGTAGATCTGCAGGTCCAAAATGGAAGACTGAGCGTCGGAAGGGGTTGCAAGGGCGGAGTTTTGGCACATTTTGGGGCTTGAGATAACTTTTGCTCGCGCTCGATGCTCTTTGAGCACTGCTTTTTCTCTGTATGGCAGGCTTGTGCATGAGTAGCGCCACTGAAGGCGCGTCTGGATGCCCAGCAAAGGCCTCGACCCCGATGGAGTAAAAATGAATGGCGCATATTATTCGTGCCCTAGCGTGTTAGGATCTTATTACAATTGGCACGAATGAACGTATGCAACTTTGGATATAAAAATTCGAAGGGCGCCAAGTTGTGAGGTTGGTGGAGCAGAGCATGGTTCCCGAGCCTGTAGCACAAATGCCGCAACGAAATAATGCCAGATGCAATTCACGTGCCAAACCACGTATCGAAGAATGTGTCGATTATTTATATTGCTTGATAATTCCATGGAATCTTAGGATCTAGAATAACTGGCTGAAGAGAGAAAATGTAAGTAAAATATTCAGAATGAGCGCCGGATATACCTTCGAACTACCCGGTGGGGCTACGGAAGCACTAGGGACATCTCACCTTGACACCGCGATGAACTCATTGAAAATTTGACGTAAATGTGGGTATCTGTGGTCAATTACACCTGTGCCTGTTGGTCCACGTCGAATGGTGGCTACTTTAGCGATTTGGGCATCATCTTTCGGAAGATCTGGAGGCTATGTTGTAGTATAGTCCATTGCTTGGTCGAACAACATGCTCAAATGGGCAGCAATTTACTCAGAAGTAGGCCAACGTGCATTTAGGCTCAGGTAGTATCAAATGCTGTTCTATTAATATGATAGAGGTGGGGGTTAGCTAGCCTTTATAATTCATCTCCTTGGTAGTTCTCCATGTTGTATGAAACAAATGACATACTATTCAAAAGTCCCTATACTGCCCTGTAGCATAGTCTTGGAGTGGAATAATTGCATCTTGCCATTCATTTTCTCTATGAAGATGGTATAAAAGCCATATTCACTGTGTGGCAAAATTTCCTAGTATTATCGATTTGTAGGATCATTTGTAGGCTTCAAGATTCCCAATATCTTGGCCTTAATGCATATCCATATGAACTACGTTGTTTATAGGGTACATACTTTGGAATCCTGTAGAACGTCCGACATCCTTCTTAAGCGAGCTTGCATCGCCTGGTTGAAGTTGTCAAAGCCTACTACATGAAACCTTATCGTATTCCTTTTAATAGTAACGATCAACTACATGGACGTGCAGTTCATTCAATTCTAAAGTTTGTCAAGCATAAAAAGTTTGTTGTAGCCTAACATCGGGCATGGCGAACGTACATTGCAAAAAGGCACTGCCCTGGTGCTGCCCGATCCAATGCTTAGATAAGCGATTTATATTTGATACGCACGTGATTTGGGTTGGACCAATCACTACGTATCACGTGAATTCACCGCCACTAAATTTGTCAGAATCTGTGGCAACATCAAATATTGTTCCACCTGAGCAGAGGACAGTGGACAGCTGCCTGACAGGCAATCTTGCTTTGATACCTAAATTGGGCCCGCCGACGGCAACAGGATTGGCCGTACTCCGTACATAGTACACAGTCATACCCACGGTATCTCTCTAGGGTATGAGTCACTTGCTTCCTTGCCCCCTCATCTCGATATCCGACCACCAGGCATTAATAGACGGCTTTCCACATCTTAACCCACATGTATATAAACTCTAGCCAGTTATGAATTCATATGACAATCTAGTTGCCCAGAAACTCCACTAGGAAACGAAAGAAGCAAAAATTTGCTGATATAATAAGGATTACTGCGCCACAGGGGTGGCGCATATGCACCTGACGCAAGCGGTATAAATAGGCTGCGGATGCCTTGCTACCTGAAAATTTTGGCAACTCCTCCATCTTCTCCCGAAGCCTTACCCATCAACATCTACTAGGCTATCACGGCCAATTTATTTGAATTTTTTCATAAACAACTCTATTCTTGTTGTTTCCATCGACCCCATTACTCTGTGTTTCTAAATTTACCGTTGTTGTGCATTGACGACGCGTCTTTCCGGTATCTACTTCATTCTATCACCATCCCCTCAGTAGTGTGGGGTATCAACTTCAAAATATGGGCGACGGGTCTGACTATCCTAGCCCACGAAGTGAAGGAATTGACGGTGCCCTCGCTGCGTCAATCCTCGCCTCTAAACCTGAATCCTCACCCCCAATTGCCAGAATGAACGACCCTCAGCAGCCTATGACCTACGGCCTCGAGGGCGCGCGCCCGCGCCTTTCTGTTCGACGCGCTCGCGATCCTCCTAAGAACGCTGAAGGTCAAATTTTTTGCGATCATGTTGAGTGTCAATCTGCGCCTCCTACTTTCCGACGTCCATGCGAATGGAAGTAAGTAAAATGTCATATTGTTGTGTTCTTAACGCGCCCAGTACTAACAGAACTGTAGCAAACACATGGACAAACATGATCGTCCCTACAAGTGTTACGAACCTAACTGTGACAAAATCCAAGGTTTCACCTACTCTGGTGGTCTCCTACGTCACCAGCGCGAAGTTCACAAGAAAAACACCGACACCAAGAAGGCCCTGATGTGCCCATACACTGATTGCAACCGCAGCACTGGTAATGGATTCACGCGCCAAGAAAATTTGCGCGAACATCTTCGCCGCCGCCACATGCACAATGACGAGGCTCCTGCCATGGTCGATATGTCTTGGGACCGCCCCCCTGAACTTGAAGGTGTCGAGGGAGCCACGGGTGCCTCACCTCTTCCTATTGCTGGAATGAAGCGGCGCCACGATTCTCCCAGCGGAGATCTCCGGGATCTGCCTGTGACCGGAATCGATTTGCACAACGAAGTTAAGAGACTTCGCCGGGAAATCGAAGAGAAGGATCGTCGCCTTGAAGAGCTGGAGCGAATCGTCACCACTATTCAGCAGGCTATCCCTCAGCAGTCTCCTCCCGTGCCCGAACTCCAGGATCTTTCACAGCCCGCTCCCCAGTCTGCTGCGGCCCCTCCCGTTTAGGGGTTGCTTTTCTCAGATTGAAACGTCTACGGATTTGACCTATGCATCTTGTGGGCGTTTATCGAGGCAGTAAATGCGCTTCAAAAAATTTGCGACATTTCCTTCTTTTCGTTTTGTTTGGTGGTTTCTTTTTACTTTGCTTTCCCTCTTGTTTTGTGTAGCATTTGGGTTCGGTCTCCATGGATATCCTCTGAGCACAAGTTGCTTTCTTTGCTTTCTGCAAAGATTTGAGAATTCAGGGAGACCTTCCCTCTTTACGGCGTTTTAGCTTGATGATTTCGTATGGGCCAGGCGGTGTTGTCTCCAGAGGCGGTTTACAGCGTTATCTCGCCTCATATACCCGGATGTTTGGTTCGATGTATCCTTTGCGTTACTCGCTTCTACCAACCAACTCCACGTTTAGTTCGCTTTGTTCCTGATTGACAAATTGTACGAATAATATCTTCTTGATATGGTCATATGTTTCAAATTATCCTATTTATACTCTGTATCCTCAAGAGGCCATCTGCTAACACTGAAACGCGATGGATCTTCGTGGCATTGAATTCGGGATGCACAGCCGAAGTATAAGGCAGCCAATGATGTTCATGGGCGTGAACAAGTATTTATTCCTGAGGCACCCAGGCTTCCACGCTATAGCGATAGTTCTCAGGCAGACATTTCAGCCACACCACTTTCAACCCGTGTCCCATCGCCTCGTAGACCCACGAAGCTCTCGTGAGACCTTCGTGAGCACGGCCGTCTCTGAGACCGTGCGGCCCCGCTGGCGGCATCCACATCTAGAATGTCGGAGTCGGGAGATAAGACCGCCGTTGACGGGCTCCCAACGGAGCCCGCTGCTTCCCACGGCGGCCTATAGGCTATGAGGCATGATAGTACGCTCGGGCAACGGATAGTTATGACTCCTTGGCTTACAGCACTAGTCTGTGACTCATTCTTACGTGGAGCGCGCGTTCGGCTCTCGACTCGACGCGAGCGAGATCATATGACGGACGGCATTGGTACGTTGGTATCGTGTTGATCAGGTAAAACTCTCCTCCTGTCTTCATGTGGCTTTGGATGAGAGTTTGGAATCTCGTGGAATCTCATAGATGTGGGCAGTGCTCTAGGCAGAAGTTGGTTTGGTAATAATAAGGACAAAATATATAGCACGCCATGTATCCGTGTAGCTTGTTTCTTCTATTGGTTGCCTATCACAAAAGAGCTCTCCGTGGAGATGAAATGCAAGGTTGGCAATAATGACCGACGAAATATATTCTCTGGTGCAACGCACATATATCTTTACTTATTGCCTTCTTGACGCCCGACCCTGACTATGAAACGTGCACGGTTCGATATACTTAGTGACGTATAATGTAATAGCTATATATGAGTAGCTAAACCAACTCGGACACAGATATGTCACACGTAATCCTGGGGGAATGAGTGTTTCTTTCGTACTAGCGACCAAAGTGTCCTATTTTTAGGAAAATAGTTGGCACAGTCAGTCTTCATAGCTTTTCAGATCAGCAAGGCTTACTGAGAGGCAACATAATGGGGTGTTTTGAACCCCTAAACTGTCAGGTTTGGTGTTTCAATTCAGTATTGCCCAGCTGCGCCGGGCCATGTTGGCAGGGCGACAACTCTCTCTGTCAAGCCTCCTATGGTGCACAAATTCCAAGTTGAGATATTGATCACGTTTGTAGTCATGTATATTTTAGTTTATTTATTGTCAGCATGTGGCTTTTCCTTGGAGAATATGCAGTGTCTTGACAACCCTGCGTCGATATACAGCGTCGACGTCGTATGATAGGGATTCTATATCATCACTGTAGCAAATTGATCGAGAGGAGCTCAGCCAGGGTTTTGTAGTTTATCATCAACATATTTTGTCCAATTGATTGTATTTAGGACGCTTACGTGCTCGGCGCTTTTACTCTGGACTAGAAGGATTTCCATAGTGATCATTATTCAACAAGGCTTGATGGAGACAAGCTCATGTAATGCAACAAGGGCGAGTATACATCTAGCCATCATATTTCGCCAAAGTTTAAGGGTAAAATTTTCGAACAAGTCCAACAATCAAGTCGAATACAGATCGGGGGGTTTATAGACCTTTATAGTGGAGTCGCCGATAACGATAAGGAAAAAAAGTGCAAAATTCCACCCCACGTTCGATGAAGACAGTCATATTCTTTACAAAGGACTAGACGAAACGAGTGTCTTCTCGAATATAATAATGCCTCACGCCCCACGTCAGGGAAACCGCAGGAGATCTCCAGGTCCAAAAGCGAAAGCGCAAAAGCAAAAACAAGCGCCACCAGCGAACAAACAGCACGCCAATCGCAAAGCCGAAGTCGAAAAAGCCAAAGCCGAAGCCGAACAACAAGAGGAAGAACAGTCCTCTGGACTTAACCTTGTTAGCACAATTCCTCTTACCCTCCAGCAACTGCTCTTGGACGTATTCAAAACAGCCCTCCTGGGCAACCCAGTTGCAGAATCGGAACCTGCAAGCCAGGATACCAACCTCACTGAATCGCAATCAGACGAAAATAAAGATGAACCATTAGATATTAAATCTCTCATCCAGACAATCAAGGGACTTCTATATCAGCGCGATTTCGACTCTGCCTTCACCGAGGCAGGCGAGGATCTACTGCGCGCATATGCCCTGCGCTGGAGTGCGTCCCGGTCACTGGGATATGCAGGCCTGTTGAAGGGAGTTTTGACTTGGATGAAAGAGGAGGAGGAAAACACGCGAGGCCGTGCTAGAAGCAAGAATCCCTGCACCCGTGTTGTGTCGATTGGTGGCGGAGCCGGTGCAGAGATCGCTGCTCTTGCAGCTGCGTGGAGAGACATGGGGTCCCAAGCCCAGTCGCTAGAGGAAGGTATTGCCAGCGTGTCTCTTGAAAACAAAGATATGGAATCTCAAGATGAGAAGAAGACAGAAGAAGGAGATCAAGGAGTCAGCGCACCCAGTCTCTCTGTCATGGCTGTCGATATCGGAAACTGGGCAGACGTTGTTGACAGGCTTTCACGAACCATCACTTCGTCCGATGTGCCATTTTCGCAGACAACAAAATATCGTCCCCCCTTGCTCTCAGAGAAAGTGGCCAGTGAAACATTCTCCGTGTCTTTCCGCCGCGGAGATGTCCTGACTCTTCCCGAGGAGGACCTCAAAGAAATTCTCCTCGGCCCTTCCTCGTCTTCTCCTTTCACTTCCGTCCTCGTTCCTATCATGTTCACTTTGAATGAGCTCTTTTCTACCTCCATGCCAAAGACTACCGGTTTTTTGCTCAAAATGACGGAAATCCTTCCTGCTGGTGCGGTGCTTTTGGTTGTTGATAGTCCTGGCAGCTATTCAACTTTGAAGTTAGGAAAAGGACCGGACGGTGAACCACAAGAGAGGAACTATCCGATGAAGTTCTTGCTTGACCACACGCTGCTGTCTGTGGCGAAGGGCAAGTGGGAGTGCGTATACACTCAGGACTCGAGGTGGTGGAGACGGGACGCAGTGCGTCTGCGGTATGAAGTTGGCGAAGGAGCAGGCTTGGAAGACATGCGCTTCCAAATGCACGTGTATCGACGTTTGTAGATCTGATGTTTTCTATATCACGATATAAATCACCATTTAACCATTTAATGAGCAATACGATTGAGTTTTCAGAATGTTCTTTCTAAAAGAGAAGTGGTGTGGAGTGAGGTATGGTATTGCTACAGATAGGAAGGTGGTATAGTTCAGACCACTCCAAATTCACGCCACGAGGCAAGACTGGCCCCAAGTCGCGGCAAAAATTGCGATTAATTGGTACATTCGATGAGTTGTGAAAACGGGGCCCATAAATCCCCGAAACAGCCTTATAACCTCCTAACTCCGCAGACCGAGCAAGAGGCTAGTGCTCTTGTTTCCATCCTTTCCTTCTCCACCGGGCAGGTAAGTAACGTTGGGGTTCGAGGACAGAGTCTGGGCGATCTCCCTGCTGGCCTCGATACGACGGATCTCAATCAGTCCGCTGCCAGCCTTAGCGACGGCCTTGCTGATAATTTCAGCACTCAGGGCTTCACCCTCAGCGCGAATGACGTTGGCCTGGCGCTCCTGCTCGGCACGCTCGACAATGAATCGGGCCCGCTCGGCATCCTGCTGGGCGATCTGCTTCTGCTCGACAGCCCGTGTGAACTCCTTTCCGAAGGTCATGTGTGTAATGGAGACGTCCTCGAGGGCGATGTTGAATTGTCCAGCACGCTTCATCAAGTCAGTGCGGATACGGTTGGAAACAGCTTCACGCTGTGTGATCAGCTCGGCGGCGTCGAACTGGGCCACGATGGCCTTGAGGACTTCGTTTCCGATGGACGGGAGGACACGCTCATCGTAATCGGTACCGTATGACTGGATAACTCTGGGTCAGTCTTTCCCTTAGGTATCTGTTGAGAGATCATATGAGATACACACCTGGTAGATCTGCGGCAGCTTCGGCACCTCCGGGCGGTGCAACACACGCAGCGTCAAGCTAACCATCTGCAAATCCTTACTTCCTGTCGTGGTAGAGATGTTGCGAGGCTTGGTGCGGACATCGTAAACAATTGCGCGTTGCAACCATGGGATCAAGAAATGTGTTCCTTCGTTGACAACCTTCTCTTGCACACCAGACACTCGATCGAAGATGACAGCTCGTGTGCCGCCTTTGACATCGTAAAGGGAATTTTGAACTAGCATACCACCGATAGCCACGGGGACAGCCAGCCGATAAACATTTTGGAGGACTTGAGCCATGGTTGGAGGTGGAAGTCGAGTTGATGAAGACGGATGATGGAGATGATGTCTGCTTTTCCCGACGCTCACTCTGAGTGTTCCCGATTGGGTTTAGTGCCCATCTTTCCAAACCTCCAACTTCGCCCGACCTTCGTCTTTTCCTCACTCATTTCGCTACCTCCATACCTTTTCCACCCACTCCTCTCTTTTTACTCGGAATCTTTCAAAATGGGTCACTCCGTAGATCCCAAGAACGGCCAGTAAGTCGTTTTGCCCATGCTCCTGGCGTCGTGGATTGAGTACCGGCCTCCCGGATGCGTTGGCCGCCCGGCTACACAATTCAAATTCCTAAAGATGCCAATTGGGTCGGGCTTTAACAGTCTCTGCGTATTCTGCGTCTCTCATTCAGTTAACTGACAATTTTTACTTCTTATAGCTACATCGGCAACTGGGGAGAGTTCGGTACGTTCGACAATAACCCTTGAACCTCTATGGACCGGATGCATACGCAGGAGGCCGACCCCTTATGCGATATGAAGATCGGATCGATCTAGACATATTCAGAGAAATAAAGGAGATTGCAATTCGAGCGGATCGCTAATATCCATGTTACAGGTTGCCCGACTCCCCAGCGCATCGCCACCTACTCGCTGTCCCCTAACCGTCAGCGTCCCATGGCCGGTGCCGCCCACGCTGCTATCTTCAACGTCTTCCGTCGTTTCCGCCACCAGGTTCTTTACGTTGCTCCCCCCTTCATTATCGCATACGTCGCCATGAACTGGGCCATTGAGCGGTAAGAATGCCCTTAGGAGCCGCTTCGACTGTGCGCTAATTTGGTGCTTTAGCAACGAGTTCCTGAACTCCAAGCCCGGCCGTCTTCTCGAGGGTGACAATGAAGAGTAAATTATTTCAATTTTGTTTCGTGGAGTGAGGTTGGATTGGTATAACAGAGCATGAACACCCAAGACTCTGCACTTTGGGGGAGCTGTATGCTTGTACAGTAACTAGAAAGCAATCGACCGTTTGATTTTCCTTTTACCTACCATATTTTTGCGCTTGAAAGGGCTCTATTTTCTTATATTCAAAGGCAAGCCTGAGTAAGCGTCTTTCTCGGGCTCTCTATTGGTCCCTGAGGTGTCCATACCCAATTATGGGTATGGGGCATGTGTACCGGGTCGAATTGCAGTCAATTAAGGGTTACTAGAGGCAACCCATACCTATTATCTACATTAAGATGGGTTTCATCCTGTTTCTACGGATATTGGGTTTTGGTGGCAGCACAGCAGCGGTTCCCCACTTAAGCCGAGAAGAAGCAAAAAATTCGCCCAAAACAGCAAAACTTCCGCCGTGCCCTTTTTCTTCGAATGCTTCGTCTCCCCAGACTCTCTTCTGCTTTCTACTCATCATCTAAATTTCTCCGTTGTTTCTCTTCTTTCTCTATCAAAATGAGCGAGCTCACCCACCCCACCATTCAGGGTACGTGTGAAGCCCCTCCATTACCCCGCCTACTAGTCAATTTGCTGCAAGAACATGCTGACGCCCATCTACAGATGGCTGGTTCTCTGAGAAGTCCGGCATGTGGCCTGGCCAGGCCATGAGCCTCAAGGTTAACCAAATCATCCACCACGAGAAGTCTAAGTACCAGGATGTCCTCGTCTTCGAGAGCAGCGACTACGGTACCGTTCTCGTCCTGGACAACGTTATCCAGTGCACTGAGCGCGATGAGTTCTCCTACCAGGAGATGATCACCCACCTCGCCATGAACTCCCACCCTAACCCCGAGAAGGTCCTGGTCATTGGTGGAGGTGACGGCGGTGTCCTCCGTGAGGTCGTCAAGCACGCCTCTGTCAAGGAGGCCACCCTGTGCGACATCGACGAGGCTGTCATCCGTGTTTCCAAGAAGTACCTTCCCGGCATGGCCATTGGCTTCCAGCACCCCAATGCCCACACCCACGTTGGTGACGGCTTCGAGTTCCTCAAGAACCGCCAGAACGAGTTCGATGTTATCATCACTGACAGCTCCGACCCAGAGGGTCCCGCTGAGAGCCTCTTCCAGAAGCCCTACTTTGAGCTACTGAAGTCTGCCCTTCGCGACGGAGGTGTCATCACTACCCAAGGTTGTTCGTCACTTTCTTATTTTCTTGCCCAATTCCTTCCTTGATTGCTCATTCCCTTCATCTTATTATCACACAAAAAAAATTGACCACATGCTGATTTCTTTCGCACCACCCCGCAACCAACCCGCTTTACGGGCTCGGTTTTGCGGAGCTGTGCTTTATATCTAACAGCCGAGAACCAATGGCTCCACCTTGACATGATCGCCGAACTTAAGAAGTCCTGCAAGGAGGTCTTCCCCGTCGCCGAGTACGCCTACACCACCATTCCCACCTACCCCTCCGGCCAGATTGGCTTCATGGTCTGCTCCAAGGACGCCACCCGCAACGTGCGCGAGCCCCTGCGCACCTGGACCGCTGAGGAGGAGCTGAAGCTCTGCCGCTACTACAACCAGGACATCCACCGCGCCAGCTTTGTTCTGCCCAACTTCGCCCGCCAGAAGCTCGGTAACTAAATCTCGCGATTTTTGAAAAAGCTTTTATGGTCTTTATATCCTCATGACGATATTGAAATGAAATCATGGATTTTCGTATACTCTATTCTCTGTTTGTCTCCGTGTAGTCCTGCATTATGCTCTCTAAGTGTTTGCTTATAGATTTCATTGTGCAAAATCCGATTCTAAGAACCCCAGAATTTGGAGTGTTGGAGGCAAAACGCCGGGGTAGGGTTGCGGCCTGATTCATTAGGTCACCCATGCTAACTAATGACTTGCTTGATAAATCTCTTGCAACAAGCACCAGACGGCGGTTAATGAATCCGAGTCAATGTCTGGTTCCCCCGGACCTTTGAACACTGAACAGTACGACGGCAATGATATGCGGCGATGATCCAATGTACTTCTTGTGAGACATGTTTTCATTGGACGTCAAGATCGATAACCTTGGAATCTCCACGGAAACGAGAGCCGATTGCATTAAAGGTGAGGTTGATAGGGCTGACACACCTATACGGCAGGTTTACATCATGGCTTCTGTTGATTCTTGCTATAAATATTCAGCAACAAGTCGCCTCTGTACTGGAAAAGCAGATTTAGTTCAATTATTTTGCTCTTAATTGACCTCTGATCTATCACAATGAAGATCTATGAGCATTGCATTGCATTGACCCTTTCTCTCTTCCTGGCGACTCCGGTCTTCGGGCAGAGATTTATCAATGCCACGAATGGCATAAATCCCACGAATGGTACGCAGAATGGACGCCTGTGTACGTCCGATGACATTGCCAGAAGGGACGTGAGGGGCTGTACATGCCCTTCGACTTTCCCAGCATCACCCAATGACCTGGTATGCGTTACACCGTCGGGACAATGCCCTATCACCTGCAACCCTCCACCCCCGCCGTCACCCGTGATACCGCGAGCACAGCTCTCACAATGTGACGCGGGCTGTGTCGACGCCAATTCCGAGTGCAACGGCTGCTTCATCTGGTTCTCCAGTCTGTGCCATTGCCTTCAAGACTTCCAATCCGGAAACCAGACGACTTGCATCGCCAGCCCTCCAATTCCTGTTGGCCCGCCTCGGACCAACCAGTCAGCTTCGTGGGTGGTCCTCAGCAGTGGAGACTTGATCACCACGACGGACTTGATCCCCGGCATTCTTCAATTGAGCTCCGCTGCTGACGTGGACGGGGGCTTCCGCCTTGGTCAGGATACACTCAACACCAGAGGTATCAGGGACACAGGAACACTTGCGATCAACAGTGTCGCCACCCGCTCCGAGGAGCAGATTCATATCCAAGTCTGTGACCATCCTGGCAGTGCTGTGCGTCGTATTCTCGATAACCTGCCTCGGGAGAATTACAACACAACATCGTCGGTCGACCTGTCCGCCCTATCTCAGCCGAGTGCTGCTATGTCTTGCCGGGTGTCGTCTAACGCGGGTCAAGACATCAACTTGGGCGGTGATATTGTTGATTGGCTGAACCAGTATGCTGGCAACACGACCTGTGCTCAATATAATGTCGGTGCTGGCGTTGTGACTGATAGCAATGATTACTCTTGGTCTTGTATTACTACGGGTGATAGGGCTGCCGAGGATCTGTTCTGCAGTGATTAAAAGTTGGATATCGAAGGCTACTCATTGAGTCTTGATGTTACTTTACAAAATTTGGAGCGGTAGATAGATGGATAAATTTCAAAGGAGCGAATCTAAATTGAGAATATTAGCAAGACTTCACAGACTAGAAGCGTAAGCTTATGTTAGACAGCACCTATGTCAGAGTCCTTATGAGGCTCAATACCGATTTCTGGCCTTATTCTTGAGGCCTCTGACGCCAATTACCTAGTTACTTGCTAAAATTGGAAGGAACCTTACAAAATTTCGTCATTCTTACTATGCTAGCGGAGAGACGTTAGTGGCAAGTTCCTGCCCTATTTCCTGACAAACATCGTCGGTCAACTATCCTCATGATATCAAGTTGATCTGGAGGAACTATGTGAGGACATGGAAAAATACTCCGACTAGATGGAAGTAGAAACCACTTTCTTATAGTTCCACCCCACGATCTAGATCTTCCCGTCAATGGGTCAAATGACGATTTAAGCATACATATTCCGAGCACCTCACTTCTAACAGAAAGGAGGTTTTCGATAAAGGCTGCCATCGTGGTTGCAGTACCTAGTAATGGAAGGTTGGTGTCCGCCGATATATATTGCCAAAATCTTTGAGATTGTTACATCATGGACTCTTCTCCGGATACACTCAACCCCATTGCAACAAAAGGCACGCCAACGTACTACTGGCTATGAGCGTAGGCTACCTCCGAAAACATGAATATAGACTCTGCTGTATATTTATAAGGTCTCCACCTTTTCGAAAGGAGATATGGTGTATTAGAATACTCTTGGATCTGCACAGATCAGTTGTCTTCATGTCCTTTGAATAGATCTACAGAACTTGATATTAATACAAAGAACAGATTCTATATATTCAAACTGAAACTGTATAACAGGAGTGATCGTCTTATCATCTAATTGTCAAATCTTCAGTTGCCCGTCCGACGCAGTACCGATCGGTTCAGATGCTTGGGAGACACGGAACTGATCCCCGACAGGTGGAGGGTCAAATTGAAATCTCCTAGGAGACTCTTTAGCACATGGCGTACTCCCTGCTCACCCTGAATGGCCAACCCATAAATGTATGGACGACCAATTAAGACCATCTTTGCACCAAGCGCCAATGCCTTTATGATATCGGCACCAGACCGAACACCTGAGTCATAGATTATTTCCAAATCATTGCCGACGGCGTCGACAATCTCTGGCAAAACATCTAAAGACGCAATACCTCCATCCTGTTGGCGTCCGCCGTGGTTCGAGACAACAATTCCCTGCATGCCATACTCGACAGCCTTCTTCGCGTCCGCCACCGTCTGGATTCCCTTCAGAACAATTGGACCGTCCCAGTGTTCCTGGAGGAATTTGAGATCTTCCCAGCCGTGACTTAGACCAGGGAATACGGTGTGTGCCCATTCTGCGGCTGCTGTTTGGACGTCCTCTTCAATGGGTTTTCCGTGCTTCTCTTGGAACTTGCGGCGGTATACAGGGTCCGAGAATCCGAGTGCCACACCAATGTCGTCTGCACGAATGAAAGGGTTGTATGCATTGTTCAGATCGCTGGGGCGCCATCCAAGAATGTACGTATCCAAGGTGACTACCAACACCTTATAACCCGACGCCTTCGCCCGTGACAACAGGCTCACGGTGATATCGTTGTTCTCACTCAGAGGCCAATAGAGTTGATACCAACGAGATCCGTTTCCATTAGCCTTGGCAACGTCCTCGATGCTTGTAGCGGATGCGGTGCTGAGGATGTAGGTGACATTTTCCTGCTCGGCAGCCTTCGCCGACGCAATCTCTCCGTCCGGGTGGAAAATTCGCTGCACGCCCACCGGTGCCATGGCGATCGGATAGTCAAAAGTCTCTCCGAAAAGTGTTGTTTTAAGGTCTGGGAAGCCGCTCTTGACTAGGCGTGACGGCACGATTCCCCATTTCTTAAAAGCTTTCTTGTTGTTGTCGTCTGTCTCACGAGTTCCGGCGGAACCCCAAACATATCCGAAGGAATCTGCCGAGAGACGATCTTTGGCCAGGGCTTCCCAATCGCCGCAGTTGAAGGTTATCGGGGGCTTCTGGCCCGAGAGACCGGCTTGGTACACCTGGTTTTCGTATGTAAATGGGGCCAAAGGTTGAGCAATGGACTTGCTCTCCAGTCTGCTGTCCTGCTGAGGTGACATGATTGATGATGTAAATAACAGAAAAGTTGAGTAGACGTGGTGTGAATGGACCGTGGATTGTAGATGAATATGGCGGGAATCGGGGAATAGAAGCTGCTTTTATACTTGCGGAACTGCAAAGCTTGAGATATTAATGGAGCTCTTCGAAATTGATTATAATTGGTGGGTTCGTAGTGTAGCTACAAGCAGGTTCGGTCTTTATTGTCATGTATGTTCGGCCGAGATTCATCACGACGTCATCTCGTTGAATAGCCTTTTCATAGTCAACAACTTTGGTCCGCCACGATCCGGAGAGAAACATAGATACTCTAGCTTCTTTCTTATACTTGCATAACTACGATGAATATGTTAACCCTAGATATTTTCACTTTCTACTAGTTTATCCTGGGCTGTGAAGGAAGGCGTACGGGTACATAGGCTGCAGGTTCTGAATAAGCAGGCAGGGCCCCCAACGCTTGTCATCATTGTGGCGAAAAAGAAGCTAGCTACTAGAAGAATAATGAGAAGCTTGTATGGAGTCTAAACCCGAAAGGTTTGTACACTGGGCACTCACCGAACGCCACGACGATCGGATAAGTCAACACAAAATACACCATGCTAGCCCTATGCACTTACAATTGCGAGTTGATTGATAAGAAATTTTCGATCTGGGCTCCATAAATTTCATCATGATACAAGTCTTCGGTGTTGAAGACCCATCATAACTCTCTCGGTATACCGTTGCGGGTCGGGTTCGTAGAATGCGGGGGCCGAACTATTTGTGCGCTCACAGAGTGACTAGTTATGTACATAGCTGACTGAGAAGGCTGCTGCCATTCTCTCGGCCGAGAAGGCACCATTCTGTCAACAAGTATCCGGCCGAGAACCACGCTCTAGCTAAACAGGAAAGCGGATGTGACATGCGAGTGTCGTACGATAAATAATCACGATCTTCTTTCGTCATCATCCGAGAAAGGGGAGCTGAAAAACAACCACAATATAAGGATACAACATACGCAGTGGCTCGGACTTGGAGATGATCACAAATAAGCTTTGAGGCTGAACCGAGAGTGGGGTAGACACGTTGTTAGATCTAGAGTAAGCTCGCAGTTGAGATGAGGTGAGATTATGTCCCAGATCTCATCTACCATCCCTGGCTCTGATTGGGTGCTAGCAAGAGATCTACGATGAAGCTATAACGGATTTGACATGGTTCCGATGGGGATTGGCAGTAACAATTACTCCGACTACAATATATCATGTACTTTGTAAAATGTGGAATCCTTATAACTGGGCTTAGACTCAAGGCCCTGCCCTGTTGTTGTATGTTGTACATTGTCGCGACGGTCTTCTTAGCTCTTAGGTCCACAAAAGGAGCAGAAGCTAGCCCAAGAACAATGACTCACTCGGCCGAGAACACATTAGAATAGATCTCAGACTTGTCTCATCGTTCCTTCCAAGTTACGAAAGCACGGCCATTGTCCAGGCAGTGGGGGTTGGTGGGGGTTAGTGGGGAAGGTGCCCTCAGGAACGGCAGTAACAGCCTTTCTATCTCTTAAACAACCTACTCCGTACATGTACCTCATTTGAAAGCATAGGTGGGAGATATTCGTGACCTATTATCGCCAATGTCGGCTGCGAAATGTACATTTTACAATGCCCTGGCGCAAAAATGTGAGGTGACATCTATTCCTACAAACTATACCAATATCCCGAACGCCATACCATACTCGACCAACCGCAATTTTGGCCTGGTATCACCTTCTCTGGCAATAAATGAAAAGCCCAGTAGACGGAACTGGGGACACTGGGGACAAAAGATCACCCATTGGACTTGCTCTTCGGCTAAACAACATCTTCCCGTCGCCAGTTTTGGTGCCTCTGGGGCTTTGCTGGAATTGGGAAGACAAACTACAACAAACACGCCAAGTTCATGGTTCATGGAATGCGGGACTGTGCCTGAGTAGTTAGTGAATTAGAAAATTCCAATCTTGAAATTGAATGAGAGGCCATTGGATTAGGCCTAGCCGATTGAACCACGCTTGCTGAGTAGAACATTGGCCATTTCTCGGACAGCTACTAGCCTATGTGCTACTCCACGTCAGTATATTACAATTAATTCCAGAAGCGATTCTTCAGAAGTGCCTTCTCATGACAATTGGTGTATCATCGATTGGTACGACCATGAAGCCCATCGGCAAGTGTCGTGTATTGAAGTGTGCGACTTTTTTGCTTCTGGACATCCTCAACCATAAGCAATAACCTACTCTCTTGCCCTATAGATCTTCTTGACCTTAGAACGAATTGGCATATTAGGTCAAATAATCGATGCGTGTTTCCAGGTGGGAGGTTGATTCGTCCAGACCGTGCTGAGTAATCCACCTGGTAACCTGGGCCCGACGTCAGAGTGCCAAGATCGTTCCCACTGCGGAGTACCAACGCAATTATCCCCGACATCTGCGGGTTGGATTGTCACACGTAACTCTTTGATTATTTCCATGTTCCTTCTACTTGGTCACTGGACGGAATCAATGAAAAGAGACGGATAAATTGTCAAAGCACGCCGAATATGCAGCCTGTGGTGGGGCCCTCCAACCCGTCTAGCACCACTGAACCGCCAAGGTCGCCCTCGGCGCCAGGAAATCCACACATTACCCGAAAACGTGTGATTTATAGCTGTCAAACATGTCGTCGGCGCAAAGTCAAATGCGACAAGGTAACCTTTTCTGGCCTAGGACCAAGTTGCCTGAACTGAAATTTTCTTGTTAGACACTCCCAGTATGCGGAAACTGCGCGAAAAATGGTACCGAATGCGCCTACGACCCGGAGATCCAGAAAGATGGGATGCGAGCCAAACGTACTCGCCGAGTGAGAGCCAAACGGCAGAGAGATATCCCACAGTCGGAGGAAAATACAGATGAAACCCTGCCGATCCATGACCGAGCGAGGCAGGGATCATTATCAAAAGGCCAAAAAACAGATTTAAGCGCAGTTGAAGCCCATTTGGCTCAACTCGTATCGCTCGTTGAGCGACTACGGAAGGATAACCAGGCGAACGAATCGACAGAGATGCAAGCGGCTGCATTAAATACTGGCGTCCAAACGGCGCCGATGGAGGACGGCAGTTTGGGGAGCAAATCGATCGTCGCGCAACCGCCCAGTCCATTCAGCGCTGCTGCTGACTGTAGCAGCGATGACTTCCCCATCCCAAATGGCCAGACTACGGATCTGGTTGATCCACTGGGAACTTCAAACTTGGGCCACATGTCTTTGGGGGATGGCGGGAGGTCAAGGTCAGTATCGACACACTAGGCTAAAGTGCGATTGAGTTTCTAACCTTGGGTTTAGATATGTCGGGACGACGTATTGGGCTTATATTTCCCATGAAATGGAGGAGCTCAATCAATTGCTCGGAAACCAGAATCAGCCGCATGATATAGCAACCTGTAGTGATACCCCAACCGATTCCGTTTCTAGCAAGCAAAGACAGCGGAAAGAATCGATGAGCAGCCGAACTACGAGCCGAACCACGCGCTCCCCCTTTCCTGTCGGCTTCTCAGAACCCCTTCAGAAAGCCGTTTGCATCCCATCGGCCTATTTATCACCAAATGATAAATCGGTCGAGCCATATATGCTTGAGCATGTTCCAACAAAATGGCAGAGTGATATTCTCTACAAGGGTTTCATGTCTGGTGTCCACTCACTGAGCCCTATTGTTCACCCTCCAACGATCCTAAGACGTTACAAAGCCTTTTGGGACTGGTACGACGGCAAAAGCTATACGGGGGAGCCATGCCCTAGTTCTTCTTTTATTCCACTCCTATACGCGATATGGTTTGGAGGCTCAGTCACAATTTCTATGAGAACGATGGAGACGGAGTTCAATACTTCGTCACGCGCTGTCCTCTCGACAAAGTATAGCGAGGAGGTCACCTGTTGGTTGGCCAAGATTTCGTTTCCCCACAGCGTCACACTTCATGGTCTGGCGGCCTATCTTGTTGCGCAGACAATTTTGTCAAGAGAGGAAGAACCTTTGGCAAGTAGTTTGTTTGTTAGCTTAGCAGTGAGAGTGGCACAGACCTTGGGATTACATCGGGATCCCGCCCATTTTAATATCGACCCATGGGAGGCAGAGTTCCGACGCCGAGTGTGGTGGCATATCATGCATATGGATGCCGTTATTGCGATGTCGAGTGGGCTTCCACCATTGCTTACTGATACGACTTACTGGGACGTTCGTGAGACCAGCGAGGTCAAGGATACCTTATTAGGTACTGCCGAAGCCAAAAGATATGAACAACAGGTTGCCGACGGCCAACGGCCACCTGATAACCCAGACAATCCGACTGTCTGTGGTGGGCCGTCGATGGTAAATGTGTATTATCTGAACGCAAAGGCAAAATGCATAATGGCCCGTGAGTGATCTTGGGTCTAAATGTTAGGCGCGTGAGCTGACCTCCTCGCAGAGTCTGTTCGTAAAGTACTAAAGATTCAGCTGGGTACGAAGCCTCTAACAAGAGGGGATATGCTGGAGCTCCGCTCTGTCCTTCACGATCTTCAAGTCAAACTCAACTCCATCATAAACCGAATTCCAGAGACAACGGCAACCGAAAGAACAGTAGTGTCTCCAAAACGAGTTTCTCATTCTACCGAGGCGGAACTTCCTATTGAAGGTCCATCTGGCTGCCCGGAGCAATATCATTCAGCAGTCCTCGTCGCATTTCATAAATGGACCAAGATCATTCTGTCATTGTTCATTGATAAGGTCGGTATTTTAATGCCAAAATCCCGTGCGGCGCTAACATGAATGTAGGCATTTTGTGTTGCGTATCAACCATTCCTCAGGAACCCTCGAAGTCGAATCTGGCCAGTAGCACGACAAAGGTAAGTGTCGCGACTCATTGGGCTACTGGATCTAATCCAAATAGTGCGCTACGCCATTGCTATGCATTCATGGAGAAGTTTATTCGATTGGCGACGGACCCTGACTTTCAGCCGTTTCAATGGGGCTGGCCTGGGTGAGCATTCCGATTGTTCAAATAAGAATTTGACTAATGATCACCAAGGAACCATCAGCCCATGCATGCAATGATGTATGTCGAAAGCTCGACTTAAGTGGCCAAGCTAACTAGATCTAGGATCATTCTCATCGACTTGTATGAACGACCATATAGCCCCGAAGCCTCCGTGTCACGCGGATTTGTTGATCAAATTCTGTCTCTTTGTGGACCGGACGGAGGTGTCGTGAGTGGCGGAGATGACATCTTCACACAACGCCCGTTGAGGAATGGAGGCCGCGAGGCCTGGGGCATGATCCGTCGTCTGCGCCAACAGGCCTGGCAGAAAGCCGGTCTGAACCCAGAATTGCCCTGGACGGGGCAAGATCGGTCAACCAATTTCGCAAATGCACCTTACTTCAAATCAATGTCATCCGCAAATATCCCCCTATCCTCAGGCGACAGAGCATTTGCTCCCGACTCAGCCTTTGGTCGTTCCTCCGCCGCTACTATGTCGAGTCAACAATCCCTCGTTAACTCTCCTATGGTGAACTTCTTGGACACCGCCGGACCGAACGCAATGCCTGCTTCTGAGCCCGCCCCCTTCATGATCGATCCAGGGCTCAATTTCGACTGGGGTGAATGGGATAATATTTTTGGGCAATCTTTACCCGTCGCGGATGAGCTTATGGAACTCGATCAAGTCACGGGGCTTGCATTTGCGGACTTGGAAAATAGCGCCCCGTCCGAGCATAAGACGGAGACAATATAATTATCCTGGGTCAGCGTTTTTCGGGCTGCTCTGCATCCAAACAGTATACCACCCCCATTCTTCTGTGGGCTCTATTGTTCTATGTGCTGTGGCATGTGAGTTGGATTTTCATGACCTGTGATTATTCAATCTGGACTTGACCCCAAAATGGAAGTCGGGTGACTTCAAGGAATGCCAAAACCTACTCGTAGAGTCAGTTTTCCACACAGCATCAAAAATAGTAGAATCTCCAGAAACATAAGGTATATACGCGTAATATCCGACTGGTTTCATACATTGATCTTACCGGTTCTAACGAGACGCCAATTCGTCTTGATTCAATGACATGTCCCTCATCATATCGCGTTGGGAGTCTCATGAGAGCCTAGGCACGACAGACAATCCCCTCCCGAGGTCCGCCAGCCGCCGCCGCATGGCGGCGCCGCATAGCCCCTCCAGTCCCCACTTATCGGCGGACCTCCCCGAAACTACATGTAGCTATCTATAAGGTCCCTCTTCCTCTCCTCCCATTCCAAACACCTTCAAGAAACCGAAACCTCCGAAATCCGAAAACCATGGCCACAGAATACCCCCACCGAATCGCCCTCTTGGGCCTAGGCACAATCGGCCTCTCAATGCTAGCAATGCACCTGCGCCGCCCCGACACCAGCATAACAGTCTACGACCCACGCCCCGACTACGAGTCCCAGATCCGAAGCACGCTCCCCTCCCTCCTGGACTGCCCGGAATCAACCACCATAATCGACGAACTGATCCGCACATCGCGCCTGAAACTAGCCACCAGCCTGAGTGTCGCGCTCGAAAACGCGACAATCGTGCAGGAACAGAGCCCGGAAAAGACAGCTTCGAAACAGGCGCTCTGGAAGGAAGTCGCCAGTCTCTCTAGCCCGCATGCACACCTGTGGAGCAGTTCATCTGGGATCCCCGCGTCGGCGCAGGCAGCCGGGTGCGAGGGTGTTGCTGAGCGGTTGGTCATCGCGCACCCGTTCAACCCGCCGCATCTGATGCCGCTTATTGAAGTCGTGCCTGGGCCTGAGACGAAGGCTGAGGAGGTGGAGTTTGTGAAGAAGTATTTCAGCGAGGTTCCTGGGCCTGGGGCTGCTGTTGGTGCTGCTGGCTCGAGTGCAGATCCATCGGCTAAGCAGCATTACCGACCTGTCACGCTGAACAAGGAGATGCCTGGGTTTGTCGGGAATAGACTTGCTTTTGCGTTGCTGAGGGAGGCGTGTTATCTTGTTGGGGAGGGGGTTGTCTCGGCGGAGGATTTGGATATTCTTGTTAAGGCTAGTTTGGGCCCACGGTGGGCTGGAAGTGGTGTGTTTGAGAGTTATCATGCTGGTGGTGGAGAGGGTGGAATTGGGGCGTTTTTCCAGAAGCTTGCGCCGACAATTCAGGATGTGTGGGGTGACTTGGGCCAGATTGATATTGAGGGCGAGCAGCCGTGGAAGGACTTGGTTGTTAAGCAGACTGAAGATGCTTATGGGACTTATACTCTTGCGAAGAGGACGAAGAAAGAGGAGATGCTGAGGGATGTTCTGGAGCTGCAAAAGAAGAACTGGGAAGAGTTGTGATTTAGTCTGCTAGATATAAATATACGCATCTGATTACTCTGTTAAGGTTACTAGATTGATAAGTGAACAATAGAGTGCTTTATTCGCATTCTCGTATATCTAGATGGCAGTTGCCCTATTAAAAAAACCAAAACATTTTGTTACGTCATATTCGTTCCGTCCCTTACAGGATCTGCTGGAAAGCACGGTTAATAGGCGAGCGCACGGGGACGCCCTTGTAGAAGTCGATGGTGGCAAGAGCGCGCTTGCTGATGCCCTCGGGGGTGAACTCGAATTTCTGCAAATAATTAGTAAATGATCATGGACAAATGAGCGGATATAACTTACAGCGTAAACCTCCTTGTAGGGACCGGAAGCACCGAAGCGGTTCAGACCGAACTGCTCGTGTGAGTAGCGCTCCCAACCCATGGTGCAGCAGGCCTCGACCGACAGCACGGGGATGCCATCGGGCAGAACCTGGAGACGGTACTCCTTAGTCTGGGAATCGAAGACCTCGAAGCAAGGAATGGACACAACACGGGCAGCAACACCGTGCTTCTCCTGGAGGTATGTGGCAGCCTCAATGGCGATGCTGACCTCGGAACCAGTGGACACGATAGTGACGGCAGCATTGGGGGTGTCGACAGCGACGTAACCACCCTTCAGGGCGTTCTCGAGAGAGGAGAGCTCAAGCTGGGGCAGGTTCTGGCGGGTCAGAGCCATGACAGTAGGAGTGTGCTTGGAGGTGATGGCGGAGTAGTAGGCAGCGCTGGTCTCGTTGCCGTCAGCGGGACGCCAGACCATGCAGTTGGGCATGGCGCGGAAGTGAGCCAGAGTCTCAATAGGCTGGTGAGTAGGGCCGTCCTCACCCAGACCGATGGAGTCGTGGGTAGCGACGTGAATGACACGGACGCGGGACAGAGCCGAGAGGCGGAGGGCACCGGCAGCGTATGAGACGAAGTTCAGGAAAGTACCACCGGCGGGGATGATGGTACCGTAGGCAGCCAGACCGTTCATGACGGCAGCCATGGCGTGCTCACGCACACCGTAGCGAACGTAGCGACCGGCCCACTCGCCGATGCCAAGGTCAGGGGGCTGGAAGTCAACGGCGTTCTTCCAGCGGGTGTTGTTGGAGCCAGTCAGATCGGCGGAACCAGAGACCAGCTCGGGGAGGACGTCGTGGATAGCCTCGAGGCAGGCCTCGGACAGCTTACGGGAAGCGATGGCGGCATCAGTAGGCTTGTAGACGGGGAGCTTCTTCTCCCAGCCCTCGGGCAGCTTGCCGGAGAGACGGCGAGCGAGGTCCGCACCCTCGGTCTTGTGCTCGGCCTGGTACTTCTGGAAGAGCTGGTTCCACTCCTGCTCCTTGGCAGCACCCTCTGCGGCGTGCTTGTGGTACTGGTCGTAAACCTGCTGGGGAACAACGAAGCTCTCCTCGGGGTTGAATCCGAAAAGTGCCTTGACGTGCTTAGCATCCTCAGCCTTGAGAGGGTTGCCGTGGACACCGCCGGTACCGGCAAGCTTAGAGCCGAAGCCAATGGTGGTGGTCAGCTTGATGACGGAGGGCTTGTCAGTAACCTGCTGGCATCTGCGGATGGCAGCCTCGATACCCTCGAGGTCGTGATCACCATCCTTGACCCACTCGGTGTGCCAGCCGTAGGCCTCGAAGCGCTTCATAACATCCTCAGTGAAGGCACACTTGGTGTCACCATCTATAGAGATAAGCTGTCAGCCCTTCATATCTAGCTTGCGGTACTCGAGTCAATCTTACCAATGGAGATGTGGTTGTCATCGTAGATGGCAATCAAGTTGCCAAGCTTAAGGTGACCAGCCATAGAGGCAGCCTCGCTGGCAATACCCTCCATAGCGCAACCATCACCGAAGAACATGTAGGTGTAGTTGTTGAAAAGCTCGAAGCCGGGCTTGTTGAAGACACCACCGGAGTGAGCCTGAGCCATGGCGAGACCAACAGCGTTAGCGAAACCCTGGCCAAGAGGACCAGTGGTGACCTCAATACCGGGGGTGTCGTGAGCCTCGGGGTGACCGGGGGTGATGCTGTCGAGTTGCTACTGAAATGAGTACATGGCTGTTGTATATGGCTTGGAGGGACTTACACGGAAGTTCTTCAGGTCATCCAAAGAGATCTTGTATCCGAACAGGTGGAGCAGAGCATACTGCAGCATACAGCCGTGGCCGTTCCTATCCAATTTGAGATTAGCCGGTATTCAAAAGCGCGGCCATTGATTTTTCGCATGGAAAGAACCCGCCTAGCTTTCAGAGACGGAGGAAAGCACATACGAGAGAACGAAACGATCACGGTTAGGCCATTCGGGGTTCTTGGGGTTAAAGTTCATCATGTTCCAGAGAACGTGGGCCACGGGGGCCATGCCCATAGGAGCACCGGGGTGACCGGAGTTGGCCTTAGCAACGGCATCAACCTAATAGCGAGATAAATGTTAGTCAGATTTCCCAGACTGCACGCATCGAAGCTTCATATGAGGTCCAAGACCCCAATGTAGCTCCATTGAGCGCGTAGAACGTCGTGGCGATTTTCCCGGGAAAAATTAACGTACCGCCAGAAGACGGATGGTGTTGACAGCCAAATGGTCCAGATCAGTGTAACCCATGATGGCGGATTCTAATACCGTTAGAAAGGAAAACCACAAGAAGTCAGTTCAGTACGTACATTTTTGAGTAAAGGGGAGGATTTGGGGAGATGAATGAGAGAAGAAGAGAAGAGGGAGGGGAACGTATTTGTTGGTGGGGGTATGATGTCGGGTGGGGGAGGCGGAGGCCTGCAGCCCAGCAACTTAGCTTACGGAGTTCAGATCGCATTCAGCAGAGAATTTATGGAGGAAATCTATTTACGGGGGTATTTCTGTCTCGTTCGAAATGCTAAATCAATCCAATTGCCCTCTCTAGACTTGTATAGGTATCTGCTTAGCTGCTATACCTCTCGACCCTATGGGATGAGTCATCAACGAGGGCATGAATATGTATGAAGCAACGACATTGTATATGAACATGCACTCGACCACTTCTGCACTTGTCTCGAAACGCATCAATAGCCGTTTATTCCGTCTGCACCTTCAATGGCCCGCATTTCCGACACTCCTCCATCCACACCTCCTTCTAGTATACACCGGGAGCCGTCCGGAGGACCCTGCTCCGACTCGCAACCGGCCTGTTCACGGAGGGAAATTAGCCGAATTTCTATCTATGACTCCTCAATAACCGTGCCGATGATCAGCTGGTCGACTGAAAAAAAAAGCTTTGATGGCCTGCCTCGAAGGCTCCTTGACAGCTCCTTGACACTTGTCAACGTGGCCGTGCATCGGATTTCCTAATTAGGCCAGTCCGAAGAAACATTGTGACACCAATGACAAGATAAATCTGCGAATATAAGTGGAATGGCAATCCATGGGAATTTATAACGCGACCCCCACAGTATGTCGTCGCTGAGACGGGGGAATTCACCCGTGAACGTCTCGGTGTGCCGGAAGAAGAGTTAGCGCGGGAGACATCATCCAGTCACGTGCGAAGTATATCTGAACTGTACATCTACGTGATCACATCCTAGGCATTGTGGTTTCTGTCAAAATACGAGATATCTGTTTAGCATGTACGTCGGGCTCGCCTGCCTGGTATCAGCCTGTCTTCAGCCAACCTCCCATCTGAGTACACACCCAACCCAGACCCTTGTTGTGCTTCCCCAGGAAGTCACTGTCACCCAGGATTAAAAGATGAGAAACTCCAGTCCAATATCAAATTCTGAAGGTAATGCTTGCGTCGAATCATTCATGTTGCCTCCTTGATCAATACCATGAATAAGCATTCAAGGAGTTTACGGCCTCCCGATGCAATCGCCACCCCCGGAACCTCAACTCCGACGAGGTGTGAGGGGAACGTTCGGGGAAATCCCCCGGCTCAAAGCCAATCATCCAAGCCCATGTTGAGCAACATCGCAGTTAGGTCAGCTCGCGCTACATGGGCACATTAAAAATCCGCCAACTCATCTCAGCTGCTGGAACTCCACGTCACAACAGGAAACCAGGGCACCTGACTAATATGGATGGCATATTGATCTGGGCTCGATATTAATCTCGTCGTATATGGAGCCTACAAGAGAACTATTGAATAAATTAACACGGAAGACCCTTGAATTAGGATCGATTTTGGGTTCTGTAATCCTAGGATTGTCTGTGACTTGAGTCAGCTTTACATGGGGCTGGCCCTCTCGTTTAGGATCATGTAGCGCAGCAAGCCCACATTCCTTTATATAAAGGATACTTGAATTGAATGGACAATCGTTCTTGTCTCTATCTACGGGTCATCATTTAGCATCTGCTCAGAAATATATATCCTGTCGCGATGGACAAAGAACAAGAGTCTACTCAGTCCCAAACCGATGTGTAAGCTCCCCCAACCTTTATTTAACATAGTCTAATATTTATCGCAGACTCATCATCGGTGCTGGACCATGCGGCCTTATGGCGGCTTACTGGATGGCTCGCTACGGAGTCAACGCACGCATTATCGACAATCGTGCCACGAAAGTCTTTCAAGGCCACGCAGACGGGCTTCGTTCGCGCACGCTGGAGTTGTTTGACAGTATGGGTTTCCAGCATCGTGTTATGCAAGAGGGATCTATCTCCACCGAGGCGAACATTTGGGTGTGTATCACCTTGTTTTCCAATATTAGAGGCTTGCCTGACGATACCAACAAATAGGTTCCCGGACCGGAGGGAAAGCTTGTCCGACAGGCTCAGATTGACATATTTAGGGTCGATGAGTCTCCCTTCCACAATACATGCTTGAACCAGGGACGCATTGAGCGGTTCCTTCTCGATAGTATTCGGGAGCACTCTGATCTTGATGTGGAACGGAGCGTGATCGCCGACTCTTTGGAATACGACGAGAAACTGAGCGATGATCCCGACGCATATCCTATCACTGTCAAGGTCAGAGTTCTTGGCGAAGATGATCCGAATTCGTCGTGCGGACAGGAAACCGAAGTGGCTGGCATCGAGGTGAACCGCAGTAACCTGCTTCCTGATGACTGGGCCGATCTAGCCCCGCGTAAAAAGCCACAGAAGACACAGGTCGAGACAATCAGAGCAAAGTATCTAATCGGATGTGATGGAGCCCATAGCTGGACCAGAAAACAGCTAAACATCCCCGTGGAAGGGTCGAACACGGACCATATATGGTTAGTGGTAGACATTACCCACCCATGCTACAGCAGCTAATATAACGCATATACAGGGGCGTGATAGACGTAAAACCCGTCAGCGACTTCCGTAAGTAATACCCGCAGTGTGCACCCCCTTCCCACTAACATTTCCACAGCGGACGTCCGCCGTCTAAGCGTCGTAACCAACGCCGCAGGCACGATCCTCGTGATCCCACGCGAGCGCGGCCTAGTCCGCTTCTACGTCCCCGTGCAAACCTGCGAAGCGGGCGCAACCGACCGCTTTGACCGCTCGAAAATCACATCGGATCTCATCCGAGAACGTGTGCAAGCCATCTTCGCCCCCTTCACCTTCAACTTCAAGGAATGCAGTTGGTGGACTGTCTACCAAGTCGGACAGCGGATCGCCACCCAATCCACAAAAGACAACCGGATCTTCCTTGCCGGTGATGCGGTGCACACGCACTCACCCAAGATGGGGCTTGGGATGAATATGAGTATGCAGGATGGGTTTAATGTTGGGTGGAAGGTTGCTCTTGCTGTGGCGGGTACTCTCAAGCCGAAGGTTCTTGGGACATATGCTTTGGAGAGACATCCGCTTGCGGAAATGTTGCTTGACTTCGATCGCCATTGGTCGCCTATATTTACTGATCAGAAACCTGGAGCGGATACGAAGGCTTCGGATATGGCTCTTATTGCGGGGAAGTTTGAGGACTTTGCTGATGGATGGAAGGTGTTTTACCCTGCGAGCAGTCTTGTTTGGAAGAGTGAAGATAATGCTACATTTCCTTTTGCGCGGCATATGATTCCTGGGGAGAGGGTCCGGCCGGCAAAGCTTCGCAATCAGGCTGGTGGTGGTACAATATGGACAACAAGAACGTTGGAAAGTGATGGGCGCTTTCGCATTCTAGTTTTGACTGGAGATATTCGAAACCCAACGCAGAAGCAACGCATTGAGACTTTGACTCAGGGTTTGGCTGGACAGTCTGGATCAAGCAGTTCGCCTTTCAACCGCTACATGGAGATTCCTGGTCGGTTCAAGAGTCCTGTTGATGTCTTTACCATCCATGCTTCGCCGTGGAAAGAAGTAGAACTCTTTGATTTCCCAGAGATTCTGCGTCCATTTGATCCAGTGGAAGGGTGGGCATATGACAAGATTTGGTGTGATGATGCATGCATGTTTGATCGATATTGCGATGGAACAGCATATGAGAAGTGGGGAGTTGACCGGGTTCTTGGGGCGCTGGTGGTCGTTCGCCCGGATCAATATATCGGATGGGTGGGTGAACTTAGCGATGTGGACGAACTGACCCGGTACTTGGATGGGATTCTTGTGAAGAAGTCTACAGACGAGGTTGATCCAGTTCTCTAGAGAATATCCTACGGGACATTAGGAATGCGACATATTTGAAAATATAAATTGGTGCAAGCTATATGCCGACCAATTAAATAAAAAATGATGTTATGAAAGAAAAACAAGCAAGACTATTGGTACATGCACAACCGCGCTCATGCTTGCGCTTGCCTCTCCGGCGCCGACCCATCTTCTCGAATCTCAGTAGGAAGATCAATATGAGATGATATAGGAGCATTCTCATTTTTGTCCAATGAGGCCCGGATAAGGTCTGGATTAGCAGGGAACCGGAACTTCGAGCTCTTCCACGGCTTCACTTTCATCCGGTACATAGTATCGATCTCCTCCAGAGTACGGCCTTGTCCCTCCATAACGGCAAAGTAAACCAGAGCCGCTGCGAAAAAGAGACATCCAGCGAAGACATACCCGAAGCGGAAGTCAATAGCGCCGGTAATAAAGGGTGTGAAGAAGGCAAGGAGGAAGTTCCAGAGCCAGTTGGATGCAGTCGCCAGAGACATGCCTTGCGCGCGGTATTGCGAAGGAAACAGCTCGGCGACGATCGTCCATACCATGGGACCCCAGGTACTGGCAAAGCCAAGAATGAAAAGACAGGCAAAGACTACCATAACTACGCCGGCGGTTTTTGTTCTCTCTGGGAACTCTTGGTCCAGAGAGAAATGGCCCACCGAGGCGAAGACCATGAAGCAGACGAACATCCATAGCGCACCGGTTATAAGAGAACGGCGTCGGCCCCAGTTTTCAATTAGGTAGAGGCCGAGGAACGTTGATCCAAAGTTGACGGCGCCTAGAATCAGCTGCGTGACATAACTGTTCTGGATTCCAGCGCCCTTGAAGATTGTTGTTCCCTAGTAGGTGTTAGTTGGTTGCATTTCCTCTGTATTATACCAGATTTCAACTCACATAATAGAAGAAGTAATTAGCACCCGTCAGTTGCTGGAGAGCTTGCAGAGCGACACCAACAGCGATCCGGTACGCCATCGTCGGAGCACTGAACGTCTGAATCCAGGTAACCTTCCCGTTGAGCTTTTCTTCCTCGTGTTTTTGTCTGATCTCATCAAACTCGATATGTAGAGCGCGGTGGTTGCAAGGGATACCATAGACTTTGGAAAGGGTGTTCATAGCTTTCTCCACCTTGCCATGGCGGTAGTCGTAACGTGGACTTTCAGGGAAGAACACCATACCAACACCAAGAATTGCAGCCCAAATATATGTGATACCCATAGGGATACGCCATGAACTGGGGCCGGGTTGAGCTTCAGTTCCGAAATTGACACAGTTGGCAACGAAGATTCCAAGTGTAATGAATAGCTGGTATGTACTGAGAAGAGTTAGAAAGCGATACAGAATGACCATAGGGCTGGCTTCCAACATACCTAATCAATGATCCTCGAATGTGCCTCGGTCCTGACTCGGCTTGATACATAGGTACGAGTAGAGAAACTGCCCCAACTCCGAGTCCGGCGACCCAACGGCCCATGGCAACCTGGTACCATTTGCCAGAAGGCGAGGATATCTGGATCGTGACTCCGACACACACCATCAGAGACCACCAACTAATACACCACTTTCGCCCGAAGCGGTCGGCGATCGGTGCTGCGACTAAAGCTCCAATCAGGGTACCAACCGACAGCTGTAGGTTGGATGTGTTAGCATATGAGCAATAAATGATAAAGAGCCAACTACTTACCAAGGCAACAATGAGACCCGAGCGGACATTAGTGAAATGATAAGTCCCATCCGATTGAATTTCACCATAGCGCTCAAGGAAGTCCTTCATCTCCAGGAAGCCAGAGATCTGACCAGTGTCGTAACCGAAAAGGAAACCGCCCATAGAGACGAGAATGCCCATAATGAACGACCGCCACGTGAGGAGCGGAATAGGCGTGTCGACGACATCACCGGGACCATTCTCCTGTTCATTTGCAGGGACGTGGGAGTCTGCATAGAGGTCCTGCGGACGCTTTTTGAGGATTTTATCGAACATAGCGCCAGCGAGTACTCTTAACCCGTAGTATCTGCTATTCGCAACTGATTTTCGAATTTTCGAAATCAAAGCCGGACCGGATTGGCCTTCTTATAGGGAACCGTGCCTGACCAAGAAAGCCAAGGCTAGGCAACATGCACAGTGACGGAAGCCGGGTTCTGAGGACTCATGGTTACCGAGTCGGGAAGGACGCCTCGCACCGATGACACGTTGACCCGAAACCCGGAGCACGCGCCCTTCGCGGCGTCGCTTATCTCCGCAAGAAAGACATAGTCCGGGGAATATCATCCGGATTTGGAAGGTCTCCCGGGTCGGCTACGGGGTGTGCGGGTGGTTCGTCGTTGCTGTTGGTCGGCATGTCAACCCTAGACTCCACGTCCCCGACTTTCGGTGGCAAAATCTCCGCGTTTGGGCCCCCGCGATTCTTGTTTTTTGTGGGAAGGAAGAAGATTCCGGGGAAACAGCCACGCGGTAGTCTGGGGTCCCGAGGTCTGGAGAAGTAGTGATGTAATCGGTGGCAGCCACAAAGCTTGGCATTGCCAGACATGGCAACCTCGCAATAATGACTGGTTTGAATCAAACCGGGAGTGATCTCGATAAATAAATAGACTAGTGAGTGCAGAAAAACGTGTGATAGTCTTCCTAGCTGTACTTTTGTGAGTGCTGAGTATAGTTCATGTCCATTTTTGCTTTTATTCATATTACTATATAACTAGGGCATAGGGCTTACATTATTCTCTTGGACCTTGAAACCCAAATGTTCAAGTACGTAACCGGATTATTTGATCAAATTATAGTCCTTACTACTAGACGTCTTATTGGGTAGCATAGACCACATAATCTTCTGCTAGATAGTCTATTCAATCGTCCTCCGACTCAGAGAATCTACTATGCAAAAGGAAGGCAACAGTTTCCAACTGTTCCATGCCACGGTACCCACCGTAAGTATAGTTTACGGGAGAATCTCGGTCAATTAGTGTACTTCGAAATATGGGTCGTGGCCTCCAAGGTGGTCAAACCGTCGCTAACCAAGTCATCTTCCACCCTTCCTCTTTTCTGTCAATTTCAAGTTTTCCAAATTCTGATGACCATCAATAGCCACTTTCATTAGGATAGCTCCCTATTTAAGCGATATGAAGAAGAGGAACAACAGGCTCAATCGAGTCCGCACGGTGCTCAAATTCGCGGCCCGAGCTACTGATCGGCAGCACCGTCTCATTCGTGACTGCATGTTTACCTTCCGACTGACATTCCAGTCCCGCCCGATCCAAGACTTCCCGTGCCGCCACAGCAGTCCTACACCGGTACCGCATCGCATAAACCGCAACAGGAACACCAACAATCCACCAAGAGAACATAATCGGAAGCGCCCGATATAGCCGATTATCGCACCCATCCGACCAAATCTGGACCAGAACCTGGTACGCCTCATAAGACGGAAGCGCATATCCCCATCGAAAGAATCCAGGACTCAGCTCAAACGGGCTGATAGTGCTAGCGACATTGAGAATAGCCCACGTCAGAACAACAAACGGCATGAACTGAATCGGGATAAACGCAGTCGCGATATCGAAGAATAGGAAGTTGATGTGCATTAAGAGCCACATTATGACCCAGGTCAGCACGAACCGACTTCCTTGCTGTCCCCACGACTCCCGGAACGCCCAGATATACCCGGCCATTAACAGTGAGCCTGTGAGGGCGTAGATGGTAGAGGCTATCGCGCGGATCAGGACGTTTGTTTTCCAGGATAGGTTTATGAATGCGTCGAGGTGAGTTGAGATCCCGTTCAGCGCTAAGATGAAGAAGAACTGTTGGACGATTGGAATCACCATGGAGACTGTGTTGTAGAAGACTCTTGTGCCCTGCTGCGTGCCTTTGATGTTGATTTCTGCAGCGTGGATGGGGTCGAGGAAGGCTTTGAGGGTGGCTTCGTTAGAGAAGTCGGCGGATGCGACTATTGAAGATCCAGCGTTGGCGTAGTATGTTGACCGGGTGGTTGCAATTAGTTTCAGGATGTTGGTGTAGACTGCCGCCTGCGAGAACACTGGGTATCGAACCCCGTTCCAGATGTAAGTGAGTGAGGTCAGCGGGTTTGACCCGTTTGCCAGCGCTGATTCCAGACTAGCTGATCCATCCGAGGTAGTGTAAATAGCCGCCCAGTACTCACCGCGGCATACGGCTTCGCGAATATCCTCTGGCTGGGGATATTCGTTAGAAGATCTTGGCAGCAGGGTTGGGAACCCGTCGCCTTGGAGTTGGTTGTAGGCGTCTGACACTGACTTTCCGATAATACCGCCGTCATAGTCAACATAGAGCACATTGAAGTTGTGATAACGGGTGGTACTGCCGAACTGCGTTGCATAAAGATAGCACATGTTCACTAAGAAAAGGACCTGAAGGAGGAGAAACATGGTAATCACAGCTGGCAAAAACCGAGGCCGGATCTCCTTCCACGCGCCCATTTTGGATATGAGTTTGATGTGGACGTCAGATTAGGAGATGTAGAACCTAGGTTCGGTTCGAGATGATAAAGTATCAATGGTGATTGATGTTCCCCTGAAGAGGCATTTATAGGGATTGTCGGAAGCCGATCCCTGTGCTTCTTACTGGCTGTGTACCCATGGATATTTACGCGACCTTGGTCACTCCAAGTGGTTGCACCATTCGAAGTATAAGTATAACGATATCTCTGGGATACATTATACTATGAGGCCTACCAATCATGCCGCTCAGGGAGTCTCTCAATTTCCCGCTGACTCAGCGGCATAACACCTCGGATCAAACTGCAATTGGTTATGAAGGACCATTCTCATCGACCAGCTGCTACACGAGGATAGCTGCTCTTTCAAACAATCCATGCGATGTTCCACAACAATATCCTCTAGGGAAAGGAAGACCCGAGGGGCAAAGTATTGCTACCAAGAGCCGAAGCGCTGTGTTGTTTATGCTTGTAGGAATATTATATGGATCATATGGATCTACTTCAGGTGCGATTAGGTCCAAACGAGTGTTTGATCATCATCAAATTCATGTGTACGACATCTTAGACGTCGCCTATCCCCAAGCATACTGTACTACTACGACAGACAAAAAAATGTTTCCAAACAGAGAAGACCAAAGGGAGATGGAGGAAAATACCAGACAGAAATCGAAACAAAAAAACGCAAATAACGCCCCCATCCACAGGTATCATGAATAGAACAGAAAAGCGTCAAACCCAAATCCTTCCAAAAAGACACCCAGCGCTATATAACTAATCAGACGGACAAGAGTCGGTCCCACCCATCGACTAAAGAAACTCATCGAGCTCATTCTCCATGCAGAGCAAAAGTATGGAACGGGTCCATCGTATTCATATCTTCAGGACAGACCCGGACATCGGCATAAGGCGCCAGAGATTCCTCGGCGCTTCCCATGCTCTCGCTTGAATAGCTCAGGACGCTCTGCGCGGTATGTTCTTGTTTATGTACGAAGTCGCCACTACTGGCGGACCACGCCTCGGGCGAGAGGTCGTGCATCTCACCCTGCGCGTGGTTGACTAGGGAGGGATCGTTGGGTTTGCGGTTGTATTCTGCTGCAATTGAGGCGAACGGACCCGGGTCTTCGCCGCATTCTTTGCCGCCATAAATGCCTGTGAAGATGTTGGAGTATCCGCGGTCCATGTCACTCAGCACATATTCCCAATCGGCCATTGTGATGACACCAGCTTGGGGGTCGGAGGGTGTAGAGCAGGACATGTTGCGTGAGTGGTCGTACCCCAAGGATGCGGATAAGCGAGGGTCTGAGGCTAGATCCAAGGGAGAATTCGCCTTGTCATTGTGGTAGAGTGGGCCGGAAAGATGGTCAGGTTGAGAGAGGGGCAGGCTGCTCCAGCTAGGGGAGCGGAGCGACTGGGGAAGAAGTGGGGGGGTGGTTCCGGAGATGGTGTTACGGCGGGAGGACTGAGGAGAGGGTTGTTGGGTGGGAGGCTGCTTATCGCGGGTGGAGCAGGCGATAAGGCGAGACTTGAGGGCCTGCAAGTGCTTCTTGGGGGATTTTCGGGGCTTTTGTGTTGGCGCCACCATCTCCTGGTGTTGATTGCTCACTGAAGGGCGTCTTCCGCCGTCCAGAGGAATCAGAGTGTTGGACAGCATGTTGAATTCAACAGCCGCCGCGCTCGACTCTGATTGGAGATATTGCATGGCAGTGCCAAGCAGCTTCTGGCTATCCTTGGCCAGTTTGCTATCGTTCTTGATATCAAGGATTTGCCAGAGGAGTCCAAGGCCGGAAAGGAATATGAGCTCTTTCCTGTTGATACAAACAGACAGACACAAACGCCTCTCATCAAGAAGTTCAAGAATCTGAATGATGTGCTTTGCTGAATCGGACACCGCTAGAACAGACTGAGAGCGAAGAGTCTCGTCAGCGTAGCAGACAGCTGGGCGATGAATCAAAGATCGAATGAAATAGTATACAAGTGACTATAACAGGTCAGTATTCTGCCAACATTAATGAATCCATGCGGGGACTTACCAGGAGCGGCGAGCGACTACTCGTGACGTTCGTGCTAGGCTTGTCCTGACTGAACTCGAGACGAAGGTGTGGCGGCAGTGTGTGAAGCCACTCGTCCAATTGCCCTGTTACCGAGCGCATTTTGGAGACACACACATCGTAACCAGATTTTGAAGGGTACAGATCTGCAAGGGCCTTGTTCAAGATCCGTGCAGCTCCGAAGAGAGCGATGGCACTGGAGATGCGAGTGGATTCGCCAGGCAGGGTCGGCAAAAAGCCTGTTTCTGTAACATTCTCATCGTCCACATCAACCGGATACTCAGTCTCGATATCCTCTTCGCGCAAAAGGACAGGCAGTCCAGTAAGCGCGGAGCAGAATCGGTCAAGCACATATTGTGACCAGAAAACCTTCTTATAAGTCTCGTCCTCGAGTGGGTTTCCCGAGCTTTCTTGGTTTTCGTGCATTCCTAGCTGATGGCAGATATCCACACCCAGGGCACGGTAGCGAAGCAGGGTGCGGTAGTCGCCTTTGGTCATGCAATAAATCTGACCAAGAACGAAGCACTGCAGACTGGAAATGGAGGTTTCACTCGAGAACGAATCAAGGGTGGCCGACCAATTCTCTTCAAAGAAAGTCGGGTCTTGATTGGTTCGCGACATTGATGAAAGAGCAGCAATACCAAAAATCAGGTTCAATTGGGCCATCACATGGGGATTACGCTGCAGGGTCTCTGTGTTGTTGAGATACTGCTCATAAGCTTTTAGAATGGTCGGTCGATGTACCACCGGGTACAGCGGCGCCCATTCTTGGAAGAAGATGTTAATCAACTGGTCCGACACCAAGCGAGGTGGTGTCTTCACAGCCTGGTTGGGGGTACCCTGGAATACCAAGGCAGACAAGGCAGTGAGGGCTCTTGTCGGCACCTTAGTAGCTGATTTCCCCTCAAGGACAAGCTTGTTGGTAAACACATCTGCACATGTAAGTTGATTGTCTCCTGCAAAGGGAAACGCATAACATACCAGCAAAGCCCTGTGTGCTAGAAAATCCAACGAAAGGGTTCTGCGATTGTGGGGATGGTCGAGTCGTCGATCGCTCTACATGGAACATGCCATCCGACGACTCCGAAGTATTCGACTTTACTGTGGCACACGCTGAAGGAGACCTTGCAGAAGGGGCTCGTTGTGGTGGCGTAAACGAATGTATCCGGGACAAGACATCGATCTTCTCATCCTTCTCATCCAACAGATCCTTCAAGTCCTTGACCTCCGTTTCCAAGCTCCGGACTCGTTCTTCTAGCGACTCGGTATATCCCCGTGGGAAGGCGCGGCGGCTCAGTTTATCGCTGGTGCGGCACTCGAAGCCCACGTTGGCGCATTGTGAGCAGCAAGGGCGAACGCCGTCGCAGCGTATTTTTTTACTGCGGCATCGGTCACAGGCCTGAGCAATACGGCTCGTGGTGCCAGTGCCACCGACCTTGATCACTTTCATCGGCAAGATACCAGGCATGTTGTGCAGAAGGGGCACACGGGCCACCGGGGGTTGAGTTGGTTGTATTTGAAAGGCGCCAGGAGTGTACGCAGGCACTGTGTATAAGAATTATTGACACCAGGACAATGCAACTAAAGAATCACCGGTTTGAATTGGACCAGTATGGGTGTATGCAGAAAGAAGCCTAAAAACATGGGGGGGGGCGACCTTCGGGAAGATGGGGTCGCTGAGTCAGTGGAAAGTGGAGCCTGCTGACCTCGGAGCCTTCCAATAAACTGGACGGTGTATGGTAAACTAATAATCGGTATTGCTCCATACCTGTTACCCCGTAAACCGCTCAAAACTCGCCCCGGATTCTTCCTGCAGTCGACATTTCTTATGTCTGAACGGTTGGATCCGATCCTCCCGGTCCCCGCACTCCACATTCTACTCTTTGGACAGCAATTATCTACGGATGGGAATATGGAAAAACGAAGGGTTACATGTCTGTATCGAGTACCGAGATAGACTTTTCGAGTGCTACATATTAGAGTGCAGACTCGAATCCTACCCGGTTGCGGGCAATTCCCAACCCGCTTCCGACTTCCTCCCCCGGGTTGTGCAGCTCGTGTCGATTAACGCAGGTGTGGCTAGGCTTCCTATTAAATCCTGGTCCGATGATCGGCCACCATCCACGGTTAATATGTCTCACTTTCCACTCAAAAAAACGCACGAGATAACTCCGCGATCCTTCCAAGGTTCGCATACTGAACACCCTGGATACTGCGCACAAAGTACCATCTTATTCGTTGGCCACTCGCTGTCTCCTGAAGTCATCTCGCCCACGCCCAAACCCAATCCCACGCTAATTTACGAGAATCGAGAAATCCCCGGGATAGCCCCCAAGGTTTAAATTAGATAATGAAGTAATCTATAGACTTCACTGCAGTGGCGAACTCGTTCAAGGGATCAACCGCGGGGAAAAAAAAACAATCCGATGCAACTAGAGTTTCAAAGGATTTGTGTGAATTATATGACTAGCGCTACTAGCTCCACCTGGGCACCTATCAACTGAAGCGATTCAGTCGTTGTCATCCGCGCCCAACCAAGGACGCGGGATATAGTTCGACAATACTAGAGCACTCGTAATGGGCAATTTAAGAATTAATAATACGCCTCGTATTCATTCGGTAAGCTTACCACAGTGCCGTTCTGTTCCGTCCAGCGAGTTTTGTCCGAGAAATCAGCGAACCATACTTTATAAGTCACGGGCCCCACCGGGCTCCGTTCGGGTGGAGATTTCGCGATGGACAGCTACGATGCACATACTTCGGACTCCATAGCCAATTCCCTCATTTCCAATTGTAGGCTGGAAACTATGCGCGCTGCTGGCATACCGAGTTCACGTCATCGTCGCGGCCAAAGTTCGTTTACGAAAACGCCAGGCCAGCCCGGTGATTCTCGGACGTGTCTGTAACTGGCTTGGCTTCCCCGCATGCACCTGACCCTATAATACCTGAAATTTGAATTTGAATTTGACCTCGCCTACTTTTCCATTGCCTGTTCTATTTTGTTTCTATTTGTATTTGTATTTCTATTAGCTGTTGGAAGATGTAATTTCCACATCATAACTAAACTATAAATGAAACGAGAAGTCACATGCATTATGATGATGATCATAATACTATACTAAGTAACTATGGAGTATAGAGATAAATATAGACAACACGTAACACTAACAGAATTTAAGCATTGATCATTTAAGCATGAAAATTCGCCTCGACAATATTCGAGGCGAGATTGGTACAACCTGGGCTGCAGGCAGAATCTGAACTGGCGCACTGACGGTAATAGACTGCCGGTAGTACGTAGATCCCTACGATCGTGGTATTCCTCACCCCTTTTTCCACTCAATGATCTTCCACTAGGAACGTCATACCTCTCTTTTCCCTGTCCTTTCGTCATCATTGGACGCTAGTCTCTACACATGGAATAGTTCGATGCGCTAGGGGGCGGTGGGGCTCCCAACCTTTTTTGAGATGATCTGGCGGGGACTGGGCTGGCTGCAGGCTGCTAGCCAACGAGATTGGGCAGGAGGTGGATGTTTAGGAATGCTTCGGATGCCTGAACATGTCCGTGGCGATATTAATTGCTTGTCTAGTCTGTACTCTGCAGTCTGGCCTTTAGACCCATCAACACAATCTGGGCTCTCGCATTCATGAAAAGTCTTCGGGTTCGTCCGGCTCCCCTGTTTGTGCTTTGAAATAATCGGCCACCGTTTGAGAAGCCAGTAGCTCAGTTCTCTGCGTGTTGTGGTCAGTGGCAAGAAATAAGAAGGGGGCCCTGTAAGACACCCAGGTAGGCTGACCTGTTTTATTAATCCCTCAACAGCCCTCTCCAGCAGCTCCCCTTCCAAGGTCCGGAACTGGGCAATCGAGGCAAAGATTCCAGGTCGGAACAATAAATCCAAATCTGCCTCGTCCTCTCGTAAATTCGTGATGATCTCCTCCATCTCCTGAAGCAGAGCGAGCTGGGTCTCGAGCCGTTCGAGCAGCAGCACCACAGCACGAAGCTGGAAAATATCCCACAGAGGATCAACAGTAAGTAGCTCGCGGAGACGGCTCGCTGATTCGATCTTCTCGCCTTTCCAGGTCGTTTCTAACTCCTGGCCGCCGTCAGTTGTCTGTGCGATCCCAAAGTGAAGCCCGTCTTCCTCGTTCACGCATGCCATCCACGCAAGCCCACTCTCCCAGGTCACCTCTTCAGAGCCCTCAACGGCCGATATTCGTAGGCCCGGATTCTCCCGGCAGAACATCTTCTTTGCGAGGCTCAGAGGGTCATCCGCTGGGATATCCAAACTGAGAACAATCCCCCGTGCTTCCGTCGTGCCGCTTTCCAAAAACCCGTAGGAAAATATCATCTCAGACGCGGGCTTTTCATCCCCGTACCTGTCATGCTATATCAGCCAAGTCCACAACCTCGTCCATCGTAGAATAGTCTCACGAAATCGTAACCTCTTCTCCAGGCTGAAGGCTCTTGCCCCATCGCAACTGGAGAACGGCATTCCCCTCCGAGTCTACATCGTATAGCGCCTTGACCCCATCATCGGAGACATGATTGGCCATATCAACACAAGGCACCATCGCCAGGCCACTGCCGGGTAGCTCCAGCATGCGCGACCGATAAGCAGCATCGACATATTTCCAATCATCAATGTTCAGCGCGCCGGTCTCCTCATCCCACCAGCTCCGCTGGCACCACGCAATACCCTCCGTAGCCTCGCGGAGCTGTTCAAACTCCCGCTCGAGAGAAGTAAGCTTTGCATCGAGAGCTTCGGCCAGCGACGTGCCGCGGAGGAGCTCCTTTTCCTCGCTGGTGTAGAAGGTAGGCAGCGGGAACGACGGAGGCAAGAACTTCACGTATTCAGTCCAGGGATTGGAGACACCGATGGTCTCGTGTCCTGAGCGCAGATCTGGGCTGGTATGGGACAGTTGAATGAGCAAAAATATGAGGATTGCTCCTCTGGCTGTCTGTGTATCTTAGTTGGTTTTGCCCTTTAGATACAAGGGAGCAGCCCGGGTCATACCCTTCCAAAGTCGCCGATTGCCTCCAACACATCACGCAAATACCTGTCGGTTTTGGCATGGTTATGGACTGTTTCCAGGGAGAGAACTAATTCCGGGGGGATTTGTAGCAGGATCTTGGGGTTTGCGTCGTTCTCGCTGCTTGTCTGGGCTTCTGTTGCGATGAGCGCACTGCCTTTGTCTGCGCCATGTTCATCAGATCCAATCTTGTGGACTTCTATGCCTTGGACGACGACCCCACTGAGCCGCTGCCAGGCTGGCAGGGATTCGATCGGGATATACTCGCGTTTCATAGTGAGTTGGCGGTTGGTGTCGTCCGCTTAGTTAAAATGTCGCGTCGATGACGATCGATTCCTTATCGATAAGCCCGCTCGAACCGGCTCCCTTACCCTTTTTGGACAGAAAAGCATTGCAGCATAGGGACGTCATAGCACGCAGTAGGAATAATCATAAAAGCCAACGTTGTGGCGAGTCCAGTATTTAGATTTACTCGCAATTCACTATGCGCAACCACTGTATCTTTTCTGCTACATCAATGCTGCACAACATGTCTGTTTCACGCCAACCTTGGCGGGTCATCCTACCGTTACAGTCCGTCATACGCCCGCCGGTTCTCCGTGCACCACTTGGGGTCCGATACTACTCCATCTTCGAGGATTGGAAAGGGAGTTCGGCGGAGGACCACATACGCAAGAGGTCTCAGAAAGGTGATACAGACGATGTACATTCAGAGGCAGTGGCCTCTGGATTGGAGGAGAGGAGAGCATACCAGGGAATTGCAGATGACAGCAAGTCACAGGGAATGACCGAGAGGGGCGGGACCAAGCATGGGAAGAAGGCTAAGGAGGAGCATCCCAATGCGCCAGAGCCAATCATTGGCATGAACGATGAGCGGCAAAAGGTCAGTCCATATGAATGATAGGGGATTTCTGTTGCTGACTGTGAATTAATCAGGGGGGTTGAAGTAAAGTATCTTGTGATGGGCTATGCGTTCTTCGAGCTCGACGGTGAAGTCGACGCCCCAAATTTGTGATTCTAGCAGAGAACGAGTCCATAAGACATTTCCATTACTAATGTCATATTATGGGAGATGCTGTACATAAAGGAACTGGTCTACCGACCAACCTTGAACGATAATATCTGCCATGGTAATCAGTCAATCAACCGTATTATGTAGTTAGTGGGGGCACTCACGTCGTGTTTCCCAACTGCCACAATGTCATCCTCGGAGACTCGAGTTCCACCCACACCCTCGACATAGTTGATAGGTACGTCGCCCATCACCTTCCGGGCAACATCACCGACGGTACTGTTTCTGTGAAATGTTAGACTGGCGTCAGCCTTCTAATAGAGAGTACTTACTTATTGACCAAAACACAGTCGCGGAATACAGCAGTTCCAGTGCCAGAATTGAATGTCGCCACGTTTCGAACGGGGAACACTGGTACGAGTCCTAGAAGCTCTGCGGCTCGGGAAAGACATTGGACGACCCCGGTAGATCCAAATCGATACAGCACCATATCTTTCATGTTCTCAACCCGACTAGAGCGACGTCAGTCAGCAAAAGTACGACATTTATATGAGCACTGAACATACGTTTTCAATTTCTCGTCCATCTCTTTGAGGCCTCCTCCGTCTGGGTCGCCCATCTCGATCAAATCTTCTCGCGTGTCGATGAACTCACTGCCTTCAACGTACTTGATGTAATCCTGCTTTGCCAGCTTTCGGAGGAACACCTCGGATATAGCGGAGCAAAGCACAATGCTTTCGGGAGATTGCATTTTCGCAATTTTGCTGATGTTCTGCAATTCCTGTCAGAACAATATATGGGCCATAAGCTAAATATTCGTACCTTGTCTGCATCTGGGTGGTCGATCTTGTTCAACGCGAACACAGTGGGGAATTTCTCGTCGATAAAAGCGTTCACAACAAGCTCCACCGTCTCATTTGACCAGTCTTCCAATGGTTCTTTTAAGGCGAGTTTATCCATAAATCGCGCAACAGTGGCGTGGGTACTTCCATAACCAGCAAACTGTTTCTGTAATGTGTCGACAGGGTTTGCCTCTGTGCTAAGAGTCAGTTCGGTGTAACAAATAGCATTGGAAAAGTCCACTGACTCAATGCCTGATGTCTCCTCTTTATTGAACCCCTAAGGAGAGATCAGCACTTGTCCCTCGTTCCCTTGTTGGCACTTGCAAACGTACCACCTCTCCATCAAGTTTCCTAGAACCCATCGAACTATCTCTGATCGCAACCACTCAATGTCTACTGAGGGATCGTAACCTCGAGTAGCCTTTCCTGCGATATTTATCAACACCCGATCCCGCCATTGTATTCAATCCGGCACACCCAACTAACCTTCAGCATCCGTGGTCCCGCTCACATCCACGACGTGAATTAGAGCATCGGCATGACGCAGATCGTCCAAGAACTTGTTACCTAGTCCGCGTCCTTGATGCGCGCCTGGGACAAGACCTGCAACATCCAGCAACTCAATCGGCACGGAACGTCGCCCTTCGTGGCAGGCTCCGTAATTGGGCTGGCAGCGATCTGAAACATTGTATCGCTGGCATGGGCAGTCGATTTGAAGGTATCCGATGGCTCGCTGGGGGTCAATGGTTGTGAAGCTGTTGGTTGTCAACACGGTCTGCGCGATCAATGCGATAAGGTGGAGATGCTCATGTAGAACAATCGGGGAGCACATACGGGAAGTTTCCTGTTCCGAACATAATTTATTAGGTTTCAGTTGGTCATAATCGCATCTCGGTTCACTTACCGACTTTCGAAGTCGCATCGGTCAAGCTGTTCAATGTTGTAGATTTTCCACTAGACGGCTATGCCCCTCGTCAGTGGGGTGTGAGAACAATGGAGGGGAACAACATACCTTTCCCACCAGTCCGATCAGCGGATCTCGACCCATATTGAAGTATAGATGCGTCGAAGGGCAAACGATCCTTGGAATAACACAATGACCTGATTCACCAAGTCTCCACGCATCTCGGGGTTGGCTGTCTTTCGATAAGAAACATTTTCTGCCGCTCTAAAAAGGAAGGCGGTGCTAGCCATGACCTGCATGCTTTTATGCCGCTTTAGGACGCCGCTACTCTTCAAGCCTTCAGTGGATACTGCGTCTACTATCGCGCCTTGAAATCATTATGGAATAACTCGAGGATAGAAACCGATATCTGGTCTGTTGGCTATAATTCATGATGGAAATTTATGGCTAGCCGCTGTATATCTATACCCGTCCTTGAATTCCAGGTCTGTGCAAGCTTGATTGGGATGGGCTCCTGCTGTGTTGTCAAACATGAGATAGGTGATGTACTAGGCTCTGATCGAGCTTAAGATAATGCCCTCCACGATTATTCATCGAGGGCTCCCGATCGCGGTCGTGATATACCAAGAAACGTGTGAGAACATCGACAATCAATGGACTGAAGGGTATTGCACACAATCTGTCCAGAACATCTCGGCCGTCTAGCTTCAAGATATCCGTTGGCTCCTCGACAGGCCTCGAGTGGGATCATATGCGTAGCATCTTGGTAGCATCTTGTCGTTGAAGCACATCAGCAGGCTTGCCACCTCAGGTGGTCCATCATCTATGATGCCAGTCCCCAAGACTCACCCAGTTAATTACTCTGCTGTTGGCCCAACAGCCTAGAATTCCCAACCAACGTGAAGCATGTCAAAGATGGTTCTGTGGTGAGAATACCCATGGCATTGGATGCCATGGCGTCATTGTAGCAGACGTCACAGCATCTTGCCATCGACAGAGAAAATAGTAGATATATAAGTCCTTATTTGCCTTGAGGCTTCAGATTCAAAATCATACCCAGCCACTTCTGACACTTCTTCGTTTAAATCATCAAATTTACAGCCGGACGCAAAATGTCTAACGCTACCTTCCATACCACCATCCAGGACCTTCGCAGGGCCGAGTCCAAGCTTTCCCAGTTGCACGGTGGCAACCCTCCAGCGGACTCAAATGTCTCTAGAATGAAGGTGAGCTATCTGCACCCAACGCCAAGCAGAAATCAGATAGCCTAACATATGCTCTATAGTCTATTATCGACCAAAACACCGACAAGTCCGCACAAATTGACAGGGTTAAGGCCAATCTGCCTCTGCCTGATCAACCCCCAGTTGCCAGTGACTGGAATTCCCTCGACCAACGTATTACCGGCGTTGGCTCTGGACGTTTAGAGTTCCCTCCTGATAACAGTGGCCTGCGTGGAAGTGCTCCTGCCGGCAGTAGTGCTAACGAACTTGGGCTCGAGGACGAGGACTACATCACACCTTGACTGATGCTAGGTATGACCCGTTAATATGTGATCACGAGGGTTTATTATGTGTAGTCAATTTTTCTCTCAAGTTATGAGCGACGAAGTTTAATCGCAAATTTTTCAAGCTGATGATTTGTACTATATCAAATAGACTATTGAAAGAAAAAACCAACCGTCTTTCTTTTTTTTTTCTACTCGGAGGCTATAATAGTGCAAATCTAGAAAGCCTATGGTTTCATGTAGTGTCAATGTTAAGCCAAAAATATACCTGTGTACAATAAACATATAAAAGTCTGTTGCTATGAAAAACAGCGATGCCGTCATCGAACAAAATATAAGATTAAATGCTAAGACTGTACATTGCACAGCAGTAAAGATAAAGATATTTGCACTGTTTGCATACCAGTGTCTAGACCTGACGTCAATCGCCTCTCAACGTCAAGCTTCTCAGGAGATACAGGGATAAGAGGTGGGGGCATAGTTTCCCCTTTGGAGGCATGAATACATCAGAGAGGAGCATGTTCTCCACATGCGAGTTCGATCGGTTTCTCCAGCCACCAAACAGAGTATCTCAAATATAATTAGTCGACATGGACTGCTGCTAGCCAAGAAATCGAGCTTGCCAATATCTTGCAAATGCTCCTAGTTAACGTAAGTATGACATCAATTATCTTTAATATACGATGTAATTCGATGAGAACCATATACTTCCAACATGCGGACGGGTCATAGCTCACTGGTTTCCTATATAGATCTGCCATCACGGCCATATAGAGTTTATCAATTAACTATCTCCCATCTCTTCTCTACTGAACATATCTTCACCAACTTCAATCTAACCTTCTCCCTTTTCAATCAATCAAATCATCATGGATCTTCAAGGCACTCCTCTTCCTCCCACCAACCGTGGCACCAAGGTCACCCACGATCCTCGTTCACAACAGCCCGTCGAAGAACCATCTGGTCCTGTAACCAATGATTCGCTTGCCGCCGAGTCTGTCCGCCACGGTGGCAGCTTCTCTGCCAACCGTGGTGCCGAGCCCATGGGCGTCTCAGGAGACCAATCCACAGTAAACAACACCGACGTCTCCGCCTCCATCAAGCTTCCCTCCGCCCAAACCGCCGCTCAACGCCAGGACCGTCATGAGGAACAGAAGTACCCCGAATGCGTTGTCGGCCAAGGCAACTTCCCTGGCACAATGTCAGAAAACGGGTATGCCGGTGGTCCAACTGCAACCAAGAAGGAAATGGGCATCAAAGCTGGCGAATATTCTACCACCGGCGGCAGTGGTGGTAGGAGTCAGCCCAACGTCGGCGCGACCGAAATTAACCGTGGTGGCTTGCCCTCCGACAATTCTAAGAATGTCAGCTTCGATTCTGAGATCGGCTCCAGCCAGGACCCTGGCCGTGAGGCTATCAACCGATTTGAGCGCAGTAATGCGCACAGTGCTTATGACTCCGCCCGCCCTCATCAGAAGGGTGCTGATGGCCATACTGTATATGAGCACCTACAGAGTGACCAGCGTATTTGAGTCTATTGTTTGAGATTTGGCCCAACGAGTTTCATATTTGTATTGGGATCATGCAAGAGAGCTCGCTTTGACTGGGCTCGGCCTAGGCTGGGACTATGATGAGCTATGATTTATGACTGCGTATACTCATGTAAAGTAACACCTGAAAATATAATTATTCTTACTCTGTTTCAATTCCATAAATTCTGCCATGTAATTGTCAAGTTCGATGCATTCTATTATAAGACTAGCAATAATTGATCAACGAAAATAACGATGAGATGTATCAAAGGTTAGACAAAAGAGCAGTTTTCACAATTTAAGCCTTTTTCTACTTGGAAAGAAAAGACATACCATCGAGCCAACTAGTCATGTCATTCCTGTATCTATCTATCAAAAGATACGATAATCAAACTCATCAGATTCCGAACCCGAGTCCGAACCCGAGTCCGACTCACAGTCAGACTCATAGTCACTAGAAACAGACTCAAGGAACTCATATTCGTATTCTCCCACGGAGCACAGTCCATTGCTTCGCGGAGGAGTAATAACTATCCTCAAGGGCATCTTTGTTGTCTCATTGAAGCCCACATCTTCCTCCTCATCATACAGACCTTGAACACACTCTCTCACCAAAGCTTGTTCCCTTCGTCTCCAAAGATAATTCGCCAATTCAAGCAGCCCAATGGTGAACATAACAATCCAAACCAGTACCAGGAGAGTAATCACTGTCGTAGAAACCCCCGGAAGAGGATACTGTGGGAAGTTCAATCTTAAAGTTGTGAAGGTGAAGCGGGATGGACCCGAAGAGGAGTGGGAGAAAGATGGAGGCGAGGTGTGTTCGTGCTCCTTGTTTAGAGCGTTTTTTGTGCGCAAGTATTGTAGGATCATTTGATCGGGTATTTCTGGGGATTCCAGAATCAGGATTGAGACTGGCTTTCCCGATTCGGAGGTTCCTGTTGTATATCGATCATTTGGTGTGTCCTGCTCTGTTGATTCGTTTTTTTCGTTGGTTGGCCATGCTGGGTTCTATAGTGGCTATAGGTAAGTCGCCGAGTGGACAATATACATAGTAGGATTGGTACTTACCCCGTTGTATTTGACGTGCGGTGGGTGGGGTAATAGATCATATCCTTCTTCATGTTTCTCAAAGACCTTCCATATTCCACGAGCATTGGGGTCTTGGAATTGTTCCATCTTGACGCATTTGCTAGTTCGGATGGGGTGGGATGCAGTTGATTGAGTAACAGCCAAAATGAGGGCGAGTGTTAGGAAGGAGGGGCGATTGATATGCATTTCCAGGGATATAAAAAGGAAATTGGCTAAATGATACAGCCGTACATGCAGAAAGAATGATTTGCCCGACGCATAATGAGGGTGTATAGTTCCTTAAATCATTTTTTTAAGGACAGGGGGAGATAAAGCCTTGATCACAAGGAAGAAGCGTAGGACAAAAGTCACCACCCGATTCTCAGATCCGGTGCCTGATACCAAATACGTCCCTAGACCTAGGCTAGTGTTGAAAGAGGATCAGAGTCATCCAGGGCGCTACGCATGGTGATTGGGCTGATACTGATATCTGCTGCGCTTGGGGTAGGTACTTCATCCCTTGTTCAATGTCAAGGTCGAGGGGCGTAGGGATTGATCATATTGATCGGCGTAGACATAGAACGCCACGTTAATAGTTCATTTTACGATGCAAGGCTAATTGTCTAGGCTTGGCTCTTCACACTAAATATTTAGCGCTGTGTTGACCCGATTTGCTAGTACAATTATTGACTTCGCTACGCTGTGTGACTGATTACATTCGCGCAAATGTACCTAGGTAGGGCTGACTGCCTTAAGACACTATCGAAAATTGGAAGGGGTCGAGACTCATTTCATGTGCGACCTGTTTATCTATCACGCAAGGGGAGCCGGCTGTTCTAGATCAACTCCTACAACAATCAGGCATAACGTGGTCTATGCAGGTGTCACACTGCCTGCGGGGAAATACAATGGCTGGAAATTGCATGGATGTCCATTGGAATTACCCAAGACCTTACTCATGACCGAAAGTCTATCAGGTTGGTGGTATCTCATTGGAATTCTTGCCCTTTTTCGTACACCATTGAAATAACGCCGAGATGGAACAAAACAGCAAATATAGAAAGATACCCATAGGCCGGACCCCATAAGACATGCACCGTCTGAACAGACGGTATCAGAAACCTGTACAACCAGAGAACCCACTCGCATTGAACAGCGTGGGAAGAGCAAATAACAAAAGGTAAAGCAGACAAGTCGAGAACATTTTTAGACTGTCAGCTTCTTGATCTCCTTCTGGGCCAAGCCAGCAAGCTCCTCGAAGACCTTGGTGAACTCCTCATCATCCTCCTTCTTGCCCTTGGCAGCCTTGGGGGTAACCATGACCACACTGGTAGGGCGCTTGGTGGCAGCGGAAGCACCAAGCTCAGCACGGGAGGTGACAAAGACGTAGGGAATTCCGTGGTCCTCGCACAGAACGGGAATGTGGGAGATAACATCCATGGGGGAGATATCGGCAGCGAGAACGACGACACCGCTAGGGACACCGATGGCAGCATTGGCAGCGGGGATGGGAGACTTGCGGAGAGCCTTGACGACTTCCTTGACACCACGCTTGAGAGACTTGTTGACGGCAGCTAGAAGAACTAAGGTTAGCATGGAGAATCTGGAGATAAGAAAAAAAAGTCGCGCAATCATGCGATCAGTGAATATGGGCGATCCAAATCCGATGAAAATCGACCATGCGCACAGATAGTAAAAGAGGCAAGTAAAAACTTAAAAAGACAATCCACGTACCCTTCTTGACACTCTTCAAAACCTTCTTGGCCTGCTTGTCCTCAACCAATGGGTGGGCGAACGGCACGAGGGCGCCAATGGGGACAACGGCGTCGACCTCACTCTTGACAACAGCGGTCTGCTCGAGACCCTCCATGGGCTCGGAGACAATCTCCTTCTCTACTGCATCGACAAGAGTAGTCTTATCCTTCTTCTCTTTCTTCTCCTTCTTGACCTTGTGCACACCGTCCTTGTCCGCGCGCTTCTCCTTCTTCTCAGCACGGTCCTTCTTCTCGACCTTGTCCTTGCCCATTGTAGCGGTTGTGGGGTATTAAGCGGAAGAAATTGAGTAAAATCGAACGAGAGACCGAGGTGAAAGGAGAGGAGTCACGGGTGAAGGTGGTGAACTGAGAATTTGATGCCGAAATCGAAATAATTTTTAAAAAGGCGCTAATCCCTTTTGAGGTGAAGTTCACCGCTGACATAATCCTAAACAAGGCGGTGCCGCCTTTAACCTTCCCTTTGATACAGCTCCAGGACAAGTTGTGCAGTCCTTCTCGCCTCATGCCGCATTAGAACGGAATTTCCGTGGGGCTTACGATAGCCTGAACCTTACCGTGAGCTCTAATGGGTCTCCATATTATTTTTGCGCAACAACTGACCTCTCCTGGCTTTTCATAGATGGACCATAGCCAGAATAACCGACCAGCTTCCCAGCTTGTTGCTGGATTCGGCTCACCCCCAACACCCTCCGGTTCACGGAGCAGCATGCGCCGATCGACTACTATGCGACAATCCGGCCGTTTCACACAATCTCAAGCCCAGTCCCATCAACTTATTCATGGTGAGACGATACCCTGCTCAGATAAAGTCGAGATGCCTTCGACGGATACCTGACTGGCCCGTCTAGATGCGGAAAAAGATGAGCTACGCGTGCAATTGAGCACACTCAAATACGAGCTCGAGAATATCAAACAGGAACGAGAGTTGGAGGCTCTTCGCCATGAAAAAGAGATTCGCGACCTGCAACTGAAAGCGGATGCGGATTTTCGAAAGGCTCAGGTGAGCTGCTACAAAATTTTCGTTTTCACGAGGTCAAACTGACAATATTTGCTGCAGACTGCCGAATCTTCGAGTAATCGGGCCACCCATAAGAGCGACGAACTCGCAAAGGAATTGAAAGAAATTCAGGACCAGGCCTTGAATGACAAACTTGCGTTTGAGCGCAAAATTAGAGGCCTTCAGGATGATAATCAGAACTTGCAGGAAGAGTTTGACGACACTCAGGCTCGACTTTCCGACCAGGAACGGCAATTCAAATACCAGATCAACGAATTAGAGACAGTCCGCGCTTCTCTACAAAAGACCATCGAGGAATTCCAGACCGATATTCAAAATGCCAGGACATCGCAGGAATCAACGCAGGAGAAATTGTCTCAGCGTGAAGCCGAGGTCGCCGAGCTCGAAGCGGAAAATATTCGATTGAAGGCCGAAGGGAACGATGCCGAGGTTTTGGCTGTATTAAAGAGAGAACTTTCCGAGCAAGTCCATCATATTCGGGAATTGGAGTCAGCAAACCGTGATCAAACAACGGAGCTACGTCACCTTCGAAAAGTTTCGAAGAATGTTGAAGTCGTCGAAGAACAAAAGAGATCAGTGGAGAACCAGCTCCAATTGATGAAGGGCATTGAAGCCGAACTCAATACAGTTCAGATCCAGAAGCAGATCTTAGAAGATGAGCGACAATCTTGGGTCAGTCTTTTGCAGGAAAACGAGCAGCCTGCAGAATTTGACTCACCAGATGCCATCGTGAGGGCGGTAGTTCAAGGACGAATTGAGATCGCTACGCTCCTTGACCGTCTCGGAACTGTTGATGCCCAATTCCTTGAGAAGGACGAGGCTATCAAGAGCCTCGAAAATGATAAAAATAATCTGCAACGGGAGTTGGAGAAACTCCGCGTTGCGGGTGCCGCTTCTGCAGGAGGACCGGTCGCCGCGGAGAGCCGGCTTCGAGCTCGACTGGAGCGTCAGCGTGCGCTTGCAGTGAAAGAAGTTGAATACCTGCGCGCACAACTTAAGACATTTGATGCGGAAGAGGCTACAATGAACGAAGATCAGTCGCAGTTTGATGAACAAAAATCCGAACAAATAACCCAGCTGCAACAACTCGTCGATGAATATCGCAGTGAGCTTCACAAAGTTCATGAAGAGCTCTCCAAGCAGGAAGCTACACCGAAAGAAGAGGCGAGAGGCGTCAAACGAGCTCTTTCTCCGACTAACAGCGAAGCCGAAAGCGAGCGTATCGCTGTGCTCAGCCGCAAGAACCGCAAGCTCCAGGAACATCTCACCAAATCAGACCAGGCCACGACTCTCGCTCGCCGGGAACTGGATGCGGCCAAATCACAGATTAAGTCTTTGAAGGCCAAGTCACGAACACGCATTCTTGAACTGCGCGATAATCCGACGGCCCAAACCGAGCAAATCAAGATGACTACTCTTGCAACCCTCCAGTCTGCAAACAGAGATCTAATGGCACAGCTGCGCGGGGGCCGTACCGATGTCAAATTTGTCCCGGTCAGCACCGTGGAGAGCATCAAGCTCGAAATGCAAGACATGGAGCGCATCGTTGCCGACAAAGAAAAGCGTATGCGCCGATTGAAGGAGATCTGGACAGCTAAGTCCTCTGAGTTCCGGGAAGCCGTCGCCTCTCTTCTCGGCTTCAAGCTTGATTTCTTGCCGAATGGTAGAGTGCGAGTCACTTCCATGTTTCACCTTTCCTCCGCTTATCGGCACGGCGACTGCGATGCACCTTCTGACTCTGGTCCTGGCAGCATGGGCAATGGGGAAGAAAATTCTATCGTTTTCGATGGCGAGAACGGCACCATGAAGATATCGGGCGGACCGAATAGTCTGTTTGCCATGGAACTTAAACCTCTCATCAAATTCTGGGTGGAAGAAAGAAAGGATATTCCATGTTTCCTGGCGGCCATGACGTTGGACTTCTATGATAAGACCACCCGCGCTGCTAGGATGTGATATGTGGGATCAGTATCATGTTCGCTAAGGCTTTTTCTACTTTTTTATATCTGTATTTTTGTGATTCCCCAGCACATGTCAATGTGTGCTATGTTGTATGTCTTGTCATCGGTTATCCATAGTTATTCTATGCAGCAATTATTAATCCGACACTGCATATGTATATCTTTCCATTTGCGCTTTTTTGATCCTGGGGAGGGCAAGCCTGTACACCCCTTGCCCAATCGGGGAACACAAAGTCGAAAAGTAGATAAGCATGAATGTACAGTATTCTGGGCAGCCTATAAGAGTCTAAAGGATAGTTTACCCCTCTGTGATAATCTACTTCGCTCGTAATTATAGCGTCTCTTAGGATGTACTTTTTCTTACTGACCAAAGAACCGGGGTTGTACCCAATACATTGATATATATACTATTATGCATTGCAGCCTAATCCCCTCAAGGCTGAAACCCTCTCTGCCTCTTCTTACTTTTCGTAGTCTCTACCTTTGACAACCATCTCACCATGAAACATCAATATTTTTATCGCTGCTTCTCCTTGACCAGTGCTGGTGGACTGAGATCCGGAGCGTATGACAACTACTTTGGCCGTCCGAAATTGTCTGAACACGCCCTCCTCTCCGAATTCGACTCTCATCGAAATAGGTGGAATGGCCATCCTACAGCCCTAGTTTCTGTCACCGACCGTCCTCTTGAAGCTCTGAATCGTGCTCTGGGGAAGTACAACTCCCGGAATGAAGACAAGATATGGATCATCTGTATCAAAGTGCCAAAGGCCGATGTAGAAAACGGCCCACATCATGCTCAGAGGCTCGCAGAGGAGCTTGGGCTGGATTCAAACGTATTCAGACATGAATATCTATTTGAATGGGAGATACCTGAGGACTACATATTGAGGATTGTCTCACTTCGAGCAATCCTCGCTTGGAGAATCGAAGATATGAGGCCCCTGGAACACGGTGTCGAGGAAGTGAGCTTTTCGACACTACGAGATGCCTTCCGCAGGGAGATATTGACCCCCGATCCCTACGCGACAGGGCGCTGGTTATATCGCTTGACCAAAGCTTTTAGGACGTGCGGACCTAGGATAGCATTCCAGATTTACTTGGACAGTCTAGGTGGGGGATTCTTTGATTCAAATAATCAGACCGTCCGTTACGATGGTTTTGGATGTATTGAATTCAGCGATATAAGCTACATCGAGCAGCAGATCGGGAACGGCATTGACGATGAGTTTGAGAACGATTGCAATTGAACGATTCTATGTTGAGGCTTTTATATTTGTCAGGTCTTGAATTCTTACATATTCCACTCCTTCCTCTCTATCAATTCGTGGGCGCAACATAATTGAATGTGAGAAAGAAAGCTTATATAGATCCCAATAACATATAGCATTACTTCAGGCCTAGTGTAAACATAAATAGATTCACCGAGCATATGAGCCACTGCGCTACAATAATCCATATACCATTCTCGCCGTCCGTCAGATTGAGTTTGTCTTTTCCTCCGATAGCTATTGCATATAGACTAGCCCAACTCATTTGGTTCTCTATTAGATATCAGCGTGCTTGAGTTGCTGCCTATGGGAAATCTCTATTGGCTAGGTAGACATATTTCTGATACACAATTAAAACTAATTCTTATACGGAGCAACAAATGCAGTCATACCCCTACTAGCTCTAGCGTTCCTCCATTATTGGTCTAGCGCAATAACAGGCCCCAAAGCTAGTCAATAAGCCTTGGAGTGCAGCGAAGGCTCCAACTTCAGTTCATAACTCTTGATCATTTATCATTTCAAATCTGAGAATGTCTGCCCCGCGAAAGACCGTCCTAGTCCTAGGCGCCACCGGCAAGCAAGGCGGCGCCCTCATCCAAAGCCTCCTCTCGGCCCCCGACACGGCGGGGCTCAACATCGTCGCCGTAACGCGGGACATCGTCAGCCCCCGCGCGCTGAAGCTTGGCGCGAATTTCAACGTCTCCGTCGTGGACGGCGACACAACGCAGCCCGAGGCCATCTTCCAAAAAGTCGGCCCTGTATGGGGCGTATACAGCGTGCAGGTTAACTCGGACGCTGAAGAGCAGCAAGGGAAGGCCATCGTCGACGCGGCGGTCGCCCATGGCGTGCAACACTTTGTCTACTCGTCAGGTGACCGCGGTGGCCCTGAGAAGTCGCCTGTTAATCCTACCAAAGTCAAGAACTTTGCTGCCAAATACCATATCGAAAATCACTTGATCGAAAGAGCGGCGGCCAGTCCGCAACATATGACATACACAATCTTACGGCCCGTGACGTTCTTTGAGAATCTCACTACCGATATCCATGGGAAGGGCTTCGCCCGCATGTGGGAGCAAATGGGGGACAAGAAGCTGCAGTTCGTCTCGACCCGGGATATTGGTCGGGTCGCGGCTTACAGCTTCATGAAACCTGATGATTACCGCAATGTTGCCCTGACACTGGTTGGCGATGAGCTTACTCAAAGGGAGGCTGATGTGACGTTCAAGGCTGTTGTGGGATCACCTATGCCTATGGCTCCTTGCCCTGTGGCTTCTACAGTCAAGTTTTTGTTAAAAGGTACCGTGGGTGATATGTTTCGTTGGTTTGAACATGAAGGGTATGGAGGTGATGTGACTGCATGCCGTCAGCTCTACCCTGGGATGAAGGACTTCAAAGCCTGGATCGAGGAGAACAAGGAGCAGTGGTTGTGATCGTAAAGCGCTTCTCCGGTAGCTCTGTGGTTGCTGCGGTAGACTTAGTAGTCTCATAGCCAAAGGTCTAGATACAGCGTTTCTGTGGATTACATATGTTTCTTCTCTTCTTGATCTCGTTCTAGAATACTCGAGAATAGAGAAGCAGGTATGAGAAAAGGGCAAGCCACAGAGGCTGCATATCGCACCGAGGTTAGGGCGTATGTTGTAATCTGATTAGGAACGAACTCAAAGCTGGCTTAATAACTCAATCTTATAAACTTGGATTGTTTTTTTACACCTTCAAAGCACTCTCCAAAGCTTTCAAAGTTTCGATGGCAGACAATTTTTGGACGGGTCGAAAAAGATTTCCTAAATTAATGCTCTTGACTACTACATACGTACTGGTATATCTAAATGTGTTTAAAACAGTCATATGTACGCGAAGCAAATGCCTGACTACACAGAACAACATCCAAATCGAACAGACAACAACAAACTTCACGAATAACAAGATCGGTATTTGAAAAGAGAATACTCGGAATACAAGAGACAAAGAGGGAAAGGCAGAAAGAAAACAAAACGAAAAAAAGTAATGGCATCCTAAGCTTTTGATGCTCTGATTTGGGGCCCTGTCTGGAGGGATGACACACAAGATCCAAACAACGAATAAGTGACATAAGGATTGCACGGAAGAAGGGAATATATACGACCAAGCATGGGTACTTCCATCCCGCATTGCGCAAGACATATCTAGGAAGACACATACTTTCCACCGATCAGCTTGCGTGAAGTCGGGACGCTCAGCCAGGAAGTCGCGGACAGCGGGGAATCACGGCCATCGTCAGCGAAGGGGTCGGCTTCCTTTTGTTCTGTTTCTGAGGCAGAACGGCTGATACCAAGCTGAGAAGCAGATTCAGCGCCGCGGAGCTCGAACCTTGCTTCGACTGTACCCTTGCGGGGTCCGGGGGTGGACGTCATGAAGCGGACGAGGAACTTGCTGTCTGCGCCTGGGGTGGTGGGAGCCTTGACTTCCAGCTCGGGGATTCTCCATGTGACGGTAGAGGTTTTGCGACGGAAGGTGGCGCCGGTATTGGGATACATGGCGGCGCTGATGGCGTGGGCGACGGACTCCCGCGGCTGCTTGGTAGTTTTGTCCTCGGTCGCGGTGTCCAGATTGATGGTCAAGACTAGGTTCTTAAGGGTAATTGACTCCGTTGTGTGGGATATGAAGGATGGGTTGAGCGTATAGTAGATGATGGCGCTGGCTTGTTTTTCTTCTAAGTTCCACACTGGATTAAATATCACAGGGCAGTAGGCGGAGGGGTTGCTTGGGTCGATATGCAGTTGATATTTGAATGCGACTGTCGGCATGGGGCGGGAGATGTTGCCTAGCTGGATATCGTATTCGCCTCTGCTGTCATCGCCTGTGTCTTTGGCCTCCTGGACAAAGTGGGGATTGGCCGCTACCTTTTCCAGCACTTGGAAGTTATCGAGTCGGATGCGCGCATTGTCTACCACAGTACCAGGCGGGGAGTTGTTTGCCAGAGCAAGCTCACCAACGACAAAGGACTTGGTGACATTACCCTCTGAGAACCATGCATTGATGGTCTCAATGATTGAAGCATTCAGGCCGGATTCATATAGATCAGGATGGATAGAAGCTCCCGGGCCATGTCCGGAGCGAACAGATGTAGTATCTGACATAGCGTGATCATCCGTACTGGGGGCAATGCTGGGGGAGGTGATATGCCTGATTGGCGAGGTTGGTGGCTGTGACTCCGATCCTGCCGAAGACGGCGGAGGCTCATTGCTAGGCGAAGCAATAAACATTGTATTGCGCACGTCACGGCGTCCCCGAATAGTGCCTGCGTTTCGTCTCGCTCCTGTCTGCGGAGCCCGCTGTACACAGAGTAAGTATCATACACAATATTTGATCAATGGCGAGACCTGTTACTAACCATTCGGAGGGTATTTGCCATATCATCCATGGCTCGCTTCGCTTGATTCTCATCCTCGAAGATGGGCTGATCTCGAATTGTCAAGTTTAGACCAGACTCATCTATGCTGTAGTGATATTGTCAGCATTCGTTCATCACCGTTGGCAAAAGGTAACATACCCCGCTGCCTCATTCTGGGCACGAGTGATCTCGTCAATTGTTGCAGGGCGTTGAGTGAACCCTTCGGCATCAACCTGTGGCTAAACAAGACACAGTCAGTGGTTGGCACTTTTAATTAACTCGCTGGTTGGTAATTTACCTGATTGATATGGTTATTGGTTTCTCCATTTCTGGTCTCCGAGTGTTCAGACATAGTTGCCCCAGCATCTAATCCGGCACGGTCTTGCGACATACTAGGATTCCGCAAGGATGATTGATCGGTAAAGGATGTTCCCGGACGGTCACCGGTCGCGGGAGGAGATTCAGGTATTTGCATATCGCGAGAGGAGTCGGCTCTCATGAATGCAGCAAAGGGACTACGTTTCTTGTCTGCCTTTCGGTCATGAGATCCAGTTGAAGGCAAGACAACGCTCTTTCTCCTGTTCATGACAGTGCCAAGACGTCTCAATCCCCCCAGAGGAGTATGCCGTTGCTGTGCTTCTGGTACTAGATAAATCATGAGAATCTCAATGTTTCATAGGGAACCCGACTGTAGAACTTACCTGGAGGTGTCGGAGCGACGGTGGTTCTCTCGGATGCCTCTGATAGTTGGCTTTCCGCATCATCATGGGTGCGTGGAAGGGACGGAAGCGGAGCCTCTGTTGTTGGCGTGGAGAATTCACGATCGATTGGCGCTGTCTGTGTCCGCTCGGATACTGGTTCGATTGGGAAAGTTGTCTCTGCCGGTTCAGTCTGTCTTCTAGGGATGGCCTGCGTAGGGACTCGTGGGCCCGCCATTCTCGCAGCAAAGGTCTTAATTTCATCTGCTGTTTCCACGTTCAGAAGGATGTTCAAGCAGCTTTCAGCGGCCTGGCGACCACGCTCGACTTGATCCACCTCGTGAGTCTCCAATTGTGTTAGCACATCCCGAAGGTGATTCAGCCGGGTCTCATCGGCTGCCTGGAGTTGCTCGTAAACAAAGGGAGCCCGCGAATCCCATTGCTGGTGGACTTCCTCGGCATTGGCAATCTCGCTGGAAAGTTTGTCTGCACCTCTGGCACCCCTCGCCCTGGCCTTGTCTACCTTCTTCTGCGCAGTCTCCACATTCTTCGCCAACCCCGCCAGACTACTTTGGATACCGGGCAACGACTTCATCTCCTGATTCTTGGTGCTAAATTCTCTTAGTGGTCGTTCGACATCTTCCTCGATCTTGTTCGCAAGGGTCTCGTGCGATACGGCGAGGGTTTCGGTGGCACTGATGATGCGTTGCCAGGGGATTTGGAAAATGCTAGTTTTCGCAGGTCAGTATCATTACCGGATGCAAAAAATTTCAATCTTCCAGGGAAAGGTCAATTTACCCAAGAGCAGCTCCATTGTCCAACTGTGGCCGATGCGCCAGCTTCCGCAACCCTTGGGCGTATGCTTCTTCAACTCGACGTCGCTCCTATTGCCAGTATGTCAACACCAATGTCGCTCCCCGTTGCAGATCCCTTCCAGGAATCTGATTGGATCAGTGACAGATTGTCATACCTGTAGATAATCCGCGATATCCGTGTTGACCTTGTTTATGAGTCGGATGCGATCGCTCAGGACGGTTGTAGCTTGGCTGGGATGCAGGCTAGCCTAAATAAAAGAGACACCGTCAACGATCAGTAACTAGATGCTTTGCTTGTCAATTTTGTAGCTCGACTTGCTCAATCTTACCAGCAGCGTTGGATACTCTTGCCTTGAGAGGTCCATGATTCAGATTCCGGGGTATTGAGGTACTGAGCAAGGTAGCGCACGAAGCGCATAACATGTAAGAGAAAACCAAAAGTTTCCTGCAGTCGAGAAGGGCCCAATCAAGTAAGGGAAATGAATGCGGGGACCGAATGCCAGTGTCAGTTGGTAGGGTGTCATTCGATGTTGGCCGAAGACGGCAATGGGGATGGAATGACGGAGATTGTAATTGTAATACAGTATTTGGCAGTATTAAATCATCAACAACGGCCTGAGCGTCTGTAACTTACGTCACAAAACTGTAACTACTCCTTGATTGGTCACTTGACATCATCCACGCGGTTGACCTCGGGATGTTGGCGCCTTGCTGCCTCAGGTTGCATTTGATAGCTCTTCATCAGGTGATAGAATAGATCTCCCCTATATTTACGTTGCTTTAATTATTGACTATACACTGCCATAAAAACTGCAAGGCAGTAGGGTAGAAGTTACTACCTTGATTAGCAGTGTTCTTACATCATGTCTTGGAAGGATAATTTCGGGTTCACAGACCGGCTGCGAGCCATACAATCTCTGTAAGCGACTTTCCCATCTATATCAACATGGACACTCGATTGATTTGCGTGTAGTACATCGGCTTACCAGAAAGCTTCTTCTTCGCCTGCCTCCGCATTTGCAGAAGCTATGGCCCAAGCCAAGCAAACTGAAACCGAGGCGTATGACAAGGCGACTTCAAAAGTGAGTGGTGTACCTTTTTGGGACGGGCGTGAAAACTGGGACTAATCCACCTAGGATGAATATGATTCTATCTGCCAAAAGGCAATTGATCAAGCTGAATTGGCAGGGTCTGAAAAACAGGTCGACAGCAGCCCACAGCACGAGAATGACTTTGAAGAACCAGAGGCCTCAACAGGGGAAGTGATCGGTCAATATCGGTCCTGTTTCCACCACTTTGATGGTATTCACTCCACCATCTACAAATCAAAGTTGGAAGATGGGACCCTTAGGGCAGTGAAAGTCACTGTTCCCTACATGATGACAGCCCCCCATGATGCTCACCGTGAAGCACGTTTGTTGCGTGAAGCGGCGCACGCCAATATAATTCCATTGATTGAGACATTTAATCTTGATGGCGGCAGGTTTGTCATGGTCCTTCCTTTCATGCGATATGACTTCGAGAAGTTGCTCCGGCGAGACATGGTAACTGCTGCTCAAACACGATCGATTCTGCGAGATCTATTCCGTGCCCTGGCGCATATCCACGACATGGGCATACTTCATCGGGACATCAAGCCTTCCAATATTTTGATGGACTCCCCCAACGGACCAGCGTATTTGGCTGACTTTGGCGTCTCATGGAAAGAAGGCGATGCGGGATCTGAGCCGCCCACCGAGAAAATCACGGATGTCGGCACGACCTGCTATAGACCCCCAGAGATTCTCTTTGGATTCAAAGGGTATGGGACAGCTCTCGATATGTGGGCTGCCGGCTGTGTAGTGGCAGAAGCTATTGCCGTTGGTCACCGTCAGCTCTTCGACTCCGGGCCTGTGGGCAGCGATCTATCGCTGATTTTCTCCATCTTCAAACAACTGGGTACTCCGGATGAACAGCGCTGGCCGGTAAGCATCACCCCTATGGCAAATGGAAACGTCGTTAATAACCATTGAACAGGAAGTCCAGGTTCTGCCAGATTGGGGGAAAGTGGAATTCTACTCGTTCCCGACGCAGAGCTGGGAGGATATTCTGCCTGGTGCATCCTCGAATGGCCGTGATTTAGTCAGCCACCTATTGTGCTACGAGAGCAGCGCAAGACTCTCGGCAACAGAGGTATGTAACTTGACCTGATGTCTTATAATAACCTCTGACAGTAAATTAGGCCCTTGCCCATCCCTATTTCGCTCAGACTTGAAGCAATGGTATGATACACCTGAAGGAGCTACGCCACAGTTTCTGCGCCTCCTCGGGTGATACCGCACGAGTGGATCTGGGAATGACAGGCGTGGAACCTGCAACAGCGAATTAATCACGTTTGGCAATCCACTATTGATAGACTATAACATGCAAATACTCGGTACTCAAGTAAGGAGTACTGCCTATGTTGTACAGAATCTGTATCTTACATACAGGTACCAAAATATCAATACGTGTCCCCAACCTTGGGGGTGCAGCGTAACCCCTGAGGGACCTGCATGAGAATGGCGCAAAGGTGTCATGCATCATTATTAAAATTTGAATTGATTAAAAGTGAATTTCCGGCAAACACCGGAAATTACGGCCTCCGTGAGCGATCAATTAAATGTGGCTGTTGTGCTAGGGTGAAACAACCATGGAGTAGTGTGACCCCTGGCCCGTGTGCTGGGCCTCACACTTTAGCGAATGTGCCGCTTGGGGGCGGGCAAATGGGGTCGGCATTTGTTACTTCCCGTGTATTTTATAGTGTTGGTAAATTAGATATACGATCTACAGAATAGATAGATTAGGGGTATTCCAAGCAGAACTATACTCTAGGGATATACAAAGAACTCCGTATATATGTAAAATACTAGTTAGAACAAGACTCCTTAAAAGTCCTCTACAGTTCGTAAAGCCAAACCTTGGAAACACCACAGCCACTTAAAGGAAAGTGGGGCTGCAAGGGTGCTCGCCCGTGGGTCAGGTAACTCCTTCGGGCCAGGCACCGTATGACAGCCAATCAAACCAGGAAAGGTCTGTGCATCGCTGCCTGTTTGGGCTAGCGTGTTGTTGTATACACACAAGGGTCCCAAGATCTCATTTCGGCTCCTCGTGGTTCCCCAGGGCTTCCTCGTATTGCGGCGTGGGCTTTTCTCTTTCCTCTCTTTGCTTCTTTTAACTTTGTTTCCATCCGTTCTTTCAATTTGTCTGACCTGGAAGTCGACGTCCTTTCTTTTATTCTCGACTTGACTATCGGCTGTGCTCGATCTCAGTCGTCCATTCTTTCTACCCACATTCCGCATAGCTGGAATCGACCCAGAGACGCGGTTACTCAGAAATCAACCTGGTATCTGGGCGTATCCCTCTCGTGAGGAGTAATACGCGAACCTCCTTCCTTAACCCTCACCCCTCCACGTATCCTGGGATACTGGAGCCGACAACATGCACGGCCATGCGCATCACAACCATGCACGCAATGTGGAGGAACTAGAGGAGCAAGGAACTGTTGAGGCACGAGGTGTCATCGAGGAGCGAGGCGATGTCGTGATTGTTTATAAGACCGTGGCGCCGGATTTTACAGGGGAGGTGGGAGGTTATGTAACCGGTGCCCAACCCACTACTACGACGCAGGTGCACGCCGGTGTCGGTGAGCCTGTCAGCGCGGCTACTACAAAGAAGGAACAAACAACGACCAAAGAAGAAACAACCGAGGCCAAAACCACCGAGGAGGCGACCACAACCAAGTCCAAGGAGGAACCGACCACCACCAAAGAGACCGTGGCCCACACCACTCAGGACACTAAATCAGAAACCACTGAGACTACTGAGACTAAAAAGACAGCCACCACGACTAGTGAGTCGGAGGCTCAAATCACGACAACCTCCTTTGTGACTTCGGCGTCGTCCACCTCTGCTTCTTCCACCTTGGAAACTTCCCAGGATGTCAACGATCTCCTTGCGGCAACCTCCACCGCAACCTCCACCGGATCGGCCAAAGACTCTGCCGCATCGGCCTCGACAACCGCTCTTGGAACTACTACTTCTGAGGGTATGACTGGTGGCGCGAAGGCTGGTGTGGCTATCGGTGTCATCTTCGGCGTTGGTATAATCGCTGCTCTGGTTTTCTTCTTTATGCGAAAGAAGAAGAGAAGCCAAGAGGGATATCAGCGGGAGAATGAGAAGACCTTCGGTGATGAAGGCCTGCCAGAGGGTACCGCTGCTTCTTTGCCACCTCCTCCTCCTTCCAAGCCACAGGCTCTTTCGACACCCCCGCAACTTAATGTTCGTCCCGTCACTCAATTCGCGCCTGATCTGAGCGGCGGCGCCTTGAACCCGACCGCCACTGCTGCTTCCGATTTGAGCCCGGCCACCGCTGCTGTTGCAGGTGCTGCAGCTGGTTCGGCCGTCGCCTCTCGTAATCTCACTGGTGACTCGGCGCCTCCTACCCCGCCGAAATCTGCTGGCAGTGGTTCTGACCCGTTCAGGGACCCGGTCAATCCTTTCAACGCCCCTGCCAGCCAGCACGCGCCTTCGGTTGCTGAATCAGCCACTGAACCATCTGGATCGACTACTGGACCTTCTCAACCAACCACTGGACCGCCCGGATCGACTGAACCTTCCGGATCGACCGTCGCAGCTGCCGCGGTCGGTGCCGCAGCGGTGGGTGTTGCAGCAGGTGCTGCTGCTTCATCTCGAGCATCCAATGATTCCGAGCTCTACCATTCCGCCGAATCACGCGGCCATTCCCCCACTGGTTCGACGCAATCTGCAACCACCCCTACCAATGCTACCAGTGCCGGTGCCGCCGGAGCTGCAGGCGCCATGGCTGCTGGCCCACCACCCCCTACCAATGTCTACCGTGTGCAACTGGATTTCAACCCCTCTATGGATGACGAGCTTGGACTTCGTGCGGGAGCGCTTGTGCGCTTGGTTCATGAGTACGATGATGGGTGGGCTCTTTGTACGCGCCTTAATGGCGCCCAGCAAGGAGTTGCCCCACGGTCTTGCCTCTCGGCTCGTCCTGTGATGCCTCGCGCCCGCCCACCTCCTGGCCCCGGCTCTCGCGGTCCACCCATCATGGGCCCTGACGGTCGCCCAATGATGCCCGCGGGTCCGCCCGGTCCTAGATTCTATCCTCAGGATTCCCGTCCGAGATCCCCCGGCGCTGGCTTCTCTGGGCCTCCACCTTCTCGCCCTTACCCTGCCCCCGGAACTGCTGTCAACTTCCCGCCAGTTCCCCGCTCTCTGTCTCCCGGGCCAGGAGGACGACCTGTCCCACGCTCCATGTCTCCAGGACCAGGAGGACGACCTGTCCCACAATCCATGTCTCCTGGCCCCCGGCCCGGCCCGCGTTCGATGAGCCCTGGTCCATACGGACCAGGAATGCAGCGCCCAGTGATGCCGGTCAACCAACGCCAACGTAGCAATAGCGCCGGCAATGTCGCTCCACCTATGGCAGTGCCCGCTGCGCCTACAGTTTCGAGTCCATTAGCTGCTGCCGTTCCTGCTGCGCTTGCAGTTTCGACCCCATTAGCTGCTGCTGTTCCTGCTGCGCCTGCCGTTTCGAGCCCATTAGCCGCTACCGCTCCTGCCGTGCCACAAGTTTCGAGTCCTGTGGCTGTTCCTGCTCCAGCCCCTGCTGCAATCCCTGCTCCGGTCCCTGCTCCGGTCCCTGCTCCGGCCCCTGCCCCTGCCCCTGCCCCTGCTCCCGCTCCCGCTCCCGCCGCACTGCAGGTTTTGACTTCCCCAGCCGCTCCTGAGCCTGCTCCCGCTGCACCTTCACCGTCAAGCTCATCAGCCGCACCTACCCCTGCTCCCACCAGCGAGCTTCCAGCCCTTCCGACTTCAGTGCCGACTTCTCCGTCCGGCTCAATCTCGCGAAAACCCCTCCCTACCCGGGACGCTTAGTCTGAATGACCTCACCCTTGCAGGAAGCCTACATCTTATGCAGAACATAGGCATTCTCGCTGCCGTGTCAGTGGCCCCGCTGGACGGAAATGAGCATGCCTAATATGACCACACTGTTCGCCTCGATCTTGATATCCCTATAGCCCGCGTCCGTGATGAACGAACCCTCCTTGAATCTGTGCTTTGCGCTGGATGCATATTTCCGCATCTGAATCATATCATCTGTCTTTTCTTTTTCTTTCGTCCGTGTCTTAGATGCCGTATTCTCATACCTACCTTTCTTTCTTTTGCCTCATTTTTCATTCGGGTCTTACACACCCTTTTTTATTTTTGTTTCTCTTCGATTCGAAGTTACAAGCATCTTCCTCGAGTTCCTTCATTGACATCGATCTCGAATAAAATGCGTGTCACGCTGAGATGAGCTGGTATACCCGGACCTTCAAACTTGTTCCAACACAGATAGTTTATATTCATAGCTATGTAGAATTTACTGACGAGTTTACCGTTTTCATAGACGTCCTTCCGTTAATGCTTTGCTAGTCTGTATATTATATATATCTCTCTCCACATCTATGACTTTTAATCAAAATTCGACGCAGAAAGTCTGTTATTAACATCTCTTTACATCTAAAAGCCATGTATAAAACATTCTCAGTGAAATGATACTAGCATCAAATCACACTGGCACAACGGGTATAAATGAAATCCACCAACATCACAACCAACCACATCTTCCAACCACTCAAGCCTTGACCTCATGACCGCTCTCATCGCTGTCAAACTTCGCACCGGCGATGTGCACATCAGTGCTCGCATGGCGGGTAGCCTCCTCCAGGTACTCAGGTTTGAGCTCGCCATGCTTATCATAGCGATAAGGCTCCTTAACGGAGATAGTAACGACATCGAAGACATTAGAAGACTTCTTGAAGATAGCGTCCATCTCTTCAAGGGACCGGTAGCGGGTCTCAGGGAAGAAGAAGTACACACAGGGGAACATGAATGCGTTTCTGCTATTGTCAGTTCCAAGTCATGGCTCAATGGGTTAATGGGGAGGATAGGATCGTATCTTACATAACAGCGAAGATGACATAGGTCTTGTATCCGATATTCTCGAACGCAACAGGCGTGATCATCACGACCATAAAGTTGAAGATCCAGTTCGCGCTGGTGGCTAGTGCGTTTGTTGGAGCGCGGATGCGCAGAGGCACGATTTCCGCTGGGTACAGCCAGGTCATTCCCAGCCAGCCGATGGCGAAGAAGGTGTTGAAGACGAAGAGGAAGACCGCTTGTCCGATGCCGGCGCGGCTGTCGTTGAGGACGGTTAGGCGGTAGTTAGTGCCGGCTAGAATGGCCATTGAAAGGGACATGCCGGCGGCCTGATAAGTACTTGTTAGCTGATGGGATATGGATAGGCACGGAGTTTGGGGGAGTGACATACGCCGATTAGCATCAGTGGACGACGGCCGACTTTCTCGATGATGAAAATTGGGATAAATGCTGCCATTAGATACTCTGTGCCGTTACAGGCTGCTAGTAACTTTGGGAGGTTGCCGCTTCCAAGACCGATCTCGGCGTACAGTGAAGGTGCCTAGTGGACTTGATTAGTATAGGGCTAGGATAGCATCTCGGTTGAGAGAGGGGATCTCACGTAATAGGTGATGAGATTAATTCCAGAAATCTGCTGGAACATCTGGTTGACGTAGGCCAGTGCCACGCGATGGAATTCTCGATACTCGCTCATCTTGAACAGACTTCTATAAGAGCCCTTGTTCATTTCTTTGACGGTTTCCTCGATGGCGATGAGCTCGTTCTTGATGTAGGGGTCATCCCGCGTTTTCTCATTCAGACATTCAAGGATCTCCAAAGCCTCATCGGTCCGGCCTTGCATGACAAGCCATCTTGGGGACTCGGGCAGATTGAGGATAGAGCAGAAGATAATGATAGCGAAGATAATCTGGAAAGCCAGAGGGAATCGCCAAGCGACCTCTTTTTCTCCGATGAACGACATGCCTAATTCAGGATTATATCAGTAATTGCGACTTGATCGTCACATACATACTGGGTCCAACTCACCATAGTTGATCCAGTAGCTAAGAGTAATACCGCCCGTGATGAGCATACCCTCGATCATCACCATCTTGCCACGATCGTGGGCCTTGGCTGACTCGGACTGCCAGGTGGGTACGGTACTTGTATTCATGCCATTGCCAACACCAGTGACAATCCGGCCGACAATGAAATGGGGTAGGGAATACGCGGTGCATTGCAATAGGGCGCCAGTCGCCATGATCATACAGCCACAGAAGATAGTCCTCCGTCGACCCAGCGGATTACCGATGAAGATAGTCAAGACGGCGCCGAAGAAACATCCTAGATTGTACGATGCGACTGCAATGCCTTGGTTCAGACTGCGCTGCGATCGGAGGGGCTTGTTATCGGCGATGGCTGGATCTAGTGGGTTGATATCGGGGAAGTATTTGATGAATGAGGGCAGGTCTAGCAGACCACCCGTGACACCTTGATCGTAACCAAATAGCCTTATAGGTTAGTTGCCAGTTTCAGAATAATAATTGAATTGTATCATACAAGAAGTCCAGACTACCAAGGGAACTGATAGCCAGGTTGAGAGACCGGCCTCTCCAGCCAAAGAACTTCGGAATGCCGAACATGATGCCCACACCTGAGAAGATCGCAAATTACAGACATGATGGGAATGCCGATCAGCGGGTTATATAGGCCACTTTCAATTCCTCCGGATTCACAAAAGCGGTAATCCGAGGTGACCGGGGGGATCTCCAATGTCTGGGGCTGGCCAAGATACGGGGAAGGCGTCGGACGACGCGGGGATGAGGGAAGTTTCATGGGGAAAGGAGTTGGGGGCGTCTTCTCTGGATTGTGACTGGTCAGACGAATTCAGCGCTAACTCTATACATTCAGTACTTTCTGGAATTTACCGCTTTGTCGAGGAAATAAGTACAGGGAGTCATCGCGTAGCGGCATGGCTTGTTATGGCGCAACCCAAAGCAACGTGCTGATATTGCCATATTTGGTGTATTTGCAGGTGGTTTCTTTCTCATTCCGATTTGATCCGAACATCTACTCATTATACTCCTCACACTGCCACTGCCGATATATTATGGAGTGTAGAAAACGGATTCGGTTGGATAGCGCAAGACATGGCCAAGCCAGCCAAGACCGATGCAACCTCCCGGCAGCAAATGAGACGGGATGCCCTCAAAGCGAGTAGTCTGGGCCAATGAGAACAGACTAACTAAGAGCACCCCGGTCTTTGTTATGACATGCGCCAAACACGCCCAAAACGCCGCATGGACCCGAGTGAATGGAAAATGTTACATTGAAAGTACGATGATGCAAAGGCAATCTTCGAGGCTCAGAGGGGAATAAATATTCCGGCACCACACCTGGGGAAATAAATAATTAATATCTACAATGTATACATTGCAGTGAGGGTTTCCAGAGCAGGATGACTAAGTGGCTATGTGACATAAAAGCACTCCCGAGGCCTAGATAGCAACGCAGACACCTTTCCACCTCTCTTCTCAGTAGTCACCCCATGGTGTTCTCCTCTCTAGTACCCTACTACTCCCAGTGACGCCTCTGCTCTCACACCTGTTTCGCAGGCAGGGCTGTCGGTGCCCCTCAGGGGTCCCCTCTTCAACATGTAGGTCTCAAGAACTCCAAGGAATTTCAGCCCTCGGATACCGGCTGGGCCATAGATTAATATATTAAGGACGTCAGCGGCACCCGGCATACTACACGTACGGCTTGCCTAATTAGATACACATCCGATATTCGATCATTTTAATAAATCTGCCCGATCCGAGTTATTCAGGCTAAACTTCTGATATGGCCTGACTCTCGTACCTGTTGATCCGTGTCTCCGGACTTGGTCAAACAAGAATATTCATGAGTATAGATCTAGAGATAGGTCATATATTGCTTATTCGTCCTTTGGAGAGCAACTTAATATTGATCTTTGCTTGTCTTTAACAATGTACTATGTTTATCGCTTGGATATTCGAGAATAGCAGATTACATTGTTGACGGCCTTGGTAGATAGTACTGTTTTAGCTTTTTCTTTCTTAGACGAATATTACATTGTTCGACTCCTCTTTGTCCGTTCCTTGTTCTATCCTTGGCTTTCCCAAATTAGTCGTCCTTATTGTCAACTCAAGTTCGAGTCTCTTTGTCTTGGCGGTTGAAACTCCTCTCTATGCACTTGTCTCCATTGTTTGAACTGCTACTCCTTTTGTTCTAAGCGGTTCTATTTGAGGTGAACCTATTTTAGTAATGCTTCAACGCCCGTGGGTTAGCAGGCAGACCCATGTTGAGCAAAAACAGAGACGTTGGCAAAAGTATATAGCTTCGCCTGTATCTCTCTGTTGCTCTCCATTCTAGCATCGTCCAGCAAGTACAATACAACAGATCCAACATCATATAAATTCAACTTCTCTATCAATCCAATTGTTCGACGTATAGCTTAACTCAACCATAACAATGAAGCGTTTCTGCCACAGCCTCAAATGCTGGGGCCGCCGCTGCGACTGCAGTGATGACTCGGATTCCGATGGCCAAACACTGCCCCTAGCTAAAGTGGCATCTAAAGGCGGGCATAATGCACCTCCTACAATGACTTACCCTAAAAATGTGACAGCCAAAGCCCCAAAGCCAGGTAAAGACCCTAAGCCAGCTGAGCCTAAGAACAAGGTTAAACCTCAGGAAGCCGCCACCGGCAATGATGGCAAGTCTCGCACAGAAATTACACCTGACATGAGTGATATCGATATGAACGATGCCAGTGATGGTAGAATAAGTGACAATCCCTCTCCCCCCAGATCTGACAGTGATATTGATATGCCAGATGCCGATCCCGGCGAATTATTGACCTACCCTCTAGCCCGAATGTCACAGAATAGACGTACCTTATCCAATGCAGGTGAAAGTGAGTCTTCATCCGATGATGATGCCTTGTACTTCGGTTCTCCGCGTCCCCGTCCTCCCATATCCTTGAGGGCCGCGCACCAGTCTGGCCGAATCGAACGATGGAGCCTGAGATCTTCCAACGACAGCATGCAATCCTATAGCGGTAGGAAGCGGGGGCACGTCGAAGAGGTTGAGGATGTAAATCAGGAATGGAGCCCAGCTCCTAGCTCTCACGGTTCTCCACCCTCGAAGCGTCAGCGCACCAGTGGGGAGAGTTCGACTGAAGGACGGTTTTGGGGACCGGAACTATTGTTTCCAGAACCACCCACTTCTCCAAATATTGCCGCCTCCAGTGATTCCGAAGACTTCAACACAGACGATGAGATGTATGAAAAGCCTTCTACAACGACAATCAACCGGTACCGAGAAAAAGGAGCTCAACTACAAGCTTGGTTAGAAGACCCTAACGAACCAGACTGCAATATTTCCCCGGCAACAGCAACTCTAGACGACTTGATGAACGCCCCGCCGCCAGACGTTTTTGAACTCGGAGAAAGCTATCACCGAGATCTGGGCGACCTTATGGACGGAGGCGAACCCGAGTCGACGGGCCTCCCTACCGGGGGAAACAGGTACCGACATACAGCGTTTTTTAACAATGTTCTGAACCCAGAGACCCTAGCGAGATTCAACTTCCCAAGTCTGAGTAATAGCTATACACATCTAGTCGGCCCGGGGCTGCTTGTTGCTGATTCCATTTTTAGGTACGATAACATCCAGTGGAATGAATTCGCCAAGGCTGTTTATGAGTATGACCACCCCATGTCCACTTTGAGGTATATTATGTTTACCCACGTCGTCAATGACGAGACTGGACCGTATATCAGGCGGATACTCTATCCCAGACTTGGACGCGATTTCGAAGCTGCGATGCACGAGTCGTGCATGAAGGTCGAACGTGGCACTGCTGAGTATGAGGAACTTCTCGGCACGAAATTAGGAAAAGCAGCTGCCATACTTCTTATATCATCTCTCCCTAGAGGTACGAGACGTATCGCCCGAGTAGTCATTTGGAATTGGGTCTATAGAGTTCAGATAAGATTCGAGATCGAACCCATTATTGCTAACTCAGATGATCAACCAGAAACTGCCGGCGATGATTGAATTTCTTGTAAGTATTGTTTGGGGATTTGCATCATGTTTAAGGGTGTTTTGGGGTTTTTGGACATGACCTTGAAGACAAAGGAATATATAAATTTGCAGTCAATAACCACGAGACTATATACGATTTGACCGGTGTGACTAGCTATTACCAGGATTAGAAAAGGGATAAAAGTGGAATACCATCTAGCCATCTATTCTATAATTATCAACAATCCTAAGAATCCTCAGGCGCAAGCTTTGATAACCCTCGCAGCTTTGGGCCATACTTCATAAACAAAAAGGGTACTGGCAATAGAGCCGCAGCCACAGCTCCGATAATAGAAACAGCAGGACCAATCCCCAAAGCCCTGATCATCGGTTTAGCCGCCAAGGGAAGCCCGGCAGCCAGCAAGCTTCTCAGAAAAGTGACAGCTGCCGTTGAGCTAGCAGCGTAGAGCTTATACACATCAATCAAAAAATTCAAACACTGTTGGAAAATGCAGTTGAATCCAATGCCAATAAAGACGGCTGCCAGACATGGCAGGATCCAGTGGTGAGGAGGTTCAGCAGTCCAAGCAAACCAGAAGAGTCCGACAACAAAGAACACCGCCCCGAATGCCATAGGCGGAAGTCTTGCTTCAGGCACTGCTTTCCCATTCGCCTCCTTGGATATCTGGTTATAGCGGTATTGGTTCCAGATATTGAGACCTACTGATGATATGACGCCAATCAACAATCCCAGGAACGGCAAAGAGCCGACAACGCGGTTCCAACCTCGAGATTGCTGGAACGCGATTGGAAATACCTCAAGGGTTAGGTACATGACGCCGTAGACGAAGGAAGCATAGAAGGCAATGCAGGTGACAATCGGCTCAGTGAACAGCATTCTCAATGGGCGAGCGAGCTGCTTCGTGACAACGGATTTGACATCGAGTTTCAAATGCTCATGGGGATGATAGTACCTCGAGTCATTGGTGTCCTTCCGAAGCTGTTGTGCTTTGCGCTTGAGTAGCACTAGCGGGTATACCTCTGGCAGACAGAAGAAGGTCAAGGTGAAAATGACAAAGACCCAGATTGCGTGGATGTACGCGGTCCAGCGCCAGCCCATATTCGGATTCAACAGTATGGCTGCACCGATCACTGGACCTAATGCCGGGCCGCCATTCACGGCCACTGCATAGAGGCTGACTGCGGTCCCGCGCGTCTCTTTACTCCATATATCACCTAGTGCAGCGGTGACGTTGCTAATCGGGGCAGAGCCGAAGAAGCCTGCGAAAAAGCGCGTGACGAACACCGAGGCTGCATCTCTGCTTACGCCAGTGCCGATGGAGAATAGTGCTAGACAAAAGACGGCGGGGAGTATGCTGACTCTTCGGCCCCAGATTTCTGAAAGGGGGGCCCAGATGATAGGTCCGAAGACGAAGCCAAGGCTGGCATTACTATTAGCATTGTATTTGGTGTTTTTTTGCAATCCCACTCACAGATACAGCGACACATCCAACACGGCAGCCTCGCTGCTCACGCCAGTATACCTCGCGATGGTGTCATCGGCCGGCGTGGTGATGCTTGACCCTAGACTACCCGCTAAAGCAAGCATGCCCAGTTGAAATGTCACCCACCATTTGTACCGGGGAGTCCAATTTTGAGGATTCAATACATCGTCCTGATCCCACTTGACGAGGTATGCTGGATCAAGAGATGCAGGATCCTTCTCGGGCTCGACTTGTATTACAAAACTGCCCTTCGACCATATGCGTGGCATGATTGGGATCAATACCGTAGAGTGATGTTTGCTAGTCTCATGGAGAAAAATCCATCTCTAGTGCGGAGTACTCGGTGCTAAGTAGATGTTGCTTCGGCAAAACGATATTGATGCCGAAGCCGATGTCGGAGCAGGCCGATCCCTCCAGGACAGGATTGCGGAGAGCGCCATTTGAAAATTTAGTGTCCTCACGTCTCGGAGATAACTAGTTAGGTCCATGGAGTGGATTCTGCTTGGTAATCCGAATTGGTGCAGGGGAAAGTGAAGCATCAAGCTTTTTCCCGGGGGTGCGGGGGGCTGGGGCTGGGGCTGGGGGACTTGGTAGAGATCTTGTTATTAAATTGGGACACGATCAACTAGAAGGGTATTAAGACCCTGAGACCAAGATTGCTGTTTTCTTGACATGGCTTGTTAGCACATGCCTTTCCTATATTTTTACTGCACGTGTAGTCGGGACCAATTTGAAGTCAGCAACAATATGAGACAGGCGATTCCAGGGAGTGGCAGTAGATTGGAAATCATTAAAGGCCGCGAAAAATGACCTGACATTCATCTAATATCGTTCAAAACATAATCTCTAAATACAATACGTGCTTTTGATAATAAAAAATCATGTACATGCCGATGGGAGCATTTTCTCGTATCTCTCCTGATCAGAGATGTGGAACGCGCCCACTTGCAAGAAGAAGATTCACAATGCTCATGATACCTTCACCCAAAATGAGGCCGGAGGCAAGAACGACGACAGTCGAGGAGGCGGCATCTGCTTTTTCAGATGCCTGTTCGGCTGATATTGATGATCGCTGCGCATCCTGTAATTCAGTCTCCAGAGACGATCCCATAGTAGTGGCGTTTCCGCTGTCCACTTGTTGGTTGAGCGATTCAGAGTGCCTCCGCGACCACCACCATGCAATGATACCACCGATGGCTCTCGCCAGGGTAAAGGAAGGCTCGTTAAAGATACCAACGGCAACAGCGATACCGCCGGGGATCCAACATCTCCAAGGAGGGGGTTTCCCGTTGCGTGCAAAGGCAGGGGACGCAGCTACGATCCTCAAGGCGGTAAGGAATGCCCACACGATACCAGCAATGACAGAGACTTGTCCAGCCATTTTGGGCAGCCCTTGACCGGTCACAAGGCGAGCAGTGAAGATCCAGACATACGCGGTAGGTGTCTGGAACATTTCGCCCGGGATCTCATATACGTTCACGTATAATTTGTATACGGCAGTTGATAGAACTGCACCCACAAGACTGCCGATTATCTGGCCATAGAACTGGGCCTTGGGGCTTGCGCCGAGTAGATGACCGGTCTTTAAATCTTGCATCATATCACCGGCTTGCAGAGCTCCTGACTCGGAGACTGCACCCGCAAGCAGGTTCGTCACTAATGCGGTGCGTCTGGAGAAATGGGATGCTGGCGTGGCGAGTGAAAAGAGAAGTTGTGTCAGCTTGCTGATACCCGAAACTGGGTTGAGGTCGGTCTCGCCGAGAGCCCGGACACCCATAATAGACAGTAGTACTGCCAGCAGAGTTGCCAATGTCGACAGAAAGGGGGAAATGATGTCCCCAAAGACAAAGTGCATGCATGCGACATTCAAGAGGAGAGTCAAAGGAAGGAGAATCACTACTGTTCGAGTTGAGATGAGTTCAGATGGCGGTGCATCATCCTTATCCTCTTCGTTTGCAGTTACTAGTGTATGTTGGGCGACATCTTCATGAGCCAAAAGATGAGGCTCTGGCTCCAAAGCGGAGTAGTTGATATATGAGTGCTGAGAAGAATGTAGTCGGAGTGCAATCCACTGACCAGCACGAGTGGATCGAAAATAGGCTATCCATCTTGGAGAGTACTTCAGGATGGGCCTGAGCACCAGCCACCCAAGACTAACAAGTGAATCGGCAAGCATAATGGCTAGCGATATCCAGACAATCCATGCTTTGCTGCCATCTTCCCAGTTATTAACCGGGCCGGGAGCCCAGCCGCGGCTCTTAGCCAACGGTGATAGAACGCCCCACCCCAAGACTGCCCCGAAAAGCATGTGCATGCACGTTGATGGACCCATAATGATGCCCTGGCCGATATATGCTGGCGACGGGTTGAGGGTCCACAGCCAGTTATCCGCCATGCCCACGCCAAACAGAGGGATGGCACGGACTAGAGGGACGAAGTAGGAGAAAAGAGTCTAATTGAGTTAGCATGAACTTTGCAGAGTCCAGTTGGAGATATTCACATATGCACCCGATACTGTAAACGATCCAAGTAAGATGCGCATCTTCGAGCGCCAATTTTGCTCCTTGGAAGCTTGGTCTTCAGCATCGCCATCCTTCAAGAGGCCTGTGTCTTCTTGGGATGGACCAGCTGTTTCGGCCTCCGTGTTAAAAATACCCGCACGGGAACTTTCTGGTGCTATAACCTTTTCCTCGCTACCAGAACTATGCAAGACCTTGAGCATCAACGCCGAGGCAGTACCACTCGGAAATCGCAGCTTCTCTCGGACGATGACCGCTTTTCGTAGTGGGACCGCAAACACCACCCCGAAGAGACAGACTCCCAGACTCCAGATAACCAACTTCCAGAAACCGAGTTTCAAAGGACCTCCTTCGCCTTCTCCGCCATCGCCTTCGGGTCCATCTTCGCCAGGCTTCAACAGAAACTCCAGGGCAGGGATAACGCCAACAAATCCGCATCCAAGGGGCATAGTTCCCACTGCACCGGCAACCGTTTGTATCAAGACATTCTCAACCGGTGTGAAGGGGAAAGACAGGTGCTTGGATAGAACCTTGAAGACCGAAAAGCCAATCAAGGCCGAGGGCATTGCCATTGTGCTGATCCATCCTGTCTGCAAGCCGAAATAGGTATTCGAGAATGTGATGAGAGCACCAATAATAAGACCGACGAGAAGTGAGCGTGGAGTGAAGCTCTGAGGGGATGTGGCGCGAGCTTGCGCGGGATCAGCGATAGGATCTGTGGGCGGCTGATCCAGGGACGGCCCTCCCACAGTGCGCTGACGCTGTTCGGGGACATTGCCGTCCATACTGATGGTCTGATAATTCATGGGACCGACCGATCAGTCATAGCGAGGTGAATGTTCGGAGAGAAGTCCAATCTCGGGGGACTGGGTTGATAAGCGTCGCTGATTAATGCGAATCCGCGATAAGATCACCTGACGTCACATCATACCTACATGTATGTATAGGCTAGGTATCCGTCATTGCCATTGCATTCTATTGAACTAATAGATCTACGGAAAAAGTCTAACAGCATCGAGAACGAACAGGTTGTCGGAGGCTTAGGAGGTTTACTCTATCAGTATTGAGGCTAATCAAAAAAAAAACTAGCGAGCAGCTCCCATGACAACCAAGCTAGAAATTATCAAGCGCTAGTGATGGCGCTATTATGTATCCCCAGGTCAAGTGTAGAGTGTTTCGTACTGCCCAATTATCTGAGCTATGAAACAAGTAGGAGCCTTGGAAATGCAATAATACAACCAAAGCACTATTTCCAAGTAACGCTAGTAGCGGGGTCTAATCCTAATTGGGATAAAGACGGCGGGGTCTAAACCCAAACGGGAACTGTATCATTGCGTTGGCCTGACTTCTCAGGTTCGAGGTTCCCAAGGTTAACAATACTCGGTCCCTTTGGTCCTTCCTGTTTCTGTCATCCTTTCTCGTCCCTTTCCTTTCTTTTTCCTCCTCCCCTTTCTCCTTCTCCTTTCTCCTGTATCAGCTCGGACCATTTTTTGACTGTGAGTGTACTTTGTTGGCGTCAATTCCTTGGTTTCCATCAATTCAATTAATACAATAGTCTCAAGTTCTCGAGATGGATGACCAAGTCAAGTCTTCAAAGGATGGCAACCCTCGGGTTGTTGACAAGCCAAATTCGCGCGCTGACTTCAAGCAAGCGCAACTCGCTGGTGGATGGATACCCGGCATGGACACCAAAGTGGACTACTCAGATGAATTCGAATTCGGTGGCTCACTCGGTAACTTGGCACTTATGATTGGCTTCCCATTGCTGATGTGGTACATGTGGATCGGTGCTACCTACTATGACGGGAAACTACCTCTGCCGCAAAACGGACAGTCCTGGGCGGACTTCGGAAAGCATCTGTGTCACCTTGTTTACATCGGTGCGTTTCCGCACTTTAGGGCGTGGCGCATCTACTGGACATTCTACATCTTCGAGGCAGCATGCTACATCTTCATGCCTGGGTTCACGTGTTATGGGAAGCCTCTTCGCCATTTGAAAGGCAAGCAGCTGGAGTATTATTGCTCCGCTTACAGTAGCTTGTACTTCACAATGGTTGTCATGGCTGCTCTGCACTACACTGGAATGTTCCCAATCTACACTATCCTAGATGATTTCGGTCCTCTGATGTCCGTGGCGATTTTGTCCGGGTTTCTCGCCAGCTTTTTCGCTTATTTCTCTGCATTTGCTCGAGGTACCCAGCACCGCATCACTGGTTACCCAATCTATGATTTTTTCATGGGAGCAGAACTCAACCCACGCATGTTCGGGATCCTGGACTTTAAGATGTTCTACGAAGTCCGTATCCCATGGTTCATGCTCTTGGGTCTGAGCTGCGCAGCTGCCACTCGCCAATATGAACTCTACGGCTATGTCTCCGGTGAAGTTATGTTCCTTGTCATGGCACACTTCCTTTACGCCAATGCCTGCGCCAAGGCAGAGCACCTCATCACCACAACATGGGACATGTACCAGGAGAAACTGGGATTCTTGTTGATCTTCTGGAACATGGCTGGCGTCCCTATGTCATATTGCCACTGCGTTCTGTACCTGGCTAATCGTCACCCGTCAACATATGCATGGAACAAAAATGCATTGGCGGTATTGTTTGTGTCATATCTTTGCGTCTACTGGGTCTGGGACACTGCAAACAGCCAGAAGAACGCCTTCCGCATGATGGAGCGAGGCAAAATGGTTACGCGCAATACCTTCCCCCAGCTTCCTTGGCGCCACGTTAACAATCCAAAGACACTTGTGACAGACGACGGCGATACCATTTTCGTTGATGGGTGGTACCGATTGGCTCGCAAGATCCATTACAGTTGCGATATGTTTTTCGCTTTGTCGTGGGCCCTAATCACCGGGTTCGACAGCCCCCTTCCCTGGTTCTACCCTGTCTTCTTCGCGGTTATGATCGGCCACCGAGCCATGAGGGATATCACCAAATGTAAAAACAAGTATGGGAAGACATGGGATGAGTATGAGAGGCAGGTTCCAAGCCTCTTCATTCCGGTGAGCTCTTACTACAACTTTCATTTTGAAACTATATACTCACTCTCAACAGTATGTGCTCTAAGTTTCTCTGACTTGCGGGCCCCCATGATTGTGGTTGGGCCATTCCTATCCCATCGATGCCCCTTGTCTACTTCCACAACAGCGAATTCAATAGCACTAGTCCGTATCTACAGACCAAACAGCTTAAGAAATCATCTTTATTTTCGGGACTTGCATTTCAAAGACATTTGTTATCATGTCGGCTAGAATTTAGATAACCTCCCGAGGTAGGTTTCTGTGACTCATTATTAGCTCCGTGTCGGTGTTCAACCCCACATTGGAAATTGTAGAAATTTCCTGGGATAAACAAGATATCTTCTTATATTTAGTTCATCCTGGATCTCACCAAACTTTCCAGGTCCAAACATGGATCCCAAAATGGACTTCCACATCAAGGTCTATGCATCATCAGCTCTTCCCAATCAACCCTGGATCTCAGATTTTACGTCCATGGTGAACGCCAGCTACCGTGTCAGCCACACTGCCAAAATAAAGTTTTCCACAAATAAGACCAGACTTCACACCGACTCCGCACTGTCCGAAGAGCTTGGTGCAGACGGATTCACCGCGGTGGCATTTATTGAAGATGCCGAAGATCAAACACCCAAATTGGTCGGGACCGCAAGTATAAAGAAATGGAAAGACGACGGCCTTTGGATGCCTACAACTAAAAACGGGCATGAAGACGCTGCCAATACTCGATGTGTCGATCAAATGTTGCACCGACAGGCTTGTCCCGGCGACTATGAGCTTGCTGTTGTTGCTCTCCCCCCAGGTCCACAATACCGCGGCAGGGGTATTGCTGGTCATCTTGTGAGGGCGTGTGAAGAAGAGATCTTGCGTCGGCATCGGGTCAATGGAAAGGATGTGTCGTCTCCGCTACGAATTATGACTCGGGTTAATAAAGAGGACACTGGTGGCTACTGGCTAAAACAGGGGTTCACTGTTGTTGGTAGCCAGAGGCGTCCTAAGGGGTTCTGGGATTCGTTGGAGGAGTTTACTATATGGGCTATGGTGCGAGAGTTGTCAGCATAACTAGATGGTGGTTGGATTTTATCATATAGAGCGGATTCAGGATGATATCACCTATTTCTGTATACGTACGTGTCTGTCTATTTTGTTTTAACATTCTCTATGTTTTGCGGGCGCAATTATGATAAATGAACATCATATTGTAAAGTATCTTGTGACTTGTCTAATCTTGCATGTTTCAGAGCCCAAATGTCTTTCCAATCTCACTTCGCGGCGATCAATCTTGCTTGATGTGATGCTTCTTCAAGGTAAACGGGCTCGGGGGTGGGCCATATATCTCCGTGAGAATACACGGGCTTTGATTTGGATCTCCGGGTCTGACCATGACATCCACAACGTGCAGCCCTGTCCCGGATTGAACCATCTCATCATGGAAAATGATGTCAATGTCGCCCCATGTTCTGGCTATGGTGGAAGAGACCGGGTAAGATGTCACATTTGGGGCTCCAAAGAAAGAAACGGATTCTGCGTATCTCCAGTGACCAGAATCCTGCTGGCGGTACTCCATTGCGTGCATTAGCCTTTCAACGATGGGTTCTCCTTCGTTGATCACGAATATGATGGCATTGAGCTTGTTATCGATGATGGCTCTGAGGTCATTTCGGCCCTCTTGGAAACCCTTGGCTCCTTCAAAGAGAACTGTTCGTCCGTGCGAAAGCCGGCAGGTTGCTTTGGCAAGGCCTTGTTTTGCCGAAGCGACACCCAAGGTGGTAGCAAGCATGTGTCCGGCGAACTTCCTGATACCAGGATTGATTATGGTTGTATCACGCGGCAAAACAAATGAGCGTGCTCCATCCTGAGCTGTTTGGGTTTCAGTCAAGATAATATCACCCGGACGGAAAAAAAGAGACATCCGTCGCCAAAAGGTGGAATAAATGTCATGCTGAAGTAATGCAGTATTTCTCTGACTTGGGAGCATTTCAATGCTGTCGCGGACATTGGGTAAATTGGGGTAGGGCGCAAGATCACGCAGTTTCCTCTCAGTCAGGCAGTCTAGAATCCGCTGAAGCACAGGTCTAGAGAAGAGCTCATAACTTTGGTCCCCAATGACAACGGAATTTCTATTGAATGTGACGGTTTCTGCTGTCTTCGCCTCGAACACGGCGGGAGCAGCCCACTTAGTGGTATTCAGAGGTCCAATAAGGAGAATCAGGTCAGACGATCTGAAGTATGAACCGTACATGTCGAAATCCGAGATATCCCCATGGAAGTTTTTGAGTGTTTCATCTACAACACCTCTGCTGAACTGGGTCGCAGCAGTTGGAAACCTAGTCTTTTTCGCCAGCTGGCTTGCTTCCTTGGTAAGACCACAAGATGGAACACCCGCATCCACGAGAATCACCGGTCGTTGTGCGTGCCTAATCTTGTTCATGATACTGGCCACTACCGTTTGTTCGATCTCAGCATCGTGGGGCGGAGCGTTGAAGTCCAGGCGCTGAACGAGTCCCTTCACCGGTACCATACTGCCGACCAAATCTTCCGGCAGTTCGATATAAACAGGCAGAGACTGCATGATACATCCTCGAATGGCAGTATCAATCTGAGCAGTCGCCTCGCTAGGGTGAACAAGAAACTCCTGGGTAATGGTAATTTTGTCGAAGCAGTCAGCGAGTGTTTGAAAGACATCAGGCTGACGAGGAACATTAGGCTGCGCGTCGAAGAATGAATGGTGGAATTTGGAAGCCTGCGCTTGCACCTTTCGTTCGGGTGTACCAATCACAAGCACAACTGGAATTCTATCCCGGTACGAGGCAGCGATTGCCGTCGGGACCGACGGTGACATATTCTCGAATGAAGATATCACAGCGGCGATACCCTTGACCCGTGCATATCCATCTGCGACAAGTCCGACACTAAGATCGCTACGGTGTGTGACACATCCAAGCGCCGCATCAGTGGCTTCTCTCAGTATTCCGATATTATGGTTTCCGGGGACGCCATGCACGGCGTGTAGGCCAACTTGATGAAGGCGTTCGAAAAGATAACCTGCGAGGGTGATATCGTCCGACATGATGAACAGTCTCAAGGCTTTTTGGTGTTGACAGGCGTTGCCAGAGACGAGCAGGAGAAAGGAGGAAACGAAGAGTTTATGTTATTTTGGACCTAGGAAGGAAGTTTGAAATTAAAAGTGCCTACACACGAGGTGTTGGTCAGATTTGCTAACGATCAATAACAGAAAGGTTGAGGTTGAGGTTAAGGTTACCTGGAAGGCAATGGAGAAATTTGAGAAGAGTTAATGAAAAGGTATAAAGACCAATGTTGTGACTTGAAAACATGCGTTGTATCTCAACTTGAGCGCAAACCAGTCAAAACAAAGTTGAGTGTAGCAACATATTGCCTTTTCGCTACTCCCTCCCCATTGTTAGTATGGGATCACAATGAGCCAGAGTACCATTCGATGCTCGAGTGCTATTTCTATTGTCAAGGGTGCCTATAAATCAACCTTCCACGGCTTATGGTCAGGTACCGGTCCTTCTTATGTGGTCGCTGGTCCTTTGTGTGTTGATTTACTATGCGTGAAAATGGCATAACCTTGTCCCATAGTTGGAACAACATTCGACCCAAATCATACAGATAGTGCTGTAACATATCAGTATCTTCCCTTCTTTTTCAAGTCCGAGTGTTTCCCTTAATGAAGCTTATTCCAAGCGGGAAAGTATAAATTCAACAAACTTCAAAAGGTCGAATCATAGATCTTTGAATGTAGTGTGGTGAACGCCTTGATATTATTTGATGAATGCATGATTGTTCGACCAATGAGCAGCTGCGATACGTTCAGGCCCTATTCTGTGCATTAGAACTATACAATTATTCAAACATCAACTACTTCTTATCAACAATAACTATTCCTAGGCCAAACCAGGTCCTGGGTAGCATTATTGGAATCCATAGATCAGCCCACCATGCAACCAGGATCTGAGAGTTATGCTAATACTATGACTCGACCAAACGTTGTCTAACATTGTTTCATCCTAGCACGATTCCTGACGAACCCAAACCCCGGCCATGAAGCTCTCGCAGCTAGGCTTCGCGTGCGGCGACGCGGCAGGACAACGTCGTAGAGTAAACGACGGGATGGGACTTTCGGTTCGTAAAGAACTGTGCGAGGATGGAATGGTAGGGAACGTCTGGTCAAGTCATGGTGTTAGCATAATTCTCGGATCCAATGCTTGTAAGCTTTGACTATTTCCCCCGATGCTTGCATGGTGAGCTCCTTCTGCGGGACTATTGTCGGTGGAGGGTAATTGGCTTGTTCCTGCCGTTTTCACCCATAAACGGCTTCGAAAACCTATTGACATTTGGCAGATTCTGGGCACCTGGGTTGTCTGGGAAAGAGCGTGCGCACTGAGAGAATGAGTAATCACGATATCACGTGCACAAGTTTCGGCCTCGGCTTCCGAAGGGGAATTCACGATATCGGCAGGCTCGGCTTTCGGACTCATCAATTCAGGTGAACTTGGGTCCACCATTTCATTCCTTTTTATACATTATTCTGTCTCTCTTTAATTGCGTTTGGTGAAGTCTGCCTGATCCAAAGTCTCTCATCTCCCGAGACATCTATGAACCGGAGTATATCCTAGTCAAGCCTTGTCTAGTGTACCTGTATGAAGCTATCAGACGTTCTCTTCTGTGTTGGTTGAAATTTCCCGGGGTCATCATGGAGTATACACGCGAGATACTAGCAGGCGTATTGGCGCTCGCCTCATGGAGAAACCTGGCCTTGCTTCTTGCAGTGACTAACTTGAAAAGTCTCCCATTATCTTGGCACGTAAGTGTTCCTTGCCCTTGTTCGACTGTCAAATTTGACTTTCTGGAATTGACCTCCCCCCATGGTATGTTGCACTACTGACCGAGTCAACAGTTCCGTTTGCTGTATCACTTCGTAAGCAACCTACGTTTGAAACCCAGTGCGCCACTTTTCCCCAAGGGGAGACTCATTGTGGACTCCCGAGGCAAACCAACACATCCCATCTTCGTACCATGCATGGTCACATCTCGCACGCCGTTGCTAGAGACCGATTACAACCTGCACAAATCCAACAGCACCTACTTCACGGATCTGGACATTTCGCGTACAACGCTGGTGACCCGACTTTACAGTCCTGGAGTCGGCAATGTGAGCAAGGAGCTCGACCAGGAGTTCCTAGCCGCAAGCAAGAAAGAGGGAAAGCCAGCGCCAAGGCGCAAGCCGATGTCGATTGTACTCGGATCTGTTTACTGCACATTCAAGCGCGAGATCAAGCCATACGAACTATATGAGATGCACTCTAAGGTGATCTCTTGGGATGCGAAGTGGATGTACATCTTGACCTGCTTCATGCGACCTGCAAGCCACAGTGGCGGCGAAAAGGTGGTCCTTGCTGTGGGTCTTAGCAAGTACGTGGTCAAGAAGGGCCGGCTGACTGTTCCCCCGGAGCGGCTTCTACGCGCTAGCGGATTCCTTCCCGCGCCGTCCTCCGGGAGTGAAGACAAGACCGCGCTAGCCGACGTCAATTCCTCAGCCGAAGCTTCCGACGTTGGCACCCCTGCTAGTGGTGAAGGTATCACGGCCATGGGAGGCGTGGATGGATCGTTGGCTCGGGAGGTATTGAAGATAAACGATGAGCAGATTCCGAGCCAGGAGACACTGGATAAGCAGCAGAAGGAGAATACTGACTCGTGGGATGTCGCAGAGTGGACCTGGGAGCGGATTGAACAGGAACGCCTGCGGGGATTGAAGGTTGTCGATGGATATATTAATTTGGATACCCAGCTTTTCGATGAATGGGTGCAATAGTTTCAAATAGATACAGCATGGATGTGATCATGCAGAGAGTGATCCAAGCGCCTCGATGACCTCAATGCTCTAACTAATATTAGATTTTGGAGATCCTGACAACGGACCGTTCATGCATCCACAGATCTACAATTCAATTTCCAAAGAAGGACCAACACGGTCCACTCTTATGTATTTTTGTTTACATGGATAATACAAAGTGATGTACGGAGTACATGTCTGAGTTGTACATTGTATGCTGTACACTTCTGAATATACGTCATATTTCCCCGGTAGACACATATAGTTATCTACCGCATGATGTAGGTACATAAAGTGAACGAACTGGCTAGCCACTAGAGCCTCATCCGACCGGACCTTTATTTTCCCGGATTAGTATATGATCATGGCGAGAAGAAGATGAGATTACCCTGTAATGATAATGCTAGAAGATATTACGGAGAGAGTGTAGATTGTATACCAGCCTCGGAGGTCTCGCTTGATTAATATAGAGAGTTCTAGCCTAAGTATGGATGGATGTACTCCGTCCGTATACGGAGAAAAAATCGCCAAGTTATAAGACAATTCAGCACTTATAACATAGAAAAAATAGAGGATGCAAGAATAACTAGAACTTATACTGCCCATATGTTCTAGGATATAAGTCCTGGACTGTATACATGCAGTTAATCTTGATGTTGATCACTGATCTCATCAAGGGAGGAAACGCTCGGCTCCGATGGTATCCGAGATTGGCTGAACATTGTATGATCCGTGACAATACCAAACTTGTTGGACAGTACGAAATTGAGTAAATAACGGTAAAATAACAGATCCAGAACATGGAGATCACATAATCTTAAATTACATCCTTGTCACGTGACCCATCACTGAAAGCTTCAAGGTGCTATGACCAAGCTCTATTTTGACCATCGTGATACCACCTTTGCTTCTGCGCTTCTTTGCATTTCTTTGGATTCGCAGGCGTTAACTGCCGTTCCAGTGATTTAGTGAGTTTGAATTTGTTTGCGATCAACTTGTACTCCCCTGAGACCTGGCAATCCTTTTACCCGTCCGAGACCGGATACGGTACGAATCATTTCGCGGCTCCTAGGCGCCCAGGCCAAAGTCGCCCCGAAGTCCACTTTGCTCTCTGATCGGACGATTCCCACCCTTCCCATATTAGCGCTCTGATTTGTCCAATTTCAAGCCCATCATTCCTCACCCTGTGCCCACCTGCCCCTGCCTCCTTCCAGTATCAGCCCATCGTGCACTCCACCTTCAAGCGTCGCCGGCACCTGCATGATTGGTCTATTTCTGGTATTGCTGCACTTCTCTACCTTTTTCATGGAGAACCTAGCGCTGCCTTTGCTACTCCGTACAAGGGTTTCCTCTGCCTACACTACAACTTCCTGTCTCACAAATTTCAGTCTTTCACTGGTGACCTGACTAAAACAGTTCGCCTTTCTGTTCAGTTTAGGCAAAAACAACCACCCGCGAAGAGCTAGCTTATCGCAATCGTTTCAACTACCTACCTCCGTTGTACTCTGTACACTCAAGGAGTGTGTCGACCACCCTCAACACACCAATACTGGTGCCCTTGACCCCAACAATTTCGCGCTTCCTTTCGCTCGGTCGCAGCGCTTGTTCCCATTTCCCCGACCGCTGGGAAATACTCCCTTCACGCCGTCGATCAGCGGTCGCACTATCCGACGACGGCAACTCATACGCTGTACCGTTTCCCAAACATTCCTCTATCGCCCTCGATGATGGCGACAGTACTCGATCAGTCGCAGCGCGACTCGCTCGGAGGCGAACCTGTCGTCGAAATCTCCATCACTCCGCCGCAGAGTGCCAACGGCAAAAAGGAAGCGCCTGAAGGAGTGCCCTCCGAGTTATCGGATCTCGAGCTTGACCACCAATCTGCCCCGGCACCCGATACATCTAAGATCAAGCAGGAAGAAGTGGAGGAGAAGGTTGAGGAAATTGAAGAAATTGAGCCTGATCATTACTATGGCGACGGCAAGGTCCCTGTTTTCAAGCCGGTGAGTTCCACGCCACTGCCCTCCTGCTCGATGACCAAGGGTTGGAGATCTCCCAGTTGTGTGAGACTGGGCAGTAACGCCTATACCTCCAGAGCCAGGCTGACTGTGGTATTGTTTTAGACGATGGACCAATTCCGAGACTTCCAGGGCTTCATCAACAAAATCAATAAATATGGAATGCAGGCAGGCATCGTGAAAGTCATTCCTCCGAAAGAATGGTGAGTCGATCAAATGAAGACCAATGTGGATGGCTGTGCTCATGACTTTGTACTTTTCAAGGTCCGACTCTCTTCCACCGCTGGATGAGGCAGTCAAGAAAATCCGAGTGAAGAATCCCATCATGCAAGAGTTCCACGGATCCCACGGTACATACACCCAAGCCAACATCGAACGCCAACGCTCGTACAACCTTCCTCAGTGGAAGGGTCTATGTGAAGAAAGCAGCCACCAACCCCCGGCTCGCCGAGGAGAGAGACGCCGAAACCAAGAACGCGTGAACCGTGCGGCCCCGACACCACGGGCCCCGTCTATCCGCCCCGAGGGTCAGAAGCGCCGGCCTGGCCGCCCCCCTAAACGGTCAAATCAGGCCAAAGTCAAAGAGGAGCCTCCTGCAGATGACGTCGAGAAGACCAGATTAGAGGGTCCCCCAACGCCTGTATCACCCGAGACCAACCCCGTGCAGCCGAAGACCGAGGATTTAAGTGAAGGCGAATCTCTACCTACCATAAAACCAAAGGGACGACAACCCAAGTCCGTGACCGCACGCCGAAAGAACAACCGAGGCGATGCCATTGATCAAGCCGATGAGGAGGCGTACACAGGATTTGATTACCGGATCCATGACCATGAAGAATACACCGCGGAAAGATGCGAGGAGCTTGAGACTAATTACTGGAAGTCACTCATGTATAACAATCCGATGTACGGAGCTGACATGCCCGGTTCGCTCTTCGAGGATTCTACAGAAATCTGGAATGTCGCCAAGTTGCCGAATCTGCTTGACGTCCTCGGGCAGAAGGTACCTGGAGTCAACACTGCTTATCTCTACATGGGCATGTGGAAGGCTACCTTTGCTTGGCATCTTGAGGATGTAGATCTGTACAGCATTAACTACATCCACTTCGGTGCCCCCAAGCAGTGGTACAGCATCTCCCAAGAAGATGCACCTCGCTTCGAACAGGTCATGCGCAGTATCTGGTCCAGTGATGCGAAGAACTGCGATCAATTCCTTCGTCACAAAACCTACCTCGTCTCGCCTAGCCTTCTCAAATCGCAGTATGGGATCACCGTCAATCGGTTGGTTCATTACGAAGGAGAATTTGTGATTACATTTCCTTACGGGTACCACTCTGGGTATAACGTCGGATACAATTGCGCCGAGTCGGTCAACTTCGCGACCGAGCAATGGTTAGACTATGCTCGCATCGCGAAGAAGTGCAACTGCGAAGCAGACAGTGTCTGGATCGATGTGGACGAGATCGAGCGCAAGCTGCGCGGCGAGAGCACACCTGAGTACTATGGTGAATTTGAGAGCGAATTCGATGGCTTTGAAGGCGCTTCTGATCTTCTTACACCGCCACGTAGTGTGCCTGGGAAGACATCCACTCGTGGCCGAAAACGGAAGAATCCGGGCGACGGGCCGAATACCAAACGACCCAAACTCCACCCAGAAGGACCACGGAAGCTCCCGTGCTTGCTATGCCCTAACAATCTGGACTATGAGGATCTTCTGCCGACCGAAGATGGCAAAGGGCATGCGCATAGACGGTGTGCGGCGTTCATAGAAGAGACCACAATTCTCCGTGACGCATCTGGTACGGAAGTTGTGTGTGACATTGACAAAATCCCCAAGGCTCGCCTGGGTCTTAAATGTCTCTTTTGCCGCGAAGTCCGCGGGGCCTGCTTCCAGTGTAACTTTGGAAAATGCACGCGCGCTTATCATGCAACCTGTGCTCTTTTGGCGGGTGTTCAGGTTGAGCACGGTGCGATTGCTGTCATTGCCGATGATGGCACGCAGTACTCCATTCCAAGTGTGGATTTGAAATGCAAGTTCCATCGCCAGAAGCGGCCTAATGGAGTCCTGGGTGAATCGTCCGATGTGGATCGTCGGGTAATCGAATCGGCTCGTCGTCTGGTGCAAGGAAATTTGATCCAATTTCAAGCCGACAAGGAGATTAATGGCGCCATTGTTCTTGAAAATCGTCCTTCGGAGCGAAGTCTTTTGCTCAAGGTGCTCCCCAGAGGGTAAGTTTTTTTTTTTTTTTCCGGTCCCTATCTGACGTTCTGCTCACACTAATAAATCTACAGAGATGTGATTGAAATGCCCTATCGCTGGATGCTTGTTGTTCGCAAGAGCAATTTCACGCCTCTCGCACTAGGAATCCAACCCCTCCCAGCCCACCTAGCGCGAAAACCCGAACAGCGAAAGGAGTTAGAATCAGCGGTACCGGCGGCAGGCAGTGCATTCGGCGATTCACGATCTCCCTATCAGTGGGCTGAATTTGAGACAGTGGATGCGACTAGGAATCAATTCGCCCCACTCAGGACGGTCAACCTCCAGGGAGAGCAGATGTGGTATTATTTGGGCATGCAGTCCACCGAAAGTAGGGCACAGTATACACACAACCCTAGCGTGTCCATCCACAATCCTCGGGCCAATTTCCTGGACAGCGTCAAGTCGCTTGGCATGGGTGTCAGCGCTCGTGCATCGAAGATCTCACCCCACCACTTTCATTATGCTGCCACCGCCCCTGCCCCTCCCTACCGAAACCTGAATCAGCCAAACCAGCAAAACCAGCATCAGAAGCAAAATATTTACTCTTCGAATGTCAACGCCCCTCACCTACAATCCCGACCGCCCTCTTCTGCCTTGCAGCACCTCGCCCCTCCCCCTCCTTTTATCCCTGTTACCGGTGCTGCTGCTGGTGCTCCTGCGATGCCGTCGGCCTTTCGAACTCTGCCCAATCAGTCTGCCCGTCATGCCCCCTATCCTTCGGTCGCCAAGTCGCACGCTCAGCAGCAGCATCACCTCCCACCCACCAATACCTTTGCCAATGTCCGAGAACTTATTGCTCGCCGCCGGTTAGCCCAAATTACCGACCACGCTAATGTCTTTGCCGGATACACTATCGTCAGCCCCGAATTGGTGGTGGAGACGCTGTTGGGTCCGATGGGCTCAATACCACCCGCCAATGGCCTCGAGAAGCTGGAACTGGCCATGGCTCAGCAACGGGTTCAGCCCCGGGCGGCGGATGGCACTCTGTTGCCGCCTCAGACTCTGAACATGCGGTCGGAGGAGGTCACTCGACTCCTTCAGATGCTCCGCTTTTCGCTAGTCAGCCACCGCGAGCGACTCGATGTTATTCAGAGGAAAGAGTCGGAGGGTATCAAGCAGGAGACCGTTGATCGGGGTAGCGTGGCTGCTGCTAAGATGCCTGGAAAATATGCCTACCTGGATCAGCAACGGTCGCTAGCACCCAATGTTTACCAGTCTCCCTATAATATGCCGTCGGGTCTCTCCGAATACGCAAAGGCTACCTACGGATTAGTTCCTGCAGCAGACGACCCGCCCAAGCCATCCCTGTCGAACGATTTCTTCAACAATCTGTCACCGGAGCATCAAGAAAAGGTCTTGAAGGCCTGTGGTAGCTTCGTGCAGCGTGCAATTGAGCGATCGACTACTCACAGCCGGCAAAGTTCATCCTCCAATCTCCGGTTGTCGGCGGCTCTGGCACAGCAAACAGAAAATCCGACGATTGACATCACCCCGGTGGAGGATCCCCCCCTTCTCTCGGGTCTCGACATGCCGCTCCACGCCGATTCTCCATGCTCCAGTTTCGGTCGGTCGCATCTACGATTTCAGTCGCCAAACGAGTTCCCCATCCATGGCCCAGATCCTCACCCGGACCACCACGATCTGTTCGGAGATCAGCAAGCGAATACCCGCTTCTGGCAGAACGGGCCGTGGGTCGGCGGGGATGGCAACACTCCAAATGACGAGAACCGACCGTTCTTCGGACCGCATATCTTCGGACCACACGAACGACTCAAACATGACTATGCATCCTCCGACATCTCCCTGGGCAAGGGACCTGGATCCTTGCACTCTGTCGATATGGCCGGCTTTGGCCCTGACTTGAATGATGACCTCGGACTGAGTCCATAGATGTTGGCCTCGTCACCGGCCTCGTCACCTTTCTGACCCTTTTAAACTCGCGTTTGCCTCTGTTTACCTCTGCGACTGTATTTGCATCTCATGTAACGACTTCACCGGACTGACGACACTGCATGAATGGGCGTTTTCTTGTTATTTCATCCGACCTCGACTGACGATCGTTCCGTTACCACGGTCATGTTTCTTTTACGATTTGGAGTTGGCACTAGCTGGCTGGTCACGACTCAGCGCATTTCGTTTCTTTCGATCATTATTTCCCTTCTTTCAACGCGACATGTCGGAAAAGGCGGTCCGACTGACCTACTTGACTACTAGAGTGGTCACATAGACGGAGTTCAACTTGCACGGTTCTTTTGCGGCCGAAAAATCCCGACAGCCTTTTCCCATCTCGATCTTTCTCTCGCCCTTTTCAACACTCAGGGCCTTACCATCCAGGGCCTACTTCCGCCCTTACTCCTTTCCCTCCCCTACTGATCTCCCTGTTTGTTCTATTAGATATCTCATCAAACAAGAAAAAAATTCCTTTTCTTCTGCCCAGCGAGATCACTGGATGACATTTGTGCTTTACCCACTTTGATACCCCCTTTACCCTGCCCTCCAAATTCCGAAGGAAGGGTGTGGATCCGGACTTCACCTTTTGAACTACTTCCCCCCTTCCTTTGTGTTGATATATCCATCCTGGCGCTCATCGATTGCTCAGTCTCTTTCTTGCATGGAGTCTTCGCAGCATGTTCCTGATGTGGCAGCCGTCACCTCGCGTGACCTTGATGTATGTGCAATGAATCATTCAAATATTCCATTTCCAGTGTAGACTGTATTGAGTAGGAGTTCTCCGTAGCTGAGTAGGATTCTCGCATTTCTCTTCTCCTTACGGACTAGTTCGGTACCACTTTCCTCTTCCGGCTGAATCTGTCAATCGCAAGTGTCCCCTTTGAAACCCAACCTTCCCCACACCACCAGTGTCCTCATCCCAGCCCCCGCATTAGAATGCCTTCTTGGTACGTTGGTGGGTTGTATAAAGTAGTCAGTGCCTTAGTGAGCCGTGTGCATAGGCAATACGATCTGTAGATGTGTTCTCCTCCCATTCAGGTTCTTGATCTTGCACTCATGGTGCTAGAATATGCTTGGCACGGAACCCCGCTGTAGATCTTCTTATGGTGTCCAACGTGTTCCACATCTCTGCCTTCTTGCGTGCCAGGTCTAGGGTTGAGATGGATGGGATTAAGATGCGAGGTATATCCAGGGGCATTCTCACGTGATATATGTGCTATCTGATATCGTGATATCGTGATGAATGCGTCTGAATAAAATAGGGGAATCCAAGTGGATCATGATGCCGTCTCTTATCGTAGGACCATTAGGTCATACAACCTTTTCTTAGCAGCCCAGGACAAAGATACAACGAGATAAGCCTAAAAAATCCCTGTCATTCGTTCGAGATATCTTTTTTTTCGCCTCATCTCTAAAACCTTGTTACGCGGTCTCGGACCGCGCCATGTTTTCTATGCGGGGCGCTTTCTTAATCTCGTTTTAGGTATAATATCAACTGACAACCTTGCTTACTGGAATGCTCATTCTCCCAACACATTCATCATGCGAAGTTCTTCTGTCGATGCCTCCGCCGACGAGGCATTGGCCCGTATGGGCTACAAGAGTGAATTGCCTCGAAACCTGAGCATGCTGAGCATCCTCGGCTTATCCTTTGCCATCATGGCAGCTCCCTTCGGACTGAGCACGACCCTCTACATCACCCTCTCCGACGGTCTATCCGTCACCATACTCTGGGGTTGGGTCTTCGTCTCCCTGATCTCAATCGCCATCGCCGCCTCTCTCGCCGAGATCTGCGCCGTTTACCCAACAGCAGGAGGCGTGTACTACTGGAGCGCGATGCTCTCAACGCGTCGCTGGGCCCCATTGATGTCCTTCATCGACGGCTGGCTAACCCTCGTGGGCAATTGGACCGTCACACTGAGTATCATCTTCTCCGGCGGCCAATTGATCCTCAGCGCCATCTCCATCTTCAATGAGTCCTTCGTTGCCAATGCGTGGCAGACCGTATTGATGTTCTGGGCAGTCATGCTCGTCTGCGCCCTAGTCAACATCTTTTTCTCGCGTTATCTCGATCTCATCAACAAGGTCTGCATCTTCTGGACCGCAGCCAGTGTCATCATTATCCTTGTCACGCTTTTGACAATGGCCGACAACCGCAGAGACGCTGACTTTGTCTTCGCTCACTACGACTCCTCTACGAGCGGCTGGCCCGCTGGATGGGCTTTCTTCGTGGGTTTGCTGCAGGCGGCATACACCCTGACCGGCTACGGAATGGTCGCTGCCATGTGCGAAGAGGTGCAGAACCCACACCGCGAGGTGCCCAAGGCAATCGTGCTATCCGTGGTGGCTGCTGGCATCACCGGCCTGTTCTACTTGATCCCGATTCTGTTCGTGATGCCCAACGTGCAGATGCTGCGCGAGGTCGCCAGCGGCCAGCCGATCGGCCTGCTCTTCAAGACAGTGACCGGCTCTGCAGGCGGTGGCTTCGGCTTACTCTTCCTGATTCTGGGGATCATGATGTTCGCCGGCATCGGGTCTCTCACAGCTGCCAGTCGCTGCACGTATGCGTTCGCTCGCGACGGCGCCATTCCGGGCTTCACGCTCTGGCGGCAGGTGAACACCAAGCTGGATGTGCCTGTGTGGGCTATCGTGCTATCGGCCGTCGTGGATGGATTGCTAGGACTGATCTATTTTGGTTCCACGGCTGCGTTCAACTCCTTCACCGGTGTGGCTACTATCTGTCTGTCGACCTCGTACGGTCTCCCGATTTTGATCTCTTTGATTCGAGGCCGCCAAGACGTGAAGAATTCCTCGTTCTCTCTCGGTCGCTTTGGATTCGCCATCAACTGCGTTACCATTGCGTGGATCGTGCTGGCTGTCGCTCTCTTCTGCATGCCCGTTACCTTGCCTGTTACCCCGGAGTCTATGAATTATGCCAGTGCTGTTTTCGCTGGATTCGGTGCTATTAGTGTCATCTGGTACTTTGCCTATGCGCGCAAGCACTTTACTGGACCTCCGATTAGCGGTGACGAGGCGCGCGCCGCCACCGAGTTGATGACGGGTACGCCAGTGGATGCGGAGAAACCGTTGCAGACGATGAAGAAGTTACCGAGCGAGTAAAGGGTCTTCATTTGTATTTTATTGTTACTATACACGATTAAGAAATAAGAACAAAGAAACAATTCAACTTATAAAAGTGCAATTATCGTAGAATGTCGAATGCGATTTCGGCGACAATCACAAGTGCCTAATGATCGCCGAGAGCCGCGGTCCAACACACGCCATCTCCAGATCATCTCCTGGGAGTTTCTTTCCACATTTTGATTGGAGTGAATCTTTTTCAATCCGGGGAAGAAACGAAGACCACATTCCGGGGAAAATCACAGTCAAACCAGGGAACCTCGGGAATCTCCGATCGGACACAATCCCTCTTCACCAAACACACCCCCTTCCAGCATCTCTCTTGAAGAACCAAAAAACCTCGCTGTATCACCAAATTCCTATTTACAGTCTTCTACGCTCCCCATGAGGACCCGCGCAAGCCGATGCCCAACCCCGCTCCCATGAAGACAGGGCAAACCGGACCGCTTATCGCGTCATGTCGGACTCTGTAGGTGCGTGTTGTGCAGATTGCGCCCTGCGTCATGCATCCGGATTTCCACTGACACCCGCTCATCACAGATCGAGTCTTTGTTCATGCCCTCAATACCGTTAAGAGGATTCCCCGGACCGGCACCGCGCGACCTCCCGCTGCCGAGCGGTTGGCACTATATGGCTTGTATAAGCAGAGTATGGGTGAGTGTCCGGCATTACACCTGGAACAACAACGAGGAAACCGGAGGAGCTAATACTGCATCAGAGGGGGACGTGGAGGGAGTAATGGATCGTCCGATTGGGAACACGCCGGAGGTGCACGCGGAGTGCGAGAAATGGTATGTCCCGAAGCGCGGGGAAAAAGAAAGCTTTTGATTATTGTGGATCTTGCTCGGGTCTATGAAACATCGCTTTTCGCTCTACAATCCGACACCACACACACTGACAATGTTCTTGTCTTGTCTAGGGATGCATGGTATGCGCAGCGCGACATATCGCGCACCGAAGCCAAACGCAGGTACATCTCGACGCTGATCCACACCATGCACCAATATGCATCCCAAACACCCGAAGCACGCGAGCTAGTCGCCGAGCTCGAATTCGTTTGGGACCAGATTAAGTTCAACACCTCGTCGTCGTCGACTTCTAGTCCGGTGAATACAGTCGGCGTCCCGCCGTTATCGCGCAGTGCGTATGGGAGTATCGCGGGTCGAATGGCGGAGGAGGACTATGATCGTCCTGATCGACGGGATGATACCAGTCGACGAGATCGGGACTCGCGGTTACGGGTTCTCAGTCCTATGAGCCAGCCGGAGGAGGAGGAGTATTATCGGCGGCGGAGGGGGTCTGATGAGAACCATAAGGATGGGAGTCCGCATAATGAGGACGAGGATGAGGATGAGGAGGAGTTTGAGGAAGCCCGTGATAGCTTATACGAAGAACGAGATCAAGACGACCACGATCACGATGACCCGGACCATGCTAGCTCCCACTCCAACACCGACACACATACACATACCGACGTCTCTTCACATCACCGTCCCAAACATCGTCGCAATCCTGCCTCTGGTATTAGTATAGACAGCAGTGGGAACGGTCTCCCGCATAGTCGACATTCCCATTCAGAGCCAGCTTCGAAAGACAGTCGCTGGCGCCGCCGTGTCGAGCAGGCCTTGACGAAAATGACAGCGGAGATTGCGGCTGTGCGCGAGCAGATGGAAGCTCGGTCTATTGCGCATCGCCGTCGATCTGGTCTGTTAGCGTGGGTGAAGTGGATGATTTGGGTTGCTGTGCGGCAGATCTTGTTTGATATTGCCATGCTGGGCATGCTGCTTATTTGGATGCGGTTGAGGGGGGATCGTCGTGTTGAGAATCGACTTAAGACGGGCTGGGCGGCGGTTAAGGCGAGGCTTAAGCTCCTGAGGATCGTGGATGCGCCTTTATTGCCATAAAGGGCGTTCTATGGCCATGGCCATGGTCGTGGCCTATCTTTCTTTCCATTTTCTTTTTATCGGTCTTTGACTCCTTGCGGCATTTTTCTCCGGGCATTGTTTGCATTGGCTATTCCCTTATCTCCTCGTTTACTTTCTTGTGTCTACTTCTCTTGACTTTTCTTTTGTCTAGTATATATGGGTTTCAATTTCAGGTTTCGGGAGTCCCTCCTCTTTTGCTTCTGTTGTCTTCGACTTTCTTTTCTTGGGTGTCTGATACATGCTGTGTCCAAGGTGACAGCACTTGAGGTTAACTATATCGAGTTATTGATAGATGCGAACATCAGTCTAGATGCTATGGATTGGGGGGAAGCGCTTACATTCCAAGCATAGATGATCAATGTACTTTTATTTCCTATTTTGTTTTGATATCATTTGGCATGTACCCTATTAGAAGTCATATTCATTAGTCAAGTTATTCACCACGTTGCTGTCCTCTTTCGTTGAGAGATTACATAGATTTGATGACAATTCAAAGCCCTAAGAAATAACTACCTAACGGTCAACCTCGATATATAGTCGTATCTTAGATCGCCAGTATTATTCCTCAACATCATTAGTGATAATTGAGATCCACTGCTGTTCTCAGATCAGTTCAAATTCCAAGATGTGCTGTATGTGAAAGCCGTGGCACCAGTTGGGGTAAAAGGCGTAATTAGAGCACCCGTTGTCGTTGTGCGAGTATACCCGTTGATTGGATATAAACCATAGCTCGTGCCATGGCTATATAGACTTCTAGGATCGTCATCGCCCGCACCAGCACTATATACCGACGGAGAACCTTCCGAAATCGGGATCGTCAGAGCCAATTTCTCATGCTGAACAGGCGTCGCCGTCGCAGCCACCATAGTCGCAACCAAGGCCACAAAGACAATCGCAAACGGAATCCTCCATAGCGCCAGAAGAGCCGAAGCCGCAGAAACCTCAGTCGGAGCCGGCGAAGGCGGCGGACGTGAAATCGTATTATTGGCGAATTTCGTGCCAACCCAGGCATTCCAGTTCTGGATATCATCCGGACACGATTCCGAGATCGATGCACCCCGCATCTCGGCGACAGTCTTTCCCTGACGAGAAACTGTCACGATAACTTGTCCGGTATTACCGTCGAACGGCACGCTGCCATGATAAATACCGATGGGACCATGTGGTCTATTCTTCCACTTCCCATCCTGCACGACCCCGCCGATCCCAACCGACACATCCACATCCATAGCGTTCCGGAGCAGCGCAGAGTAGAAGACCTCATCTTGCAAAACGTCCGTCGGCGGGAACTCCTTTTGCCCATGCGTCTTCGTATTACCCGTAGTGTCACCGTTGGCACAAGCCTTCCCAGGCGCCAGCCGGAACCAAGCCGTGACGCCCTCAGTCGTGACATTCGGCCGTGCACCCTTATAGACATCGATGATGAAAGGCAGGAAGTCACGCCAGCCGTCATGGGGGTGTCCGGTAGCGTAGTTGTAGCTCGCATGACCGATCTCGAAGGTCGCATATGAACCCTCATGCAGCGGGCCGATGTAGTGCGATTCGCCGTAGTCGTTCCACGAGATGATCTCCACAAACTCCGGCTTGAGAGATAGCACTTGCTGCCAGCGGTCGTACCACAGGTTATCGCCGTTCCAGACCCAGTTCTTGCCGTAGCCTGGCAGGTTCGTGTAGAACCACGGCGAGACTGGCATCATGTACGGCAGGTGGCCGGTGTCTTTGAGCCACTGCATGTACGTGGAATCTATGTACGTGTTTATCGGGTCTGGGCCTTCCGGCCATGCGGCCCAGGAGAATAGGCCGTCTGGAATGCCTGGTGCGACGGCGAGAGCTTCCTTCGCGCCTAGGGCTGACCACCCCGGTACGAAGAAACAGTCTGTGTACTTTTTTATTGTGGTCCAGTCTGTGGCGTTGGAGGAGCCTTCAAAGGTTGAGACGAAGGGTTTGCCGTTGTGCTGGTAGTAGGCTGGGTTGTTTCCGTATTTTCGGAGGAGGCCGATCACCTCGCCTTCTGGCCAGGCACCGTTGCCTACGTAGTCAAATGAGAATAGGAGTTGGAAGCTCAGGGTATTTGCGGCCTTGAATGCGTTCGCTAGGGACCGGTTGTTTGTTGGGAAGTTGTATGCGATGTTCAGAGCAAAGGCGTCGATGTGGGCCTTTTGTGCTTCTGCTATGTTGATTTCCCAGTCGGAGACCGTGAAGTTCTCCGAGTTGTATAGCTGGAATTGGTGGAGGTTAGCGGAGATATAGATCGTAGTTGAAGGGCTTTACCATGAAGTGGGCGAACACGGCCGCTGCTTGGACGTGATGGACACCTCTCCATAATGATAGAATCAAGAATATTGCCGACTTCATGTCTACCTGCGTGTATGGCTCAGACTATAGATGTAAGTAGTACATCGATATGAAGAGTCGTTAGAGAAGGAAGTGCGGCTTTTGTATCAATAATCTATATCCTTGTTTTCCTGTCGCACATGCACGGACTGGTGAAGAGTTTGATACCTGCATTTATGCCTCTCGAGGTATCTATAGATAGATGCCGGAGGTCCGCTATTCGTGCATCTGGATCTAAGCGTACTCTTGGCCTCTCTCTCTTCTCATACCTTGGGTCTAAATACCCGGATTTAATACATGCTTTCTATATTCCGAAATACTTCAGATACACTCCAATGACCAGTCAATGCTGTTGATGCATGCTGTGACAAGCGGACTCTTGAACCTAAGTAGAAACCAACCTAGATATGTTTCGGATTATCTCAAAGGCATAGTTACACCAGGTAGAATATCGGAGGGCCGGAATTAGGGCTCAATTACACACATTGACCAACAGGCCAAACCCCTGCAATCGAATCAGGTGAAGGATTATTATGGTTATGGATTCCTTCGGATTATAGAATGTAACGATTAACAATCTGTCATTGTAGTTCAGACGCTGCAGAACGGTTGATGCTAAGCCTTTGTACCAGCCCGGAAAAGCGCTCGGTCCAGATCAATATTTTGAGAAGGTATCATTAGATCAGATCTACTCAAAGCTAATCGTAATAGAATTATAGAGCTTGATATGCCCAGCAATATTATCCATAGATACGTTAGGAATAAGCGAACTTATATCCCACCTAACCTTTATGTTTCACGCACGCTGCCTACATGTATATTATCACCAATTCTCTAAACCTATATTACTCGGTGGTCGTATGTTGGACAGAGTCAGAGATCGGAAGGAAAACATAGCCAGAACATGTTATATACACGGTGAGACTCTGCAGTGCATGCGTAAGCCTGGGTAATCTAGAGCCAATATATACAAGCTTCCCCGCAGAGGAATGTCAGGGTGAAAGGTGGCTAGTTTATTTGTTGCAATGGTTACCTACATATGGGTTTCCTAACCTAGCACGCTCAGTCCAGACCCAAAAGAGCATCATACTCTGTCATCTGCCGACTCCTTTCAGATTTTGGGCTACGGGTTAGGATATCAAAGAAGCAGAGAATTTGTCTCACTATCTATTAATTGGGTCATAGCCTAGATAGATAGACTCGTATTTCGATCAAGTAATACTAGCGAAGGGCCATGGGTAAAAATAAGAAGAGCAAGGAATAGAGAACCCCCCAGATCCCTCCCTGGTGTGTGACTGGGCGTGTATGGGGGACGCCTCCATCGCCTTCAGATACCATGCCAAGATCACGCTCACGAGAAGCTTCTTGCCTCTTGGCTTCGGAATTGTCAAACGGCTTCTGTACTCCAATGGAAGCCACCAGCACAGTGAAGCCGCCAGCACAGTGAAGCCTCCAGTATTTTCTGTTTCTCAGCTCTCTAGAGCCATGTTTTGTAACCTCCTTGTGACCCGCCCCAGTTCTTCCGTGGTAAAGGGGGTTGTAGCCCGGTATCGTAAGTGAATAGTGTCCTGAAGCCAGAGCTTGCAAGTTTCGGTTAGGCGGATGTGTCGAAATTTTGAATCCATAATGGCCTCCTAAAGCTCGCTGTTGATCCCATAAGAGGCCATACAGTGAAACCATCGGGCATCATCATATTCGCAAGTTCCGCCGGGGTATGACAATGAGAGGCACTCATCATCGACATTCATGGCAATCAGTTGCCTGTCAATCATATTCGGACCAGAGCAGCAATGGGTCGGGATGGGAATGCGGAATCCCTGCGGAACAACTGGTAGGTCTCTTGGTCTCCATGATAGCAATGTTTAAGTCGATGTCTTCCCCTTCCATTTCGCAGAGCTATACGCCCATGTACATTCCATTTGAATGTTCAAGGGTCGAGCAGATTTGTTCAAAGATGGAAAATAGATCGTGATCGCAGACAAGGAGGAGTTCGAGCTTGCAGCGGATACTGGCTTCGTTTGCGCCATGAGTGCGGTCCGGCTTTTCCAACTAGAGTTCTAACTGAGGGTAGCTGATTTATTTGTACAGTCCATCGAGCTAACATACTGCTGTTGTTGCTGCTGGGGCTGCCCAAAGGCACTTGAGCCGAAGGTATAATGGGGCTTCTGGATATTTCCAAACATCGAGCCTTGCGGGACGGGGACAGGTGTAACAAAGTCGAACTCATCATCTGCAACCAGGTGAGACCGATGATCTTCTGGATGTCTGGCAGACTCAACGAGGTCACTGCGAGCTGCGAGGGCTTCGTAGGAGTCAGGATTCTTGTCAAGTCTTCTGTTCAAGAAAGTGGCGAATGATATGCTAGAGAAACAATGGACATATCGTAGATGCAGGGAATCAAAATCACATAGGGCTGTCTGTGAAAGAAGATATGAGAACTGGAAGAAAGCGAAATAAATAGCTGTAGAAGGGCGGGCTGAGGTTGTCTATTGAGAACAAAGTGAGAACAGGGTGACAATAAAGTGAGAAAAATTGGGCAATTTGAAGGGCAAAGAACAATGTAGACCTGAATAGATATATATACATCGAGTCATTGATTAAGTGTGTAGACCGCGTCGTTTTCTAGACATCGGTTGACGGGCTTGATTTGTAGAAATGTACATGTATATCCCCGTTATATACTCGTTGCTCCAGGAATCAAGTACTGAGAACTCGATCAAAAACCTTGGAATATGGTAGTTCCATAGTATTCTACCTCACCCTTCAGATCCAGCAAAAGGCCTGACGTCTATATCGTAGAACCAGAGGGCTGGATAGTTCTTGCAACTATGTAGAAACGGTATCGTGGATGGGAGACTGAATAGTGCCATAGCCGCGGGATAGCAGCATTTCCCTTCCACTTAGAGGCGAAGCAACCAGGGCTGGACCGCCACATAGATGACGCCAGCCCTTTGTTGAGGGGACAAGAGCGTTGATGAAGGACTGCATTGGACGGGCCTATCGCGTTGTATTTTATTGGGTTTATGCTCAGTAAGCAAGTCGGATCGGTCAGGTCACGCTCAGTGAACAAATCAGGCATCAAACCGAGGGTGCACGAGAGCCAGCGGGCTATAGAGTCCGTACTATTACCAACTCGAGAATATGCTATTGCACACTGCAATAGGTTGGAAAACATATTGCCCCGTGCATGCCATGTGAGCAAGGCAAGGAGATTTGGAGATCGAGCAGAAAATCATGTAACCATTCATGATGCCAAGAGATATTTACACAAACATAGACCGGATTTACGGTCGAGCATCCAAATAAAACAGTGCTATAGAAAAAAGACGGTGCCCAGATTATGAGAGGGAAGGATAAGGGTGCAATCAGGGTGAGTCTAGAGAGGACAAAGTAAACAGGGACAGTGTTTACCACTGGGGACCGGGGTACTGTGCGTATTTTTGCTTGGGGCGCAAGTGAACAGGAACTTGGTTCTCGGGAGCGCCAGGGAGGGTCTTCTTCAAGCCCTAAAGAAACAAGAGAAGTGTATGTTAGCTCTAGTCCGGGGGTGATAGCGGATATAATGGATGCGAGGTGATAGGCGATCGAGAGCAAGAAGGCGTATATCATACCAATTTCTCGAAGACACAGGTGTTAAGCTGCATCTCGGGCCTACGGCACTCCCATAGGTGGTGGTTGTTGTTCTCGAGACATTCCCAGTGGGCCTTGAACTGGTCGAGGCAGTTGGTGTTGATGTCCTTGATGCTGTGATGGGTCAATATCTCCTTCTCGACCCAAAGGTAAATCACAAAGCAACATACACGCTAGCGGCACAGCGCGTCACCTTCCGGCCCTCCTTCAAGCAGTCGATCTCCCCGCGGCCATTGGCCTCGTCCTTGCACTTCATGTAGTCGTCATTGAAGGCCTTGCAGCGGTCTCCAATGAAAAAGGATGCACTCATCAGGGGTGCAGATGTGGCACCGATCTCTTCCACCTTGGGAATGTGATCGGGCATGGGCGTGGTGTCCACCAGGACAGTCTGGTTAAAGCTGTGCGCGGAGGGGATAGCGGTTAGCGTCTCACATTGAGCTATACGGAGAGGAAGCAATTGAGATCAAGGTACATACCGAGCATCTCTTTGGGCCATGGCGACGGTGGCTTGTCAGAACGACTGTGAGGGGAAAGAGGTGCAATTGAGGCGAGACTTGGAGATCGATAGTCGAGAGCTGCGGGTTGCGGTGGAATGAAATTTGGCTCGTCGGTGATTGGCTGGCTGAATTTTGCTTAGGTCAGCGTAATATATCACCTGAGGTGCCTAGGTGCGGTGCTGGAATAGGGCGTATATGAGTTGTTGCTTTTGTTTATTGGATATATCAATAAGAAAAATCCATTAGGACAATAACACAGAACAATAAAGCAATTCTAATTCACTATTTATTCAACTCTTTCTTTCAATATGCATTTAAGCGGTTTGCGAACAATATCACATCACGTGACACAAACAAATCGAGCTCCGGCTCATCTTTCTCGGCCTTCGAGCTCCATCGAAGAACCCCTCAGCTTTCTCACCTTCGACTGCCACCCCCCAGTCTCTAGACTATGTGCTTTGAACTTGTTTCTATTTCCCTTCAGCGCTCTTAATCTAGCTGCGCTAGCGATTTATTGATCCATTGACGCGGTCTCTCTTCATCGTGGTTTTTTTTTGTCTTTGTGATTGCCATCATGTCTCTCTTTGGTGGAAACCAGCCCCAGGCCAACAACATGTTCGGCAACACTGCAGCGAAGCCGTCTCTCTTTGGCACCTCTACAACCGCAGCCCAACCCAACACCAGCACACCATTCGGGCAGACCCAACAACAGCCAGCCGCGACAGCAACCAATGCATTTGGCGGGAGTGCGTTCGGCGCAAGCGCCGCGCCTCAGCAACAACAGCAGCAGCAGCAAGGAAGCGCATTCGGCTCCTCGCTACAGAAACCGCAAGGTAGCCTCTTCTCCGGAGGCCAGCAGCAAGCACAACAACCAGCTGCACTAGGAGGGTTCGGTGGTCTGGGTTCCAACCCCCAACAACAAACAAATGCATTCGGCCAGCAGCAATCGCAATTCGGCCAGAACACGATGACAACCCCACAACCCCAACAGCAACAGCCTTCTCTATCGTCAAGCCTTTGGTCTCCTGGTCGTGCTATCACTGGGGGTGAGCCTATTGCGTAATCATTCACTACGAACCGTTACTGACAAGACTACTTTCTAGTGCACCGGACTGTTCCTATGCAAGTAGCCATCATCAAAGATAAGTGGGACCCGCCCAGCCAAAGCTCGCCATTCCGTGCCTACCTGTACAATAATGTCGGCGAGGAGGCCGCTCCTTTCTACCAACCGGGTCCCGAGGACGATGATGCAAAGTGGGAGGAGGCTTTGCGCAAGCGACCGGGTCCAGGATATGTCCCTGTGCTTGTCAAGGGCTTCTGGGAACTCGGTAAGCGCGCGCAGCGACAAAGGGACTTCCTCACTATGATGCAGTCGCGCCTGCACGAGATCAACGATTGCTTGACCGGGCTTCTCTCGAAGCATGATCTCAACCTTTCCGTCAAGATCGCCGACTGCCGTCGGAAACACATCATTCTGAGCAAACGGTGCCTCTCCCTTGCGGCTAAGACACAGATCCTTCGCAACAGAGGGTATGCCATGGATGAAGCGGAGGAACAGTTGAAGAAAAAGCTTGTTGAGCTAGAACGTGCCGTTTTCGACCCGTCTCTCAATGGCCGTGCTGAAGAAATTTGGGCCCGTATGTTGGCCATCCACGAACACTCCAAGCGATTGCAAGTGGAAATCGATCGTGCCGGGGTAAACGTGACACAACCAGAGGATGACATTGATGAGCAGACATTGAAGACAGCAAAGAAGGTTCGGCAGTCCCGAGCTTGTGAAACCTCAGTATCGGAAGAGTTCGCTAACCGTATGTACCAGATTTTGGACGATTATCACTCTCAGATTCAGTATCTTCAGAAGGAGATGGAGTCCATCAAGAACGACTTCAACGCGGTGGAGAAAGCAATTGGCAATTGAGAGCATTGCTCTATGACTTTCTATGTGCTATTTTGATTCTCAATTTCCTCACATTTCCTCACATGTTTGGACTTAATGTCTACGGTCATCGGGGTACCGGCGTTCTTGGGGATCAGGCCATTGTAATGCATATCTGAATACAAATTTCTTGCTGAACACTCCGTATTCCATTTTGGGTGTCTTTGAATGAGCATTGCTCGCCAAGTCTTCGTAATGACATGTACTATCCACAGATAGTCCCTAGTCAGTGTATATCTATGCCTTAAACCGCTCCCCCACTCTGCTATGTTGACTCATTACTTTGCCACAGCCAGGCGAGACCTAGATTCCGATATAATGCAATATCTTATTTTGATTTGCTCTATATCTCATAAACCACAAATGACAACGAGCCTATGCACAATAGTAATACATCATCCAACTGACACTGCCCAGCAGACCCAAAATGTGTAGTATATGAGCTTCAAGAGCTTTCCATGAATTAGGTGCCCATGCTCAATCCTGTCCGATTTGGGCAGTAGAAAAAGCTATGCCAGAGGGGAAAGAATGAAATGTTCAATTCTCCTGCATATCATCGGGAAATCATAACCAGCGATTCGTCGATTACAGTCCGGGAAGAGCAAGAAAGAGGAGCGGAAGACGGGCCAACCGGCTTAAAGGAACTTGCGGACGAATTCGACGGCGAAGGGGGCTATATATTAGATGGCAATGTTAGTTTTCAGCCCCAACTCTTTTCTGACTCGTCTCGAGGTGTTCAAGGCTTCAGATACTCGACTTACACAGGTAGAGGAGGAAACCACCGGCAATAGCCATCTGGACGGTCTGGAAGGCCTCAATCTCACCAGCCTGTAAATAATATTAGTATCAGATGCTATTTAGGGCAGAGGTCATGGCTTGAAACTGACCTTGAGCTCTTCCTTAGAGATCTGTTCTTGGCCTTAGAGAGTTATATTGTTAGTTCGAGTGTGCTAGAGCGAAGAGATATACAACTGGGAACATACCCGGTGCAAACATTTTGAATATGATAAAGAAGTAAGGAACGAAAGAGAGTTCAGATAATAGATGTTGTGAGAGTTGTAGTTACGAGGATGTCCAAGTCGGACTGGAGAAATAAATCACGGGAGCACAGACCACCGCTCTCCTTCTCTTGAGGTTTTGCCTCACTGTCTCCCCTCTCTCTATCCATTTACATTCTATCGACTAATTCTGTGAGCAGCTTGTTGGCTCCTCTCTTCAATCCCTACATCCACACCGCATCTGAATTGGTCCAATCCGCAGAAAACCGGTTGATTTTGCGGAGAACCGTCGGGATCACTTAGGCAGATAACGTACTGGACCTGTTTGATACCCCCCTAACTGATTTCTACGCCTTTGAATCTTTGTTCTTAATCTACCCCTTCGCTTCTGGTGCCATCTGAACCGCTATGTCTGCTTCACCGGACCGCAAGGCTGTCTCGCCTGCCGCCTCTCCCGAACCCGAAGTCCTCGAACAAGCCGCAACCCCGGTTACTGGTGGCGACAACGAGGGTGAGAACGTCACTGAACCTACTGCTGAGACTAAGGAGGTCACGGTGAATGCCGATGACGAGCTACACGGTGGAGATGACGACGAAGTCGACGACGACAAACTTTCAGACGACGAGTCTATTTTATCCGAGGTTGACGAGGCACAATTCGACAACTTCGACCCAGAGAATGTCGATGTCGAGGACCGCCCGCAACTTGCTATTGATGAAGATAACTTGAAACTCATTGGTCGTCACAAGCGCAAGCGCACTGAGGATGGGGAGAGTCGTCCGCGCCGGAAGGAGGGCCGTCGCGAGAAAAAGAGCCGTCGAGCTGATGAGGGAGGCGACGAAGGAGGCTCATCTCGCCGACGTGAGCGCAAGCAGCGCGAGGATAAGCCAGAGACAGACGAGGAGACCCTTGACCCGGAGACCCGTATGTGCTACTCTTTACTGGCAACTCCTTTCCCGCCGCACACAATTTGTACTAACTGGTTTTCAATCATCAGGACGTCGGCGAGCCCTTGACCGTGCTATGGACGAGGCGATGAAAAAGCCGGCGAAGAGACGTTTCCGCAAGCAGGACGGCATTGTATGTGTTGCGCCTGGTGACAGGTACCCACCTACGTTTACTGACTGTCATATTAGGATTTGGAATCTATGGCAGATGCTGAAATTGAGGATATGCGCAAGCGCATGACCCACGCAGCGCAAATGGATGCGATAAACCGCCAAGAAGGAAAACCGGCTATGCACAAGCTTAAGCTGCTCCCTGAAGTCATCATGCTCCTCAATCGCAACCAGTACACAAGCGCCTTGGTCGATCCAGAGATTAACTTACTAGAAGCCGTTCGATTCTTCCTCGAGCCTCTGGACGATGGCGCGATGCCCGCCTACAACATCCAGCGCGACCTATTGACCGCCATTACCAAACTTCCTATCAACAAGGATGCCTTGATTGCCAGTGGCATTGGAAAAGTGGTTGTTTTCTACACCAAGAGCAAGCGCACCGAGCGTCGCATCAAGGAAATGGCAGAGAAGTTGCTAGCGGAGTGGACACGACCTATTCTGCAGCGCAGCGACGATTATTCTAAGCGGGTCTACCAGGAGGCTGATTATGATCCTACGTATGTTCACTGTTTTACAACCGCCCTATCACGCACTAACACCCCTATAGGAAAGTCGTCAGGCGCGCACCTCCCACCGCCGAGGAGATCCGAGCCGAAGCCCGCGCCCTCGAGATGCTCCCTCCCCGCCTTCTCAATCGTGCTCGCGTCGATCGTACAAACGTCAGCTATACTGTGGTTCCGCGCCAGACAGCTGTGCGCGAGAGTCAGTTTGCGCGCCCCTTGGGTGCCAGTGGCGAGGACCGTTTCCGCAAGATGCAAGCCCGCCAGGTCGCCGCACGCAAGGCGTCTCGTCGGTAGATTTGGTACCAGTAAATTCTTTTCAAAATGGCAGTGGCCTGTTCCGTTATGTGAGATACTATTTGCGGTGTTTGGGCGTTTCGGGATCAATCGGGGCCAGGGATTTGGGAGTGTGTCACGTTTCGCATTCCGAGTGGAATAAGCAGAATCTTTATCAATTGAAATTCATATTGGAAACAGCCAATGAGAAGCCAATTAAATTCTAAATAGGTCAGAAAAGAAAAAAAGCCAAAAAAAGCCACAAAATCAAGGCAAGTCAGTTCCGTGCAAGACCGAGTGATGGCCGGGGGCCAACGCCGGAAAAAGAGCAGATCCCGCGATCCCACGTCATGCGATCCGGCCTTTGCTTTTTTGGTTTTATATCGAACATTTCACCTTCTTCCTTTACTTCATTCTAAAGAAATACACTATTTTACACAATGAAGATCCTTACTAAAGAAGAAGAAGCTGCCCACTACCGGTACGAAAGCCCTGCAACCTCTTCCCATGAACAGCCCATACTGATAACCCCCCAATAGCTCCGTCCTCAAAGGCGGCACAGTCGGTGGCGTGCTGGGTCTCGCCGCCGGAATAGCAGGTGTCCTACTTGCTTCACGTCGCTATCACACAATCAACAACCTAACCGTCCCCATGAAGGCCTTCCTGGTGACGTCCTCGGGTACTTTCGCCGGTATCATCGCGGCCGACCACGCCTCGCGCGAATACGAGAACGAGCAGAATGCCGCATACAAATGGTACGAGAATCGCGAAGAGCGCCTCCGCGCCGAAGAATCCCGCGGACTCAGCTTCACCGACCGCGCGGCTGCCTTCGCCCGCCGTGAGAAATACAAGATTATCACCGCCACCTGGCTCGCCTCGATGGTTGGCTCATTCGCCCTGGTCGGTCGCATTCCCGGCCTCAGCGGCCAGCAGAAGCTCGTCCAGGCTCGTGTCTATGCCCAGGGTCTGACGCTGGGTGTGCTGTGCGCTTCGGCTGCGTTTGAGATCTCGGATCAGCGTCGCGGCCGTGGCTTGCTGGACGCGAAGAACAAGGCGAATCCGTCGGGCAAGCCTCGGTTTGAGGATGTTGAGGAGGATCAGCCTACCCACCAGGGTGCCTCGAATAATGAGGGAGATCTCTGGAAGGATATGGTTGCTGCTGAGGAGGATCGCTTGAGCTCTAAGCACATTTCTCTCTATGAGCATGAAGAGAAGCAGAAGGCTGCTGAAGACGAACAAAAGAAGAAGCCTGAGGAGAGTAATGATGAGAAGGACTCCAAGACGGAGAAGGAGGACACCGAGTCCAAGAACAAGAAGAAGAGCTCCTAGATGCACTATCTTGCTTCTTGTTCATCCCCTCCATGACCGCCATTGGTCAAGGTCCATCGCGGACATCGCTGCCCACTTTCTTTCTATTTCATACTGAGAGCCCGCAACCTCTGTTGGACCATAATGATAGATGGGACGGGGCGATGACATTGCTCGCTTGACCTTCATCCCCCCGTACATGATTTCTTAAGCGTTTTTTCTTCTTGTTCATGCCGCAAGGGCTCTCTCAGTCCAAAAAGTGACATTTATTTTACTGTGTCTACTTGTGTGATTATACTAAAGGATGTGCCCTCTTATCTCTGTTTCTCTACTCTAATAGATATCTGAAGACTGAATCTGGCATTCGTCAATAATGACGTCATAGTAATATTCATGGGTATTCGTGTAATGTGGGGAATGTAGCCGAAAAAAAGCCATGCATATCAATGTGAAGAACCTATAGTCAGCCTTATTTCTTGGCGAATTTAGAAAGTTTCATCCTCCAAGTGCTCCATGCGGCGGATCACACTTGGACTTTGATCGTCGCTAAAGTCATCTGTAATCTCCCCAGCTCCAGCCGTAGCCAGCAAATCGGTCACAATGCGCTTAGAAGCCTCTCTTGCTACCAAGACGAAGGGGGTTAGCATGGATATAGTATTAAACATAGGATCAAGTGATTTATTACCAGGCGTTCGCATCAACCGGCTCTGCGGAATGTGAAACTGCATTGTCTTAGGAGGACTCGGCCCAAGGTCCTCATCGTCGTAATCCAGATCGTCGTCACTATCCCACATAGCTGACTTACCAGCAGACTTCTTAGCAGGTGTCAAAACACTCATGCCAGGCCTGGGAATACCGCGCATGCGATTACTGCTAGTCCGTCGCTTGCGGTTCGTGCCCGGGGTATCGATGCCCTTGATGGGGGATGAGAAGACTTCCGAGTGGAGCTGTGGTGCCTCTGGCTCTGGACTGGAAATCGGCGAGTCGTCATATCTGTACTTGGAGGTAGACTCGGCCGGCTTTGGGGTGATGTTGAACTTTGGTCGGGTGTTCGTGCCGCCACCCACATTGCGAAATCCCTTTCCGAGCGGCGTGGCTTGCACCCGGTATGTCTTGTCGAGCATTTGGTGCAGTACCGGGTCTGAGGTCTTCTGGTATCGACGGTCTTGGGTGGATGGCTCCGCGGGTGGAAGGAATGGTGATGACATCGGGGTTGTGACGGAGACGCCGCGTGGGAAGAAGAGCTGGCGGCCTGGAGTGGATGGGAGGGTCGAGGACTCTGGGAGGTCGAATGGGGGTTCGGATTCATTGACTTGTCTTCTTAGGTTCTCGTAAGAGGACGAGTACTCCATTGAGGAGGTTGTTATGTCGTCGTCGGCCTGGTGGTGGCCGCCCGGAGCACGCGGAGTGCTGTGCGAAGAAATGCCGAGTTCTGTTAGATCAAGATCGTCTGCCTGATCGCGGCGGGGTGTTTCATGACGCTGCGAAGATGGTGTCTCGTTGGACATTGTCTCGTCGAGGGTAGTACTTTGAGTTATGTCGGCGGACAACTCTTCCTCCGTGGCTGTAGGGTCCTGCGTCGTTTCTTCATCGGTGTTTCTTTCTTCGTAGCCGGATAGGGATACGTTGGCACTAGCTTCGAAGAATTGCTTCCAAAACTAAAGGGAGTCAACCAATCTGTCTATAGCTGTATAAGCTGGTGGCGCTAACCTTGGAACCTTCCCAGACATCTCGTGAATGCTCGGTATATTGCTGTACCAGAGGCAGTATACTCGTAGTGACTATCCGATGAGCTTCACTGAAATTGTGGTCGATCTCTGTTCGAAGATAGGACGATGAGCGGTCTGCTGGACTGTTTTGTTTACTTCTCTACCCTACCTTGCATTGTAAGGGTGATGGACTGTTCCAATTTCTCAAGCTCCTCGGTGAGGGACAACGGCCGTTGGGCCTGCGAAAATTGGCGAGACATGATGTATCGTTCAAGTTCAATTGTACATCAATCGAGTCAAGAGATGGGAGCTTGCAATCACGTCCCTCTTTGACGCGGGGAACTTTACCCAAAGCGGTGTGTACTTAGGGCCAATGATAAGGGCTTTCCCGGTCACGCGCGATAATGCAAGGATAAGGTCCAGGCATCCATCACCGAATCATCTTGCTCCGCTTGACGGTGGTGAGTTTCGAAAACACTTTTAGGAAAGACAAGTACAGTATTCGGGTTCATTATGCCAGCACCACTTGCAAAAGGTATGGTCCTCTACCTCCCTAAACTTCTACATTTCCCTCCCGGATCATCCGAGCCGTGTACTCGGCCTTATCAGTTCCCCACTCTCTATACGATGAGGCTAAACTCTCATGCAGGAATCATCATTACTGTTTCTGTGCTTGTAGCAGCTGGCATCGCCGTGTATGAGTCGCCTCAGTTTCAACAATGGGTAACCAACTCGCGGCGCAAGATCGCCTTGGCTCTGCACAACCTCGGCGATGAGATCCAACCTCAAGACATAGCGTTGCGGCAAGACATTTCCATGACTGAGGAGACCGGCGAGGTTGCCGAAGAACGCAGACGGATTGCTCGTGAGGAGATCATACGACGGGGAAAGCTCATTGAATCGGTCATTGAATCGCGACGGAAGTCCAGCCAGCCAGGCCAGCCTCATAATAGCTTTGATACCCTCGTCGACAGCGAGGGCAATCTGCGTATACAAAAAGACCACGAATACAATGCTCGGTCCAACGAAGAATTTACTGCTAACTCAACGGGAGTTGACCTGGGGACTTCGGAGCCTTTCCGCCGAGGTGTCAAGAAAACTGAGGCCGAATCCTCAACTACACCGGGTCGGAATCAGCTGCATGTCGACATCCCCTCACCCGCTCCCTCAATCCATCCTTCCGAATCTATGATCCAGTTTACGCCTCGGTCTGAAGCACCCGAGGGGGATAACCTTTTCGATCCATTCTCTCCTAACTCTCCCTTGTCTGCCTCTGGTTCCAGCCACACAGAAGACCATCAGCAGGTATATTATGCGCACCCTGATGCGGCAAACAACATAAATTATGAAAGTGATCACCTTGTCGAGCTAGATGGTTTCGGCCACGAGAGCGTTCAGTCCTACGATGAGATTTCGGCCGCTCCTTCGACCGCTGGAAGTTTCAGCCATGTCGGAGGATTTGAAGATGAAACGTCAGATGGCACTCTTAGTGACCTTGATGGGCGATCTGTTGGTGGTTTGGCTACTCCGGCATGGTCTGACGTGGGTAGCGTAATTAGCAACGAGGATGCTGGACATCAGTTGCTCTGATTCACTCGGACCGTCAAGGACGGATCAACGGGTGGGCTTTACTGGCTCGGGGAACTTTCGGTATAGTATTCGGTGTTTGGCGTTAGATTTGAGCTTAGCTGCAATTTGTTAATGCGATACAAGGTACATTTATGCTCTATTTCAATTGAAGTACCAATGGTTCCGTTAAATTTCCAATTATTCTAGACTTCTAGAAAGGCATTGTCCATTTTGTACCGAGCAGCAAAGGAAATTCGAAGGCAAAGATCGTAATTTGCCTCTCGCGTTCGATCACCTGGGACATGATTGACGCAATTGCGAAAGAGAGTCTGGTGATTAGATCGAGCTAGGTGACGTCCACTACTTTGAGCATATATACTATGTAGATGATAATCCGTTATAACCGGCTCGGCATGGATACGTGGAAATCAAGATGTAAAACGGCCAACTGGCCAACCACAATGGATCAACCACATGGGAACATCCACGTTGTGACGTAACGACCACACGGCCTAGACCTGGGAAGAAGAACATTGGGATCTTGGAAGACTAATTATAGTAATGCGATATCGTTTATAGTATACCGGGGATCCTTTGTCCTCTTACACTATTCCGTCAATCCATTCAATCTTCACACATGCAACCTTGCAAGCATGGCTACATTCATCACACATAAAATCATGGGCACCACCCTTCAAACTACCGAGAGATACACAGACTTGAAAGCACGAGGTGTTGGTGCGTTTGGGGTAATCTGGTATCTCCCTCGTATATTCTATTCGTGCTGTAAGACCACTAACCACCAGTATCAGCTCGGCGCATGATTCAATGGCCAACCGAACGATGGCCATAAAAAAGATAGGGAAACCCTTTGAAAGCTCTTCCCGGGTCAAACGCACATATCGCGAGGTTCATTTGATGAACAACCTAAAACATGATAATGTATGTGTAGAAAAGAGACGAAGTATGAGCTACAACACTAATCGCCAATAGTTGATCAACATGACGGACATCTTCATCTCGCCAGCGGAAGATCTGTACGGAAATCACTTGTCTATCTCCTTCAATCATACTAACCATGTTGGAATAGTTATATTGTGATGGATTGTTGCATGACAGACCTTCATCATTTGATCCAATCAAGGTCAAAGCCATTGGAGGACAGGTTCACCCAGTTCTTCACCTACCAACTGCTGGTATGTCTGCCTGAGTGATCCAGAAATATCAGTGTATCTGACTATTTCAGCGAGGGTTAAAATTCATTCACTCTGCTGGTGTCATCCACCGTGATGTCAAACCTAGCAACATTTTGATCACAGAGAACTGCGACTTGAAGATTTGTGACTTTGGTCTAGCTCGAGAACAAGATCATCAGATGACTGGCTATGTCTCCACACGATACTACCGAGCTCCAGAGATCATGTTGACCTGGCAGAGATACACCTACGCGGTGGATATTTGGAGCACTGGTTGCATTCTGGCAGAGATGCTCCTAGGAAAGGTCTTCTTACCGGCAAGGGACAATGTGCATCACTTCAAACTGATCACTGAGATCTTTGGGAAGCCGCCCAGAGAGATTATGGAGACAGTCTACAGCGACATTGTATGATCGAATTCTAAACGGCCGGTTTAGGGACGGATGGGAAGATGCTAACTACAAATTATAGACGATGGATTTTGTGAACTCTCTACCTGAAACAAAACCCCGGTCACTTGGAGCTACATTGGGAGATGTTGACCCTGAAGGTATGCCCTTGAAATCTTGATTGATATCAAATGCTCCTGATTTATCTACCTCCAATGATACTGACTTCGCTAGCCGTTCATCTCTTGGAGAAAATGCTGGATATAGATCCACAAAAGAGAATCACGGCGGATGATGCCCTAAGCGATCCATACGTTTCGAGCTATTCGGACTCTAATGACGAACCCGAGTGTGAGAAACAAATTGACTTGTCTTTGTTGGATTCAGAAATGACTACAGATGAATGGAAGAGCAAAATGTATGAATTTTCCCCATCTGCGGGGTATTGATCTGTGCTAATCGTCTATAGGTATTTCGAGATTTTGAACTATCACACTGGTTCTTATAACTGGGAAGACACTGACCCCAAAGCTCACGAGGGAAGATTTGAGGATTGGCTGCGCCAGGAGATAATGGTGGGCACATATTAGTGATCATTAAGAAGGTATAACAACACATAGCTATCCCTCCGAGTGTATACATATAGATCCCATCGACACATCGGTAGAACTGATTACTGTCGACGTGAGCGACAACGTCTCGATCGAACAAGTGGCGGAATATCGCATCCCAGAACGGGCAACGAGTAGAAGGCCAAGTATGCCAGAACTAACGAAATAATAGCATGGTTTACCCCTAGGTAGACACTAGAAATGAATGGTTTATGTTACAGTATATTCCAAAGTTCCAATAATACTCGGACAAACCGAGTTACCTAGGCATCTCCACAGGCCAACCCCATAAAACTGGAAATAGATCTTGGTAAAGTATTTGGTACTTCCTACAGTTAGTAGTTCTGGGCAAATCTGAAGTACTAGATACTTATTGACCGGATAACCTGACAGGCGAAATGAACCTCGGCAGCCTCGGCCGGAACGTCGACCTTCTCTCCTCTTGATACTTCTTTTAACTCTCTCCTCTTCCTCCCCTTTGCTTGAATTATTCCTCGTCTCTATCCTAATTCTGTACAGTCTGTAAGTTATTCTCCCAGTGCCTGAGTTATTTGCATTCACTCTCCTCGAATCTCCGCACGTGGAAGCTTCCCCGCATTAAGACCGAAAACTTCCATGCCAGTACCGGCGTCTTCAACAAAGAAGAGAAGCACAAGACTGACGATATATTAGTCCAATCTCTAAACCTTCATACATAATGGCTGCTGATCGTTTAAGCTCACTCCTGAGCCACCTCAAGCCCGGCGCCGCCAACGGCCTCGCTGCTATGTAAGTCTTCAGACAAACTCAGTTGTGTGTCATGAGTCTAACAAGCACACACAGTACACAGAAGAACCCCGACGATGTGGTCATCACCCTCGCAATCCGCACACCGCTGACCCGGGCGCGTAAGGGTGGATTCAAGGACACAGAATTGGACTATCTCCTCTACGCCCTGTTGAAGGAGACTCTGGCCAAGTCACAGATTGACCCTGCTCTGATTGAGGATGTCTGCCTCGGCAACGTATGTCCAATCCCTTTCCTTCCTCCATAAACTCATGGGTGGCATATTCTAACCCAAAGACAGGTCAACGAAGTCAAGGCCGCCTACATGGTCCGCGCCGCAGCTCTTGCCGCCGGCATCCCCCACACAGCCGGTGCCTCAACAGTGAACCGCTTCTGCTCGTCTGGACTGAAGGCGGTGCAGGATATTGCGAACCAGATCTCGATGGGCGCCATCGACATCGGTCTCGCTATGGGTGCCGAGCTCATGTCCGCTCCTGGCGAACGCCTGGAGAAGCCATTCAACGAGGAGGTCCTGCGCAACCAGGAGGCTGCCGACTGCATGCAGCCCATGGGCCAGACATCCGAGAACATCGGCAAGGACTTCGATGTCCCCCGCGAACAGCAGGACCGATATGCTGCCGAGTCTTTCCGTCGTGCTGAGGCTGCTCAGAACAACGGTTGGTTCGCTGACGAGATTGTTCCTATTCCTACCAAGGTTAAGGATCCCAAGACTGGCGAGATTACGGAGGTGATTGTGTCCCGTGATGATGGTATCCGTCCCGGTACGACCTTCGAGTCGCTTTCCAAGATTCGCCCTGCGTTCCCGCAGTTCGGTGACAAGTCCACTGGTGGAAACTCCAGCCAGGTCACCGATGGTGCCGCGTCTGTCCTTCTCATGCGCCGCTCCAAGGCTATCGAGCTGAACCAGCCTATCCTGGCAAAGTTCTGCGGCGCTACCGTTGCCGGTGTGCCCCCTCGCGTTATGGGTATCGGCCCAACTGCCGCTATCCCCAAGCTGTTGAGCAAGTTCCAGCTTGACAAGAATGATATCGACATCTACGAGATCAACGAGGCTTTCGCCTCTATGGCTGTCTACTGTGTCAATACCCTTGGTCTTGACCACGCCAAGGTCAACCCTCGTGGCGGTGCTATTGCCATTGGTCACCCTCTCGGCGCAACAGGTGCACGCCAGATCGCGACCATTCTGAGCGAGGCTCGTCGCACAAAGAGCAAGATTCTGGTCACTTCCATGTGTATTGGAACTGGTCAGGGTATGGCTGGTCTCTTTGTTAACGAGCAGCTGTAAATATCTAGATTGGTATAATTAAGTGATAATATACAGTCTGCAATGTACAGAAATGAGTTAATTACGAACTAAGAATATGGTATCAACGGCTATGTAGGTCAAAAGCAAGAACTCGTAAATCATGAAAAGCATAGCGTGCCATGATATCACTTGGCATCATCTTGCTTTCCGGCCTGACTCTCCCTCTTCATTCTCTCCTCTGCAGCGCGCGCCATGATTTCCCTACGAGACAACGTCCCGCCAGAAGCAGCATTTCGGCCTCCAGTCGAGTCCCCTTGCAATCCACCAAGGACAAACTCCCCACCAGTCCACCCACACTCATCAACAAACTCCTCCCCATCCTGTGCACTATCCCAATCACCAGGATTATAAAACTCCTGACTAGACAACTGATTCCCGCCAGATTTCCAATCAGCGCGATCAACCTCCTTCTCAATCTGCGACGTCAAATCCCAGAAGTCGCGGTCATGGGGCCCGAATACGCAATGCGCAAGCTCATGACACAGCGTCTTCCGAATAGTACGGTAATCACGGTATCCGTCATAGGCATCCGTTCGCAACCGCAGCTCAATTACCTCGCCTTGATTTCGGTTCAGACCTAGCGTCCGCGACTCGCTCGTCGTGTGTTCCGCCGGGTTCATTTCTGTTAAGAGCGGCACAGAGAACTTGTGTTTTGTCATTGCGGCGCGGATGCCTGGGTCGTCACGGAGGCGCTTGAGGAAGTCGAGGGAGCGATCTGGGTTGGGGAGGTATGATAGTGGGAGGAGGCGGTGGAAGGTGTAGTTGTTGCTTGAAGATGAGATGGTGTGGATGCCGCCGCTACGGGACGACGGTGTTCGTTTATTGCGTCTTGCGGCACTTAGGGCAGACGCACGTAATTCTTGTCGTCGTTGTTCGCTGGCAGATTGTTCGTGCAGATCGGCGATTGCTTTGGCCGGGGTGCCGAGGAGGGTGATCTTGAATTTTGGGGAGGAGGGTTGGAGAATGGCGTCGAGGAGAGTTGGTGGGAAAGGCGCTTTCTGCATTCCAGGCTTTGGGGCTATGAGGAGCTTTTGGTTGTCGACCGGAATGTTCAGGACGCGCTCTATCTCGGAGGAGAGGTCTTGTAATGTTGCCGAGTCTGGAACTTGAATGATATGCGCGGTCCCATGGTGGTGGACGGTTAGCTCCTTGGGAGAGTCCATTATAGCGTACAAGTATATGTGCGATCGTATGGCAGCAAATCGTGAGAGAAGAGCTCGTGAGTGAAGAACTGCGATAAGGAAACTGCTTATATGGCCCGAATAGGCAGGCGCTGGCGAATTCGACCTGATTCCACGGCGATAGGTTTTGTCAGCACGGAGATAAGCCGGAGCTAGCACGTGATATCAAGAATGTGAATGCCTCAGGCAGTAAGGCAAAGTCAGAAACTAACGAGGTAATTGATAGAAGTGCTATACACATCAAATCTTAACATGTATTATCTCCGCTCTCCGCTAGTCGAATGACGCAAAAGTGCATTTTGATTTCCAATAAGAATTACGCCCAAACTGCCAGCAAATATCTTCGTTCAAGTAGATCGGCTCGAGGACCCCAATGCTCAAAGACAAATCTAGTAAATTGACAGTCTAAAATGGCACCCTTCCTTCTACTCCCACCAAGCAGACTGGTATGAATGACTTGCAGAGTAACCCCATGCCTCTCAGCTGTCTTTCACGAGATGCCGTGCAAAAGCAGCGAACTACCTCATTCTATGTCTTCGGCAACGGTTGCAAGCCCGAATCCGGCAACCTCTGCACATGAAAATGTACTCAGGCATATAATGGTTGCAGACCTCACACTGCAAACTTCCAGTCTTACGGAAAACCCATTGCGAGTTCCTGTGGTGCTCGCAGCCGTTGTCCTCATGCTGCTGCAGGCCATCGACTATCCGGTTAAATGCGATCTGGCGGACTTGGTTATTGGCGTTGGCCGGGACCTCCTCATGTACCGCCCGATTTGCCACTTCTTCGAGCCTGTCCTCGTGCCAAAGTGGGCACTCGCATGTTTTCCAAACCAAGCCACACACATAGCAAAATTCGCGGCCACAGCTACAAATCATTAGTTTCTTCTCATGTACTGTGATATTGTTTGTTGTAGGGGATGTTTCTCACTTACCGACATGTTATATGGTTGCAGCCAACGTGCAACTCTACCATGGTTCGGCAATTGAAGCATCGCTTCCAGTTTTGAGAATCCGCTATTTCCAATACAGCATGAAGAGTCTCGTCCATTGGGCAATCGACGCGAGGGTGGGCGAGGGAACGGCATGGTACATGAGTCCGCTGGTGACATTCGGGGCAGGTGCCGTGCTCGTCTCGGATAGCGAATGGGGGAATGAATTTCGAACATGTTGGCTCAGCGCAATAGAGGCGATCTTTTGCGGTCCATTCAAGGGCTCTTTCACTGAAATTTCGAAGCTCCTCGTAGTTAAGGATCCTCAAAGCAACACCAGGCGGTATGACATTGCCGCAGCAACGAGGCGGGTATAATTCCTCGTCTCTGATGGCACCGAGGAACATCTGTCTTACGCAGTCGAGGCAAAACTCGTGACCGCACGCACCCTTGAACACGATAGACTCGACCTTTGTAAGACAGGATGCACATTCACTCATGAAGTTGGTTCCTCGAGATGAACGCATGTATGATGAGCCTTCCCCGTTGTTAGATGATCTGCCACTCACAGACATCCGGCCCATGAGATCCCCCATGACAATGGAAACGGCATCGTCATCGTCATCTGACGATACGATATCGTTTGCCAAGGCATTCGTACGATTAGCGGTTCCTTTGTTCAGGGCGAGAGCGAATTGGTGGTCCTGATTAGCAAGTCTTTCCTCGCGAAGAAGAGACGCGAGTATCTTCTGGTCAGTGGCGATTGCAGTACTCGTGCTAAGCGCCAATATCTCGTCGTCGATGGAAGTTTGCATAGCCCGAATATCTTCCCTCAAGCATGAGATGGCAATTTCAAGGTCTGTTTCCTTTCCTGTGCCTTGTTTTCCTTTCTGTCTATTTTCGAGATCATCTAAATCCTCAAGCAGAAGCCGGAGGATCATTCGCTTATCTTGATCTTGCGCCATCTCTCAAGATAGACTGGAACTTGGAGGACTGGTGCAATGCAAGAGAAATCACTGATCAAAAAGGCGAAGAAGAATAGGGAGAAGATCAAGAGAGGAACAGGTGAGAGGAGAGGGGAATAAGAAAGGCTGACACAATAACAAACGGCAAGCTGGGTAGGATTCTTAACTTTGCTTGATGCGACTGTCATAAGAAGTTTGCTTCTACTGTGGAATATTGTCCTTACCTCTATCGTATCTGCGGCAGGCCGTCTTTGAGGTGCATAGAGCCATGATAGGGCCAGTTACGAAGCGGTATATCATGGTTCAAACCCTAGATTTGGGGGTATTTGATGCCTAAATGCCGTATTTTACCAGCAGAAAACTTAAAATACCTAAATTACTATTACACGTGCATAGTAATCAATGTACGCTGCCCAGGTGCCCGGTTCTGCGTGGTTGTATAAAATGAAGCTTTTCACGCCATACAAATCTGTGCATCACCATATCCTTGGGTGATTTATTTATATATGGTCGCTCCCAAGGTTCCCGAGTCATGTTGATGTATTAATTACAGAGTACACTGTAGTTAACTAGAGCGGGGTAGAAAGTGGTGCAATGAGTATCGCAGTGTCAGCGCCATTAGGGACTTTAGTCCTATTGGCTTTTGAGATTCACCGCTTGTGTCTCCGTATACTTCAATTGTTATGTGATATATATATATAGTAGACGCCTATAAATATCTGCTGGGAATAATCAGCCGCTGACTGTATGTACGACTGTGAAAAGGACAATACGTGCAAACTAAAGGCTGTTGGCCTAGGGTTGGTGTGCTGTATAAAGTCCAAGTTTATTACGATAGGGACCTGTCGCTTCGCCAATGAGCTATGTTGATATCAAATTCATACAGGATCTCAACAATGAAGACAAAGGCGTTGAGTGTATTTTCATCTATTCATAAACATCCAGGGAACAAGAACGATCTACATCATAACCGTTTGCCATTAGAACAAAAAAGTGGCCAAAAAAAGGTGGCCAACGATTAAAAGCCGATTGAAATCTCTAGGTCCATGGAACATCTCTTTAAAAAAAGTCCTTTTCGTCATAACGCGGCGAGTTACCCCGATCCAAATTGGTAGCGAACCTGCTAGATCAGAGTAAAACGCAATTGGAATTGGGTTTTCCATACCCAACCCTTAAAAATAAGAAAACTCATCAGCAAATCATTCCAATATCGTGGGAATGCATCTACTGCTCCTCAAGTTCGCCCTCGGGGGCATCCTGCATGTCGGAATCTCCCTGAGCGTTCTTCTTGGCCTCAAGTTCGGCGCGTCGCCGAGCGGCGGCTTCCTCATCGGCCTTGCGGACGGCGTCGCGCTCGGCCTCGGCCTTCTCCTTGTAGCGCTGGATGATAGGGCCGGCGATGAAGCGGATGTCGTCCATCTTGGCAACGTAGACAGACTTGGTGGTGTCTTCACCATCTTCGTACAGCCAATCCTAAATTGATGTGTTAGTACGCTTGATCACAATAGTTATTGATAGATGCTGATTCAAAACTAACCTCGGTGGTCGTGAGCTTGGCCTTCAACTTCTCCTTCTCCTCCTCGCTGGCAAACTCGGAGTACACGCCGTCAATCTTGTCACGGAGCTCGTAGATGGAGGCCTCGAGCTCATTCTTCTTCTCGTCGGTCTCGGCGACAAGCTTATCCTCCATGTACATAGCGTTTTCGCGCTCGGTCCAAGCCTCCTTGGTGGCCTGGTCGAAGCCGCCGGTGGCGGAGGAAATGGGGAGGTCACCCTTGCGAACCTGCTTCTTAACCTTGCGGGTCTTCTTGGGCTCCTCATCCTTAGATTCGTCCATCTCGTCCTCGTTCTTCTCCTCCTCAATGGGCTCCTCGACCTCAATATCCTCGACGTAGTATCCGGACTCGACATTGAGGATACCGTGCAGGTTGAGACGGGCCTTGAGCTTGCAGATCATGAAGTCGTTGTTGGCATCAGCCTGGACGCCCTTGACGGAGAAGCGGCCAATCCAGGGGTTGACCTTGCCGGGCATAGCCGCGACGTCGGAGTAGCGGGCCTCGAGATCGAAGGGCTGCTTGCGGTAGAAAGTGAGGATCTTGGTGGAAGGCATGACATTGCCACGGCTGAAGACAGTGAGGCTAGTATCCTCATCTGGGATCTCGGGGGACTGCTCCCAGGTGAAGTCAATGGGGTAGTTGACAATGTCGTGAACGGCGAAGTCACGGACACGGAAAATAGGGGAGAGAGTAGCACAGCTGAAAGCACAACCGCGGGCAATGGCCTCGTCCTGGTTCAGGGTGAAGGACAGGTTCTTGCCGAAGAACTTGGTGAGGGTTTCCTTGATAGAGGGGACACGGGTGCAGCCACCGACCATCTCAATCTGGTCAATGTCCTCAATCTGAAGCTTGGCCTCGGAGAGTGCCTGCTCCAGAGGAGCGGTCAGGCGATCAAGGAGAGGCTTGACTAGGAGCTCGAGCTCCTCACGCTTCATCATAGCGCGGACGTCAACGTCATCCATAAGGGACTCGACGCTCAAAGGTGCCTGGGCGTTAGCCGAGAGGACCTTCTTGAGCTTCTCAGCGGCGACCAAGGTACGGGTCCAGGCCTTGCCGTTAGTGTGGATGTCGACCTTGAACTTCTCCTTGAATTCGACGGCGAGGTGCTCGGTCAGGGCCTTGTCGAAGTTACGACCACCGAAGTGACGATCGTAGGCGGTAGCCTTGACGTTCAGTTCACCCTTGCGGAACTCAACAATAGAGGCAGTGTAATCGGAGTAACCAATGTCGACGAACATAACACGGCGGGGCTTCTCCTCGGGGCCGGGGAGATCTAATTTGGTAATACCCCAGCCAAGAGCGGTAGCGGTGGTGTCATTGATGAGACGAAGGATGTTGAGACCAGCGATATCACCAGCGTCAATCATAGCCCGACGCTGAACGTCAGTGAACCAAGCAGGAACGCTGACGGTGACGTCGGAGACGGGAGTGCGCAATTCCTTGGCGGTGATGTCCTTGATCTTGGAAAGGTACGCAGCGACCAACTGGGTTGCTGTGAACTTCTCCTTCTTGCCAAGGTAGTTGACCTCGACACCGGCCTGGCCATTGACGTCGACCAGTTTGCATGTGTTGTATTCCTGCTCGATGGCAATATCGGGATCGTTGAAAGAACGGCCGATCAGGCGCTTGAGGGAGCCAACGGTGTTCTTAAGGTTCGAGATCTCTGCACCTTTGGCGGCCTCGCCGAGGTTTCGGCTGCGAGGAGTGAATCCAACGACGGAGCTATAACAATTCAAATCAGTCGTCAGTTATTTAGTGGATAGCGGGGAATTTGGGGACATACGGGGTCTGACGGTTGGAGACTTCATTGGCAATCTATAATGTCAACAACAAGCAGTTAGCGCAAATTCTCGAATTTGTGAGGTCATGTTTCATCCTAAGAAGACCGCGAGTCCAGATCAAGACCGTGGGGTAATACGCACAATGTCAATGCCCTTGTTGCGGGCAACACCAATTTTGGTGCTTTGCGCACCCAAATCTATACCGACGACACTCATTATGGAAGAAAGTAGGGGGATATAGGAGATAGAGAGGTGGAGGGAGATGGGAGATTCAAAAGGAGGAAAAGTGAGAGAAGTCGGAGGGGAGAATTTGCACGCCACTCCACTATTATTGGAGGGGCGATGACAAGTGTCAAGCGGTCTGGCTGCTCTTTAGGCGCCGAACTAAAGAATTTCAAATTTGGGGTATAAACGGATAACGTAAAATGTGTCAGAAAGTGCTTTCATTCTCTATTTCCCTCTCTCCTACTGGTCTATATACCTTACTGGGCGTTCGGACTCTTCTGGTATCTCATCGAATCTTCTAGCGATTGCTAGACTACCCACTTTCACCGCCCACCGCGGCCGGCAGAATAAAAATCGATCGTCTACGGTGGATCGGTGGTTACATCATATGAGACTGGGATGTGTTTTGGATGCTAAAAGCTATAGAAGTGAGACAAAACAAAATTGCGCTGGAAAACATAAGAATAGTGTGGTCGAAAAGCTATGATGATGCTGAGACGAAAAAAAAGAGGAAGAAAGAAGAAAATGAAGAATACTGACGTCATGCACCCTCAACGTATGTTCTTGTTAGACAATAATATCATGAGGTGGGTCACGAGATTTGAGGTCATTTCGCTGCCAATTTGTTCGGCACCGTTGGTTCGGGATCTGTGTAGGCTGGAGGCATATTTTCAAAACGTCCAGGCTGGTATGCTCCTGGTGGGTGGGTGAGTCCTAGGTTATCATGCTCGGATGCAGAAACCAAAGCCGGAAGAGCATCATTCAAGCGGTTCTCCAAATTTTGGCTATCCAGGCTCACCGAGCTCGTTGATGCCTGGCCTTGGCGAGAATGATAGGGCTTCTTCTGGTCTTCTTCACTCATCAGGAGGTTTTCCACGTTCTGTGGTGTAGCAACCGAGCTAGAGCCGCAATCCGACGATGCACTGAGCACAGAGTCAGTTGAATGGCGAAAGAGAGAAGGTAACTGGTACTGGGAATTCTCGGAAGTTCCCATCGCGCCGACCATCCGCGCGAGCGCGGGCCCAGTATTGACATCAAACCTATCAAGCAGCTGCTTGGCAGGTGCAAATCGACCTTCCACATTCTCCGATGGGCGGATGGGAACAGATCTCTGTCGCACAAGGCTGGTGCGGAACGTATCGACATCAACGTTGAACTCATCGCCCTGCTCCTTTGCCTGTTCAACTGCTTCTCCTGGCGTGGTATGGTCATCAGCAGTGGCAGCATCGGCCCGTGGTCCACCCCAAGTTCGCTGGCCCGCTGTGAAAATACCATAGACCATATAAATCCAGTTGAGGAACGGGTTCACAATGAACATGAGTGGGTAAAGCCAGGCTTTATAGCGTCCGAGACGCAGGCCAAAGTATAGCATGAGTAAATAGTTTAACCCCAAAGAGACCCCCATGAATCCCACAGGAAGATCCTCCACCTTTTTTGAGGTTGTAAGGAGTGCGATGATCATGATGAAAAAGAGCAGTGCGGTCGTTCGGACCGTGTTTTGCATGAATCGAACCAGACACAGAAGAGGATACCGCTTCCAGAGCCTGGCGTCAGTGAGCATGCAAACCTCGTTGGTGATGAAACCTAAAAACCATCTTCGGCGTTGCTTCAAGAGCGTACTAAAGGTCTGGACGGCTTCGGTCTTACAGAAAGCGCTCATACATAGCTGGATTTGATACCGCTCCGTGGCACCAATCATGAACAGGTGAGTGAGCCATCGGTCTTCCCCGAGATGACATTTCCCGTAGTCGAAGAGATCGTCGCATTGCTCAGCCTTGTCCGAAAAGTAATACTTGGCCATCTTGCGAAAAGCCGAGAAGCGTAGAATAGTCAAAGCGCCAGGGAGACAAGTCACCGCACCACAGCCAGACTCAACGGATCGTTCAAAAAGCTGACCATGGACGTATTCCATGTCTTGAAGAATTGTCAGCAAGCTGTTTTTCTCCGTCGTCGACGTAATGATGCCTGTCATCGCAAGCATATCGTGATTGCTGCCTGGCTTAAGTTCCATGTCGTACATGAAGTTTTGCAAGCAGACTCGATCAAGAATGCAGTCGGAATCGATGAACAGAACGAACAGATTGTCATGTGTCTTCAAATACTCAGCATAAACCTTGTCGATAAGCTTGAAAGTATGCTTCTGGCAATGCCTCTTACCGCCATGTTTGAAGCGAGATACCGTGATCCGTGCACCCTTGTAAATGCAGTCGATGCTCTGAGGATAGCTCTCTAGTGTGATCGGAATACCGAGATGGTCGAGGACCCGGAGATACGGCTCGTCCACCTTGCCACCATCGTATGAAAGGAAGACATGGATGCAATTTGCAGGGTAGTCGCAGTCAACCACGGAGTTGATGGCTTTGATCAAGACACTTGGGTCCTCCTTGTATACTGGCATCACAACCACAGTCTTCGGGGCTGTCCGGTCATCAAGCACTCGCTTAATCCTCTTTTTCCTGCCTAATGAATTGGTAGTGAGACCGTAAACACAGAATAGCCATGGGCCGATCAGAAGAACAGAAAAGGCCCAGAATGCGAACATTTGAAACCCATGCACTATCTTGTGGGGTAAGTCAACTGTGATTTGTGGTGGTAACGGCAGTGTCACGAGCATGACTGGGAGGAATGCCAGTCTATGTATTCGTCAGTGGATGTCCCTGAATGAAATTACTAGGTAATGAGGTCCCGAAGTCCAAAAAACCTACCGTATCACTGTAAAGAAGAAGATCATAACCACAGCGAGAACTCTTATAGTCCAATGGTCTGCTTTCATCCACACCTTGATCAGGCAGTATATGAAGGCGCTGAGCCAGAGAAACCACTCGAACAGAGCTGCAAGCATCAATGGACCGACGATTGAAAGGTATACTATCTGTTGAGGATGATCAGGATGGCATCTCGAGCCCAGGAGAAGGGAGGAATACATCTTTGGTCGGCCAGGTTCCCTCAACCCACGAAACCCTTTGTGATGGTACCATTTTGATTTGGCGAACCTGCTTTGTAGCCTGTTGAATATTGAAAACAGCACTTCAAGTGAAGGGTCCGGTGGTATTGTATGTGGAGAACAACTACCATATATCCCGTTTGTTAACATAATGGGAATCCGGGGGTTGACAGACGCTACTTACAACTCAGGGCCTGATAATGTTACTATCCTGCGGTGAACGGGGTACCCGGATTATCATCGACCAGGAAATAATATTCAACTGAAGATATATGTGATATTTGACAAGAGAGAATTCTCCATGACAATATGGGTTCGAAACCCCCGGGAAAGGGAGTCAGCATATCAATAAATCACCTTGGCCTTCGGGAAGGTGCGATCTGACTTTGACGCTCTTGACGAAATATGAGTACATAATGTAGTTACTATGAGTCAAATCAATACTTCCCTTCGAGAACTTTGTTTCTACTCCTATTCATCTCTTGTTATTCCATTTTTTCCTGCATACAATGAAGACAATAGAAGACAATGTATAGAGAACGTTGAATTGCCAAAAAGGGAATAGTTCGAGTCCACGCTAGCCAATTGCAGACTAGTTCCTGCCTCAGGCGCCAATGGAGCTCAAAAAAAATTCCCAGATTCTCCCCGCCGCGATATTGTCACAAGCGCAATAGTTTTCTGAATAGCGCATTGATCAACCCATAAAGGTATTGTGCCCTATGTCCCGAGATTGGCTATAAATTCCCTTCGACCCCTTGCTCACTTTCTGCTTTCTTTGACCCATTTCCGTCGCGTCGAAACTTCCTGCTTATCATCTTTTTTTTGCCATCTGAAATAGTCTCCACATACAATTCGCGACTATGACCGAAGAACAGAAGACCCCCGTTGTCAACGCCGAGGCTGAGAAGGATGTTCAGAATGTTCTCGCCGAGCTGAAGGAGGAAGGCACCTCCGAGAAGCCTGCTCAGGATGCCGATGAGGCCCGTATTGTCGCCGAAGCCGCTAAGCTCGGAGAGAAGTCTGAGAAGGCCGAGGAGAAGTCCACAGAGCCCCAGACTGAGAAGCGCGAGACCCGCAGCTTCCAGCGCGATGGCCGCGGTGGCCGTGGCCCTCGCCAGAACAACGCCAAGTTTGATCCCTCCACCCTAGAGGTAACCGACGACCCTGTGCAGATCCGCAAGCAGGTATGACCATTTGAAACGCTCCTTCACTAGATCTTAACTGACGCGCATACCGTAGGTCGAATTCTACTTTTCCGATTCTAACCTCCCAATGGACAAGTTCCTGCTCTCCAAGGTTGGCGGCAGCGCCAACAACGCCGTCCCCCTTGAACTCCTTCACTCTTTCAAGCGCATGCGCCGCTTCCAACCTTTCAAGGCAATTGTCGAGGCCCTCAAGACCGCCGAGAACGTCGAACTCACCGAGAACGACACTGCCGTCAAGCGCAAGGTCCCTCTGCCCGAGTCCGTAAACGAGCACGACGCCAAGGCCGTTAAGGTCTTCGAGGATGCCTCCATGGCCCGCTCCATCTACGCCAAGGGCTTCGGCTTTGGCGAGGAAGAACCCACTACACAGCTCGACATCGAGGCTCTTTTCGCTCCCTACGGTCCTACAAACGCCATCCGTCTGCGCCGCACTAACGACAAGACCTTCAAGGGCAGCATCTTTGTTGAGTTTGAGTCCGAGGAGAAGCAAAAGGCATTCCTCGCTCTGGAGAAGAAGCCTCAGTGGAAGGAGAATGACCTGATCTTCAAGAGCAAGAAGGAGTACTGCGACGAGAAGGTCGAGGAGATCAAGAATGGCAACGTCTACCCCTCCAACGCTCGCAACAGCGGCGGCCGTGGTGGTAGCCGTGGTGGACGTGGTGGCCGTGGTGGTCGCGGCGGTCGTGGTCGTGGTGGTAGCCGTGGCCGTGGCGGCCGTGACCGCAATGACCGTGATGGTGGTCGTGACTGGCGCGAACGCCGCACTGAGGACCAACAGAATGGCTTCCAGGCTCCCCGTGAGGCCCAGAAGGACTCCCGGTAAGTCATAGTGATCTGATATTCGCAGTGAGTGTATAAGTGCTGACTTCAATTCTAGTGGTGTCCCGGTCGTGCAGAGCACCCAGAAGCGCTCCCGTGAGGACGAGGGCACCAGCGGTGACCACCCTGCCAAGAAGGTGGATGCCAAGGAATAAGGTATCCAGTTTCGGCGGATTGAAATGTCTTGTCTTTAATTCTTGTTCTCTGATTCGGTCAATCAGCGGGATTCAAAAAGTATTGCGGATTGGAGATCCCACCTGCCTCTATTTTCCGATTATTTCATAGAGGTGAACCTTCTATCGGCGTTATTGTCATTTCATTACGAGCATCTACGGGTTGGCTAGGCAGGCCCCAGTGGCTACGATTAACGGGGCCTACCTAGGGTTTGATATGTACAAATGAGACTTTTGAACGGACTGTTCGCAACTTTCTTCGCTTTATGGGAAACCTAGTACTACATCAAACGCCTAGAACTCTAGATCATAGGCCAAAGTATCATCGCACAACTCCTCGCGCATTTTATGAACCCTCCAAGGTGTCAGCAAATGAGCCACGGTCCTCACTAATCCGACGACGAAGAAGACTTACTCCAAGTGAGCAGGGTGTACCGCATAGGTAGCCACATGCTCAGGCGTCTCCAAAACAGCAACAAGTCCCATATCGAAGCCGTGGGCGCGGGGAATCGAAATTGGCAGCGGGGGACCGTTCTGCAGCGACAGCAGTCCTATTGTGAGGATTTACATGAGAAACTGTCTCGATCTGAACTTCAGAATTTCACGTACCGGGAATCTTCCCCACCATTCCCTGGCATGTCTCCTTCCAGGTCGCGATCTGGGCCGGGGTGACACCAGATTTGAGACGGAAGAGGACTTGGAGCTTGGTTAGTGATGTTTCGTATCCTTTGGATACCTGCATCCAACTCACCGATGTGATAGACTGGCATTTTGGCTGATTCTTCACTAACAAGGGTAGATGTACTTTACCCAGGTTTAGTGCATCCGGTAATTGTCTCTTTATGCTCGGCGGGGTGCCGGTGGGGTTCTCGGGGGATGTCCGATGCCTTGGTATGGATATCGTATGCGATGATATAGCTCTTGATGGCAACAGTGGACTCTGGACCCATTGGGGATCCCTCTTGCTGATGATTAGTCTTGCATATTGTGGTAACTATATAGCCTAAGTATAACTATTTTTGTCCTTGGAATCTTCTACCTCCTACACCAGGCACCAATTTCACCTGCCTACTCATTAGACTTTACCCTACCGCCGATCATAATAGCAGCCCTATGTTGTATTGTGTTCCCCATGATTTATTAATTTCTCTATCATCGAGATTTATACGTGCTGGCACTGAACAGCACAGCACCAGTTACCTGTGGACAAACCTTGATGCGGAACCCTGAAGTTCAACTATATATCCTTCGGGCCCTGTACTATGATCCTACCTACGCTCCAATGTCACTTTATGTTTCTTGTGGTGACCTCTTTTAATTTTCTTTGCCTTATTGGCATCGCAACACAGCCCATAGGCTGTGGCTTCCTCGGGTGATATACTATTTGTTTTATTAGCCCTAAACCCAACGAGTTGACTTTTGCTATTAGATGTTTGTGGTATTTTTTGAACAGCTTTACCTTTGCAGCTTTCATGTGGCTAAAATGGTAATCTTACTGTTATGCTCCACCACCTGATCTATACCAAATCTCATCGTGCATCCTTCAGCTGAATGGGATGAGATAGTGATAAGACCGATCCCACGAGGTTCACTAACAACAGTGCTTAGTTATCTTTGATGTTACAATACTTATGTTGTACAACATAATGACAACCTTGGAAGCTCCAGCATCAGATTCCAAGGTTAACCGCCAATGGGGTAGATGTGGAGCTCCAGGAGAATTCTAACGGGTTCAAGGTTCATCGCTACGGGGCCACGTACGTGGCTTTGCCAAGGCGATCTCCACAAACGCCTTGAGCAAGTTTGAAAGACCAAATGTTGCTATGTTGTAAAACATAGGCAATATCGTGGGATAGTATTCCGTATATGCTATGGCCATTGTAAATAGCTCGGTAGTCCCAAATAGGCAGTTTACAACTGGCACCTGTCCCCGTCTCCCCTGTTTGTTATCAACCTGAGATACTCCGTACTCCGTACAGATATTTCCATCGCGTGCTTACTTGCTATTTTGGGAGTCTTGGCGGCGGAATAGCCCTACGATGATAGGCATTGCTGATCTTTGCCTCCCAAAGATGTCGGATATTATTCTAGGCGTGTGGAAAGTGGACCGGACCCTCTCTGCTTGAAGGTCTCTCCTTATTTCTAAAATCCTTATCGGATTCTTCTCCTACACCTCTTCCATTACATCCATGGGGAAAATTCTGTCCTTTAGTTAATTCAGGTGCAACGTTCTTGTATGATTTGACGCATTGCAGTTTTCTTTTTTTGTACATATATCATGAGACCTCCCTGGGAGCTGAAAGAGGGTCTTTCCCAGCGGCTGCGTGGGAAGCTTGAATCTGCAGCCATCGTCGCCCTCGAAATCGCCAGATCACCTCAGGACCATCTTAATCGTGGCTGGGCAGCCTCGCGCGCATATTTCTTTTCGGTCATTTTCATCTCCCTCGTGCTTTCCAAGGCTTTCCATATCTACGCCCATCTCAATGCGCTGTCGGTCCTGTCCCTTCTCGCCTGGGGTCCCACCTTCTTTTTGCTGGATATCCTGCTCATTCTGGGCGCGCGCAGTCTCGCCCGATCGTACGAATGGCGAACGACTCGGGATATAGCAGCCGTATTCACTGCGCTATTCAGGTAGGCCTTTCTCGGATTCACACAGCGAATGAATCGCTAACCATCCCAGTCTATATGCCTCGTCAATGATTTCCGCCAACATCTCCTTTTATATCCACAAGGGCATGGAGATCCACTGGCGCATATCGAGTGGCTTCCACAAGGACAAGCCCGCCGCCACGCTTGTTTTGTCAGCCCTGTTCGTCGCTATCCTGCTCGAGACGTCGATTTTGGTAGGCGCATTCTACGCCACACCGTATCTATCCCGGGTCACTGCAGCCTTCCTGAGGGTCTGGGCTGCAGTAATTTCCGCGACCTATCGCTACTTCCGTCCGAATAAGCAAGCTCTGCCACACCCAGATACCTATGAAGAAATCGCAATCGATGATTATGAACTCGGTGATGACAGCGACTCCTTATCGTTGCTAGATGCGCCCCGAGACCCGCCTGTACGGAAGAGTCAGGCATTGCTCAAGCCCGCTATTGTCGTATCGTGCAGCGCAATTCTACTTTTCCTCCGTGTCGTTCGTCCCCACGATATGACTTACAGTTTCCTCTCCGCATCTCTGCCTCTCGCACCTTTTGGCGGCCTCAGGTTCGGGTCCTCTCAACGAGGTGTGGTGTCGTTACCGGGCGATTTCCGCTGGCTAGAAGACAAAAATACTCTGGACTCCTTCCCGACATTCGATTGGTTACATACGGGTGATGCAGCGACTGCCTTCCCGGACTGGTCTCCCTTCCGCATAAGTCACTTCAACAATACCGCACCTAACGAGTATTTGTACGAACACTACAACCCGTTGAAAGATCCGCTACACTTTCCCAATCTCCAGAACGAAATTCTGGAGCCTATACGTGACGTGCTTCACAGCGGAGACGTCAAGATCAAACATATTATTCTCATCAAATTAGAAAGCAATCGGCAGGACGTCTTTCCCTTCCGCTCCGACTCTTACATCATGGAGCACCTGAAAAAGTCTTGGGATGGAAATGTCCCTGAGGAAGTTATGGATAAACTCTCCAATCTCACCCCTATCGCCCAAATGTTCACCGGATTTGAGACTGGTTTCAAAGAGAATAAGGATCGTCCAAAGCCCTATGGTGGCCTCAGCGCGAAAAATGCTTATACATCCGGTACATACACCATGAAAAGTATTACAGGCACTATGTGCGGTGTGAGCCCTATGCCTGTCCAAGGTAATCTTGAGTACCTGCATGATATTTATCAGCCTTGCCTACCGCACATATTCCACGCTTTGAGCCAACAATCAAATATCACTAGTGATACTGAGGATTGGACCTCCTGGCCGTGGCATTCTAAGTGGATGCAGTCCCATTATGGTACCTGGGACCACCAGGAGGATCTTACTCCTGTCATGGGATTCAAAGATATCACAACCAAAGAATCAATCAATGAAGCCGGCGCTATATACATACCAGAGGAGCCAGAGGAAGAGCAGAAATATGGTCACCCGGATCATACACTAAAGAACTATATGCGGGACGCATTTGCCGAAGCTAAGAAGAATAATACTCGCCTCTTTATCGGTCACCTAACTCACAATACCCATACTCCTTGGTTTAAGCCTGGTGAATACGAGAAATTCTTCGGGAATGGCATTGGATGGAACGATAACTTGAACCGGTACCTCAATACTATCAAGTATCAGGACAACTGGCTAGCCTCTATCCTTGAGATTCTCGAAGAGGCTGGGGTCGGTGATGAAACCCTGCTTGTCATGGCAGGAGACCAGTAAGTTGTCTTTTTTCTTAGACCCTATCAACCTTTCATTAACTCGATTATAGCGGTTTATCTCTTCCAAATGATGGTGGTATAACGGCCAACCATGACCCCCACGTCGGCAGTTTCCACGTTCCCCTACTCCTCGCCCATCCTAAGCTACCCCCGATCGAAATCAGTGGCGCCGTCCTTTCGACTCAAATGCTCCCCAGTATCCTCGATATTCTAATCGAAACCTCCAATATCAACGAACAGTCGGCACATATACTGAAGGACCTGCTTCCTATATACGAAGGCCAGTCGTTGCTACGCCCACTTATATCCGAGCAGGATAAGAAGTCAGAATGGCACTTCTCCACGATGAACCCTGGAGGAACGTGGGTCTCTATGCGAGCAGCCGGGAAACCGTACCGTCTTGTCGTGCCGCTTATCCCCGATGCCCCGTGGCGATTCACCAATGTCGTCGCCGACCCACTCGAGTTCAGTCCCGAGGAAGACACCGACATCGTGTCCTTGTTTGATGCCGTCCAGACACGGCACGGGCCCGAAGCCGCGAGGTGGCTTAGCGAGGCCGCCCATGTGTCGCAGTGGTGGATTGCAGATAACTTCCGACGCTGGAAGTATAGTCCCGATGAACCGAAAACATCTTGAAGTTCTCTCGGATGATGTGATGGATTCAGCTAGAAGCAGAGGATGCGAGCTTGAGGCTAGACTCCAGTGAGGCACCTACCAAGGGGTGAGGTGAATGCAGCCGGATATGTTCCGGAAATTGCACCATATACATAATACTATTCCATGGCCTGCATGCAGCACCATTTGTTCAATGACGCACATACTGGCGCTTCTGGGTTGTGGTTTCCCAAGGAATGGGCCCATCGAGAAGACCAGTCAAACCAATACCGAGACAATCGGACGATTGACTTCATGTCTCAATCTACTATTTTACGATGCCTCGTTCGATTTAATAACGCTATTCTTCATCTGTCCGGAGTTATTTTTGACCACTTGGGACTTTCTTCCTTCTAGCTTTGAGGATTCATTGCTTGTACCTATATCTCTGCCTTCTTCGATGTAATCTCTAGCCTTTTGGATAAATACCTCAACAATGCTTCTCACCATAGCAATACCCTGTTTCTCAACTGTGAGGGACTAGCCTAGCTACCAGCTTGGCCTAATATTGAACCATCTTGCCCATTCCATCAAAATTCAGCCTTTCTGTGCCAGCTTTACTGTAAAGTTGGGAGAGATTACGTGGAAGAATGGATTAATTAGGCATTGATAAAGTGGTTGAGTCAGACTGGCGTTGTCGCGAATTCCACGGATGCTAAGAAAACGAGTTCTTTTCCTCTTCGGGCCATGTGGAGATCTCCGGGAGATTCTTTGATCGGACGTCACATCTTTACTCTTGACATCTTCTCCCTCTCGTCTTCGGCTGACCTGTGTGGATTCAATTACACTTTGCACTTTAAGCTTCGAGCTTTGAGATTACAATTATGTTCAAAAAGAAGCCTACGGTAAACGACCTCTCTCCCCGCACTGCCCCTCCAAGCTTTGGGTTTCCAACCCTCCCACCGCAAAGGACTCTCTGCTCATATAGACCAGATCAAAAATCTTTCTCCACTACGGTCTTCTGACCGTAGGAAGATTGCCGACCAAATTATCAAAGATTACCAAATCCCCGTCACCTCGGCCCCCACCAAAGCAGACTCGTCTGGGCCCAGCACCGCATCTGCCCCCGCATTGAGCCTCACAACGATCCGGAATGCCCTCCTGCCCGATAACACTCAAACCGCTCGTTTTACAACCACTGCTGGTCCAGACCTACGCGAACTTCAAGGGGTCGTATATGTTGGGACACATCCCGACGGCGATGAGCGGGTGCTATGGTTCAAGCTGGAACACGGCCCGGGGGCCGAAAACCGACTATTCCCAACTGTCTATACACTATGGCACAACCCGAACTTGGTTCCGTTACTCTATACTCCGGAGTTTGTGATGGGAAAGCTCCATGGTGGAGCTGATTTAATGACGCCGGGCCTTGCGAATGAACCTCCGTTCCCTGAAAGGGCGGTCAAGGGCGCCGTTGTTGCGGTCGCGAGTGTAGACCGACATACAGTGCCACTTTTTGTGGGCGTCTGTGAGATTGATGTTTCGGCATTGGGAGAGGTGCAAGGCACAAAGGGCCATGCCGTCCGTGGATTGCATTGGGAGGGTGATGAACTTTGGGCGTGGAGCTCTGCGTCACTGCCGGGCCGTGCAGCTCCAGAGTACTTGGAGGGCTGGGACGAGGATGAAACCGAGGGTGTTGAAGAACAAATGGAGGAATTGAAAATTGAGGATGATGAGCCGACAGCTGCCTCGGGGGACATTGAAACACTAAGCAATGACCCAAGGATATCAGAAGAACCCGTCATCGAGGTCGATGCACCCCCAACAGAGGGTGAGTCACCCCTACCTTTCTCTTTATCAGCCAGCAGTTGGTTTCCCAACTCAAATCAATCAAACACTGACAAATAATAGAAATCGACGACGCATTCGTCAATGCTTTTGTCTACGCCCTCTACAAGCACAAGCAGGATAATCCGTCCGCAGCAGACCATGGCCTTCCACTGCCAATCACAGCTTCGGCATTGATAGCCAACTTCACTGCTCCTTATCTTCCTGTGCACACACCTCAGCAGGCTCAGCATTACAACATCAAGAAAACCAGTTGGAAGAACGTAAAGAAGTTCATGAAACATCTAGACAAATCGAAGCTTGTCAAAACCAAGGAACGTAATGGTCAAGAGACCGTTATTTGGGATGTGGACTTTGAGGACCATCGGGTTGAGCGATTTGTGCCATACAGATTGCCTTCACCGCGTGCTCTGGAGAACAACAAGGCGACCGCACCCGAGGGCAAAAAGTCGGCTGCGCTGGATGGCTCCGACCCTTCAGTGGGCCAAACGATCACTGTGCAGAGTCTATATCGGCCATCAGGAAAGCTAGTGCCAACCATTTTCCCTGCCCTCGCTGCCAGCGACACAAATAACTTCTACAAATACTCCGAAGTTTCCAGTCACTTGGATCAATATCTTGAATCCCAAAACCCCCCGATCATCTCAAAAGAGAACAAGCGCATCATAACCCTCAACCCATTCCTCGCGAACACCATCTTCAATTCATCATCAACCGAAGATAAGGGGACACTGGCACGTGGCAAGGCCACTCGCGATGGTCTTCTTAAACGACTCATGGATGATAAAACACTGCTTTCGCCGTACCATGTCATTTTGAAGACCAATCAAACTCTTGCAGACGTCAAGCCGAAAGCAGGCCCCGCACCGAAGGTCCATGTCACCCTCGAGAAGCGGACAGGCTCCAAGACCGTTACCAAAGTTATGACTTTGGAGGTCTTCGGCATTATTCCTAGTCTGTTGGCACAGGAGCTGCAGAAGAAGTGTGCCGGTAGCACTAGTGTCACACAAGCTACTGGTGCCCCCAAGGGGATCATGGAAGTTTTGGTGCAGGGCGACCAGCGAAAGGCCATTGAGACAGCCCTGGTTCGCCGTGGATTGAAGTCACAGATGATTGAGGTTGTGGATAAGACCAAGAAGAAGAAATGATCGACGATTAAATGATTGTCTGTCCATACCACTAGATAGAGAGCACTTTTTCTGTACAAACAATAAATCAGCGCATACCGCTAGAGATGAAACATACATGGTGAGATGGGCAACTACCTTCTCAGATACATATTCCCCAACCCACCGCCATAAATCCCCCCAAAACAAAAGAACTATTCTTCAACCCAAGATTCAATTGACCATCACTCTGTTGCTTCAATTCCTCTCCATGGTTCTCCCCCGTTCCATTCGACAATTTCAATTCCCCTCTCGCCGCCTTGCCTTCCATTGCCACTCCCGTTCCCGTGTCTGCTATCTCGCCGTGTCTCCGTATCATTGATATCAGTATCAACCGCCTCCCATATATCTGGTCTTCAGGGCTAGGCACCAGACTGAGATGTCCTGCCAAGGCTGTAGACCTCGTAAATGTCCTTTATCTGGTAAACTTGGCAATGATACGGAGTATATAAGGCCTTGGATAAATATCGTACTACCTAGATAGTATTTTTAGTGGCGCCTGGAATTTGCCGATGAGGAATAAGTATATCCACACAATCACTTCAACTTGCTACAAGGAGGAAGTATAGTTAACGGCAAAGTGAGAAAACAGAACAAAAATGAATATCTTGGTGTATTAGATACAAAAAAGATGAGCAGTGGGCAACTTTAATGTTGCCCGACCGGGGGGTCGAACCCCGAACCTTGTGATTTCAAGTGCTAACAGATATCTGAGATAAATTGCTAGTGAGTTAAAAGTCACACGCTCTGCCAATTGAGCTAGCCGGGCTGATTTGTTGATAACGAGGTGTCTTGTCGATATAGAAAGGATTCTGCATATTCTACATTTTTTTCTCCTAGAATCATCACATCAAGTCTAAATCCCATACAGAGACTACCATTTTTTATGTGAAAAACAGGATACTAAATAATAAGCACGAGACATATATTAAACGATTATTTCCCTTTTTTTCCCCACGACTATGTATCCTCGCCTAGGCTGATATTCTTCTGACATATATATCTGTATCCACATACTCAAAAAGTAGGAAATGATAATAACTGTTAGCTTTCGCTCGTACCACCAATGAGACATAGGATAAAGTGCATAGACAAATATCAGAAATAGGAGTATGGAATCGACATTCTGTAAGGAAAAAAAAAGGAATAGTCCTGGGACCCAGAATCGAACCAGGATCTACGAGCTTCGAAAAGCATGGGTATGTATACTTAAGATGCAAGCCCACCCGTCAGGGCGCCGTGCTGCCATTGCACCACCCCAGGTATATTTGGTGGCAAGTATAGGGGACGAGTGAAGACATAGGATAGGAATGGATGAGCGAGTCCTGAGACCCGGGATCTAAAAGCAGTTATAAGCTTGCTTCCTATACTCCAGAGTAGTATGTTATTGTCTAGAACACTGGATTAGAGATTGGCAAGTACTTTCAGCCCCCTAATCACTAAGGATTTGCCTTACCTCGAGGGATTTGCCTTGAGATGACGGTAATCTCATTTACCTGATCTTAGGTGTATACAATGGTAAAGTTTCGGAAGATTGAGATACTTCATAAGTCGGAGCTGAAGATATATTTTAACGGTCCTTAGGGTACTAGCTTTTACTAGACCATGGGATTCCCCGTGGGACTTGATGAATATAGTCCGACGGGGAGGTCAACTTCATGGCATAGGCAAATAGCCCCAGGTAGACTAAACTTAGTAGAAGCATACCATGGAAATGAACGAAGTCAAACATGATACTAGTACTAGTCAAGATACATACTTTATGCCAGGTGATCGACCGCTGTGTTACTCTTGCCCTATATCTTCTAACATAGAGTTGTCAGATTGTTGACTCCATTCCTACATATGATTTCCCTCCAGCATGACGAAGCTTGCATTCTCCCTTTCCGTCCACGGACAACACACTTCTCTTGTCTTCACTCTCTCAATCTCCTTACCCCCAACCTAACCCTAGGATGGTGCAATGGTAGCACGGCGCCCCGACGGGTAGGCTTGTGTCTTAAGTACACATACCTATGCTTTTCGAAGCTCGTAGATCCTGGTTCGATTCCGGGTCCCAGGACTATTTCTTTTTTTCCCACTGACCTCTTCGTTGCTTGTCCTATTCTGTTAATATACTGATATAGGCCATTTTTCTTACCCCAGAAAGCTGGGACTTAACTTGATTTAAGTTATTTGCATCTTTGTATTAGGTGGTACCTTGGAAACTGCTGCATGTTGATATATGGCATCGTCAAAGGGCTATCTATGTAGTGCTTGTATAATCTTATGTTACCGATAGGAAAGGAAACCAGCTGGCTAAGAGAGAGAGGAAGAGAGAGAAAGAGAGAAAGAGGGGAAGAAGGGAGGATCAAAAAATCAGGTCCTATCAACCCAAGGTAGAAACGGTCTCAAGAATTACGCTTTTATCTACGAGATCACAAAATTGAGCAGTCCAGCGATTCCATTCATAAAGGTAAAGTAGAAAAATAAAAGACCAAAGCAGGCCTATCGTCTCTATGCGCAAAACGCAAGGAGGAAAGAGAATATAAAGGAAATCCGTAACACGGTGTTGTTACAATCAGTCCGAACAGAACAATCAATAGAGACAGAGGATACCCGATCCAGTTTCACAGATGTTCAGTAACAAGTTTCACATCACACAGCTATAAATAGTTATAGCATGTAGGGCGAATATTTTAGTAAGCTAGAGCACGGGCGTGCACCTTCTTGTCAGAGACAAGCCACTTCAGGGTCGACCGGATGACCTCGAGGAGCTTCTCGGCGCTCAGGGAGCTGAGGTACGAGGAGTTGGAGGTAGAGGTGGAGCTAGTGGAAGAAGATCCGGAGCTGGAGGTGGAGCTGGAGGAAGAAGATCCAGAGCTGGTGCTAGAGGTGGAAGTGGTGGCTGCGGCGGTAGGGGCAGCAGTAGCAGTAGCCTCGGCAGTGACAGTGGAAGTGGCGCTAGACTCGAGGACGGCTGCGGAGCTCTGGGCAGACAGACCACCGGCGGTGGTGGTGATGGTGATGCTGTCGGCGGTGCTGGCGGTCTGTGTAGCAGGCTCGTCAGTAACCTGAGGAGCAGAGGAAGCGGTGGCAGTCGCATTCTCGATGAGGGTGGAAGGAGCATCAGTGGGCTCATAATCTGGCCCACTAGGGGCGGAAGTTGAGACAGCAGACGTGGGAGCAGACGAGAAAGTAGGGCTGTACGTAGGACGGGCAGTGCGGGTGCGGGTGCGGGTGAGGTGGTGCGAAGAGGAGCTCTGGATAGGAGAGGCACTCACGGTTGAGGCACTGGTAGTAGCCACGGTGGGGGCCGCGGTGGTAGAAACAGTAGCAGACGCGGTAGTGGCTTCGGTAGTGGCTGCGGCGGTGGTCGAGGAGGTCGATGAAGAGCCGGATGAAGCGCCGGTGTACAAAGCGGGGCCGGGGATCACATAGGACTCCAGTGCGCTGTAGATGCTGATCAAAATACCGGGATCGGTGGGCGTGTAGAGCGCTGTGCCGAGGACGCCGTCAGGGGAGTCGCTGCCGCCGCCGGTGACCTTCAGGTTGATACACTGGGGGTAGTTTTGGGCGCCGTTTGCATCGCCGGCGGAGTGCAGGGCAATGATCTCGTGACGGAGAACATAGTTACCAGCGGCGATGGTGCTGGGGATAGTCACAGTGGCGCTGTTGTTGGCAGCAATGAGTTGGTCACTTGCCCATGTACCGGGGACGTTAGTGTCGTCGATCAGACCGGCCTCGGCGATCTTGAAAAACTTGAGGGTTGTCTTGTCGACCACGGAGCAGTCGCCATTGCAGTTAGCCATGTAGGTAATGACCGGGCCGTGGTGGCTCTCGGGCCAGTCAGTCCACTGCAGCTCGACAGAGCCACCGGCCTTGACCTCGGCGGAGATCGCACCCGGAGTGGCTTCCTTGTGGCAAATAATGTCGGAGCCAGTGTAGCCAGAGCCGTCGATGTAGCCGAGGTCGGTGGCCTTTTCACTCCATCCAATGTTCGCAGGCACCTCGGTCATGTAGTTGTATGTATTGACGATGAAGCCCCCGTGGTAAGTGCCATCAACAACGGCACCCGACACGAAACCGTGACCAGCGACCATGGCGGCCGAGCTAAGCAGGAGACCCGCAATCTTTGAGACAGACATCTTGAAAAAGTTGTAGAATAAAACGCACAGCGTTTAGATCGAAGGATCGAAGTATCAAAGGTGAGCGAAAAAGAATGAAAAGGGGACTTCAGTCAATGAAGTCAACCCAAAAAGAGAACGAATGAATGGTACTAGACCTTGAAATGAATGGAATGCAAAGGATGGATGAGAAAAAAATCCAGTAGCCCGGATGCCAGGGCCTTATATATGTAGGGTCCTGACATGATAGCTCCCATTCGACAGAAGCGGCATCACTCCGTTGCCAAGAAATCCATATCGCAGCGGATATCATCAAGTCCGGAAGTTTCTAGCAGGGAACAATGATTCCACTTTGTGGATGTGCCTATAGGTGGAGAATTAGCGACCGAGACATCTAGGATGTGCCATATAGATGAAGCATGGACTTTACTCCGTAAACCGCCGGCTGCACTAGTGCATAACCCTTGTTGAGCTATACTCCATTGGGATCATCAAGGAGGGGACGTTTGATATTGTCTCATATCTTTGGTGGCTGTCGATCGTGGGCGGTTGTCTGTGACAGTCCAAGTTTCATCGAACCCCTTGAAGTGATAACATCTCCGCTCTTTCCAGCCTGTAAGGGTTTTTCTCCTGTTTCGGAGAGATAGACCTTGTTTAATTCCGCTTCAGGGGAAACCCGGAGAATTCGGTATCCCACAATGACTTCGGACAGGTCGATTGTCTATAGACTACGGTGTTGAAACACGGAGTAAGTTGGAAAATTTCCCTATATAAATGGCCAACCTCAACGGCTTTTTAAAAAATCCAGAAGGCTTCATTTGAACCCCTACATATGATCCCTAGACCCCAGCGCTTAGAATTATTCCGAGACGCTCC